ATAGTGTGATCTCCCAGTGAAACAACAACCACGTGACCCACAACAAAGTGGCACACAACAGCAACATAAGAGGGGGGTGGGTGAGGGGAGGAGTGGAGTGCTGGAGGTAGGAAAGGAGAGAACAGAAGCACACTGAGGAGAGTAAGAAAGAAATAAAGGCGGTGAGTAAAAGGAAAGACTAAAGAGAGGAGCAAGTGGGGAAAAAAAGAAGATTCCTTTGCAGGAGGGCAAAGCTCTAAGGAAGGAAAGGAAGGAGGCACGCAGATCAGTAAATCAACCTAGAAAAGACAGACAGCAGTGTGGTTCATGCAGAGTGCAAAGGTAAACCACAGAGAGGTGGGCTGGATGATGAACGAATCAGAGCGGCAGTGAGCCACTGAGTCCAACCCACAGTGTGTAATCTGACACTTCACCTGGGATTAAAAATCATCTACCGTGATATTTCTTTAACTTCTTTGTTTCTCCTTCTCATTGTGTGCAGTTCTCCGTCAGTGTAAAGAGGTGGTCCTTTTATTCTGCAGCCACAAATCTTACGAGATGGCTATTATCTCCCATCCCTGCATGCTTCTGTAACACACGGAAGTGATTCATATTCTCCCCGAGTATGATTGCATCCCAGTGTGTGTAGCTGTAAATTAATATCTCCATACCTCCGCCTCTGTGTCTCTTCCATCTTCCCGAGCACTCTCCTCCTATACATCTGTGCTAGTCCAATTGGCCGGCGAATGCTTCTGTGTCTGATTAGGACTTGCCAGCCGCTGATTTTTATTGGCTGTGTAATGGTGCAGAACCTAAACATTTATCAGGGTCGATGGGCTGTGTTGTAGTACAAGCTATTAGGGATTGCAGAGGAGGCGAGCGGGCACTGGAAGTTAGAACAGGCAGGAGGTGTCAGACTGAAGCGTCATCTCTGGTGGGACATTAAAGATGTCAAACGGAGGAAATTGTTTGGCTTTTGTTTGTGCTGCAGTCTGGCTGTTTTGCATTGATGACAAACTACTTTACCAGGAAAGTTGGTGCTCTGTGGTAACAAGACGTAGAGGTTTGCAGCTTCCAAATGCTGAATACATGGGTAATAATTAACACCGAACAAACTGGGGAACTCATTTTATTTCTTTCTAAATTTATAATTTCACCCAGACTGAACCTTTCCGGACCTGACCTACCTGGCAAAGAAAGAGGATCAACATCAGGTTTTTGGGTCTGGGTTCATAGTGTCCTCACTCAGGTGCTGCCTGTCCCACCATGATCCTCCAGTTGACAAATCTGTGTATAATCCCCTAATGTTCTTAATCCTGGGGTCACATTAAAAAATGGATGAGAAATTAATCTGCTGTCAAGTCTGTCAGGTATATTTTGCCGGTGCCAGTGCATATTTTCAACCAAATCCTTCTGTTTGGGCAAATAAAGCTCAACCAGCACCCAACCAGCCTGCCAAACCCATCTGCACTAACTCTGAAATGCGCTCCGTCCTTTTGTCCTTCTACAGGGTTTTTCATTAAAGTAGGGGAAGTTTAAAAACAGAAACACCCGGAGCAAAGATAAAACAGCAAAAGTTTGGTGTTCTGCCTCTTTGAAATGCTAGAAAGCAGAGCAGTGAGGAGAGGGGGGAGAATCTATTGTGGCTGGAGACAGAGAAAACGACTTTACAGCCAGAGAACGACGGCTGCTTTTGCTCCCCTGGCAGGGAGAAGGTTCGAAACTTGGTCACACTGTGCAAATGTGTAACGGCTGCCTCCCCCACATGGATGCAAACATCAAGACTGTTTTGTTTCAGCGTCTGCCATATCTTCCTGTGCCATGCTATGCCGTGCATATGTGCTGCGGTAACCAGTCTAATTTCATTGCTTCTAGCTGAGTGGATCAAAAAGAGGCACATTCACTGTTTCTTTCTCCCGTTCGCTCTCCCCCTTTCATGCAGTAATCTGCGCAAAATGCAAGACTCTGCCCTCTCTTTTCATATAAGTCGAAGAGGAGAGACTGGGAGGAAATGCTTGTTGCCTGCAGGAAAATGTACAATGAATGTGTACAATGTGTCCTGTATTACAAGTTTAAAAGAGTGGTTAATGGGATGCTTTTCGAGCTTATTATTTGGACATTTTTGCAATTTTTCACCAAGGCGGGAAAAGGAAGACTAGAAATGAGTTGTTGTTGTTTTTCCTCCTCTTGTTCTGATTGATTTGATTGCATTTCTGAGTCTGTGCAACATGTCCGGGTCTAGCACCTCATTCCTGGGAGGGATGTCACGATGATGTAAGGTGGCAGCCATGATTGTTAATAAAGGTGTCAGCACTGCAGCTCTATCCGTCACATGCACCAGTCTGGCCTTGTCCCTCAAATAAAAACACACCCTGGTCACAGAGTATATCACATCTGCTATTCCAAACTTGCTGAATATCCCCTCCTCTTCTTTGTTATGAGAAAACTGCACTATTACAAAACATAAAGATCTTGTTATGGAACCCCAAACCACTTACTCTGTCTCCATCTGCTTAACTGGCTTCAGCCTGGAGCTAGACTACCATGCAGCTAAAGCCTGGTGCATAATGCTCGTCTCTTTCCCATGCACTCTCAAGTACAAATCTCAAATTTCATGCAAATGTAGCCAACGTTTTTGACTAATAAACACAGATCTGTTTATGTCTCAAATTACGCCCAACTTTGAATAATCATTTTGGATGCTCTTGTTTCATCTCTGTATTTTTAAAATTAGGAATATTCAAAAATAGTCTGCAAATATTTCATTCTTTGAAGTTAAGACTCAGGCAATTTATTATCTGCTCCTACAGCTTGAATATTTTACACTTCTTCGTCAAGCAGTCAAATTCCTTTTAGATCAGGTGCCTGTAGACAGAATATTTCCAAAGTGGGACCTTTAGAGCTTTAAACGTTTAAGGTAATGTGACAACAAAGTGTTGGGATTTTCACTTGGAGTAATTTCACATTTGGGCCCGTATAACGTCCTTTGAACTCAATATTTTACACAGCAATAAACGAAGAGGTAGCGCAGCCTGCCTGCTGACCTCAGAATATTACATCACATTACACTCCTTTTAAATCAGGCCTTTCTTCTCAGTGCCTATATGCATATATTGAATATTTATGTGGTTATGCTATGTACCGCCTGGTGTTTGTGTTTAATTATGTGAATATCTGTACTTTAATGCATGCTGTGCTCTGCCTACAAGTGAAGATACGCTCATATGAAATATGAATCCACTGAAACTTGAACTGTTTGAACCCACTCGTTGCAGAAGTACTGCAGAAAAAAAAAGAAAAGTTGTAGTGCACTTTTTGTGTAGTTGGACACACACACTCCTTCAAATTAATATTTTTAGCATGTGACCTTTAATAAGATGTTCCTTTCCCTCTAAACGAAAGAGAGCTAAGATGGGTTGGCTCACACAGCTCATAAAAAAGCAGTTTATTTATGATGTAAGTACCTTCACTACTATCAGGGACAAGACCACCTCTTTAATGGCAGGATGACTCCTCTTAAACTGAGTGACTCACACTAAGAGGAGTATCTGTCTGAGAGTCTCTGTGCTCATCCAGAGCACCTGAAATCACATGACAGCGGAGGTGTTTCTGCCCTGTCTTGCATTGTAGTCTTAAAATATCTCGCGTGCAGCCCCATGTGTGGGTTCTGAAGCAGTTGTCAGAGTGTGAATGGCTGACAGATAAATGTAATGGTCCTTATAATGCTTTGTATAATGAAGTAGGTTCATCATCATCTTAAATGTGTAAATTTAAAGGCGGAGATTTTTCACGTGCATTTAACATCTCAGGCATGTAGCCCGCAACCTGCTTGTCATGAGTGAAGAATTATAAACGCAGGTACGGTTTAATCTGCTGAGACCTGCAACACACACACACACACACAATGTTAATGCCTCACAGCATGTGTAATTGCACTGAAACATACCCATACTATTGAAGATGGCTGAATCCTGTGTTGCAAGAAAATCATCGTCAAAATGTACCACTGATGTTTTGTTTAAAGACTTGATTCTCTGATTGTTCATGAGTTTTTTTATCTCCTTTATGTGCTGCAATAAACCCTGCCTTTTCAAAAGATTTCATAGTGGCCATTTTAAGAGTCACCGAGAGCCTCAAAAGCATAAAATATGCTGAAGGAAAGGAAGAAGGAAACAAAGATGCACACTGGCGTGCACTGCAATGCATCAGAGCCAAGTTGACAAGCGTCTCTTCTTTCTTCTGTTTTTCTTTTTTCATGTTCATGACTAAGGGAGAAACCACGGGTCCCCGCTGAGTTGGAGATGGATGTGCCAGCTCCGGTGCTCTCAGATTTCTTGTGGCTTTGCAGAGTCATCCTGGCAGGGGAATCATGAAGAGACCAGCCCTTTCAAGATCACCTGCATTGGTCAGCTGCAGATATCTCATCCTTATCTCTCTGTGTCTCTATTTCCTCTTCTACTCCCCTCTCTCACTCTATGTGGGCATTCTCCGGTGCGCCGTCTCTCTTTTTTTCTGTCTTTTTGTTTTCATTTTGACCTTCACAAGGTGCACACAACCTTCCCTCTTGGTTCAGCTGCTGCTTTCTTACATCCTTTACCCAAATGAGAGAAGAAGGGATGTGCAGAGCTGCGGAAAGGGCAGCCCCCTCAGTACTCAGAATCATGATCAGCTTTTTTTCATCCCTGCAGAGTGCGGGGAAAGTCACAAACTTAAAGTTCACAGTTGGACTCGGTGAATCTATAAATCCCTATAAGGCCTGTTCGATTTAATGCTTGCCGTATAAAATTCCTCCTATAATGAGCCTTTTATTTTTTTAATGGAGGCAGCTTCAGTATTGCAACATTGCAGAGTGATGAGATCCTGTACAAGGTGTGTCCTGCAGTGTTTTTTCTGTCTTTCTTTTTTTTTTTTTTAAGTGAGAGGGGGTGTGGCTAACATCTTCACTGCAGCAAGGCAAAACTTCCACTGGAAATAAATCTGTGTGATAGGTCAGCCAGCAGACACAAAGTACTGCACCTCACACATTTCTGGTGTACATGAATCCCACTTTTATTTTCCACAGAAAAAAAAGAGATGTCTTATTTTTTTTCTGGTTAGTTTTGGTTACATTTAAAACCATTCTATGAAAAACTGTAGCACCTGAGCAGATTGAAATCGCCCGTTCTTTGAAAAAAAAGTCAATTTGTGCTATTTGTCCAGTTTCAATCAGCTGTGATTTGAGGGAGACATATATATGTTGTTTATAAAAAAAGGACTTGCACTTAATTTCTTTTTTTTTCCAGTCATTTGCAAAAGAAAACAGAGAAAACTGTATATCTTATTCTTCTTCTTTTTCATTGAAATCACAACAAATACATTTAAAGCAAATAAAAAAATTGGGCGGCATTTAGCATAAATCCAAGCAGGGAATCAGCTTCCATGATGATTATTATATATTTATATATTTATATGTATACATATATTATGTTTATATACAAGTATGGCACTTGATTACACAAAAAAGCAAGAAAACACTTCACAAATAAAAGCAGTGGGCGCTTTGGTGTGTCATAAATTAAGGAAGTCACAGACGTTAGCGTTTGCAGCAAATTTACCATGTACTGTTTTGCAAGTCAGCTATAAAGCGATGGAATGGTTACATATGTTAAGGTCAGTGGTGCAACACAGGCAACAAAAACATGAATTACGCTGATTTAGTTCAACCATAGTAAGTAGGATTTATATATCTATGCACATATATAAATCTGGATGGTAGATTTGTCCTTTAACCACTGTGTAGGGTGCCATTTATTTGGGTTTGTGCCAAAAAAGATGGAAATAAATTCTTTAAAAACACCGTCAGCTCTGTAGCACATTTTGGATAAGGTCACCAAGCTCTCAAGTGTTCACTTCTTAGTGCAATTTTTGCATTTTACTCTCTTCAAGTACAGCAGAACAGCCCACAAAGAGTAAATATGTGAACACGCTATGTCATGGTCTCCATTACGCATCTTACAGAGTATAAACGTTACTAAAAAGTTGCATCAGTGCAATAATAAATAAGTCAACAAACGTGGATTTCACGCTTGCTATGAGTCCTTAAAAGACCAAGAAATGAAAAAAACAAAAAATCTGCCCACTCTTAAGTCATGACACGAATTAGGCGTGCGGAGCTGTCCATCATGTCCATCCTGGGTTTATATTTTGTACATGTTTTTGGAGCTACACATAGGCAGAGTCACTGGACTGTGTGCGCCCGAAATTGGGCACACTCATTCTAGGCAAGTCCTTGTTTCTGATCTCATAAATTGACTTCCTCCGGGCCTGCACACCCCGCACGGCCGTTTTGATTTTCCTCCACCCCAAGTGATTGAGTTCTGCCAGGTTGAGCACCACGCAAAACCCACTCACTGCGAACATGAAGACCAGGAACACGGTTTTCTCCGTGGGTCTGGACACATAGCACTCGACGTCTTTGATGCACGGGTAGCGGTCACATTCGTACACGGACGGGACGTTGAATCCATACAGGAAATACTGACCCACCAAAAAGCCTATTTCCAGCGCGTTTCTGAACACCACCTGGATGATGTAAAACCTGGAGATGCCCTCCTGCCGCCGCATTTTGGACTTTGTAGTTCTCATGGCCGCATTAGGGATCTCTTTGACTTCCAAACAGTCCGGCTCGGCTTCTTTGGTGGAGTTCTCCGTGTTCTGGAGTACTCCGTTTACAATGGTGTTCTTTATCTTTTTGCTCTCGTCTCGCTTCAGGGAATCTTGATCCTTATCCAGCGTCAGATAGACCGTCGAGTAGCGCCGCTCCTTCTGCTTGGCCGACTGATGCACCGAGTACGTGATGAAACAAAGACTCGGGGTGCACACCATGATGATTTGAAAAACCCAATATCTAATGTGTGAAATGGGGAATGCCTTGTCGTAGCATGCCTGGTTGCAGCCCGGTTGTAAGGTGTTACAAACAAACATGGTCTGCTCGTCATCATAGACAGTCTCTCCAACTATTGCTACGATTAGAATCCGGAAGATGACCACCACTGTTAGTAGGATCCTAAAAAGCAAGCAAACAAACACACAAATGTGAAAATAAGTGTATGAATTAGTGACTAAAGTGATACAAATTTGGTTCACTTGTGCGCTGCCTCTGGCTGAGGCGACCACTGTCCAATTCACAGGGTGTGTGTTGGATTTGGGGAGCTGTCCAGTGCTGAAACAGGACGCTCTTACAGATGCTATGTGTGTGTGTGTCTTTTTTGACTGGTTTGTGTTGTTTTCCCTGCATCTATGTGTATGTAGGGTTTTGTATGAATGTGATTTAATGGCTGAAATGACATGTAAGCAACCGGCGTTGCTTTGACTCTACATGTGAGAGCTTTCTCAATGAAACACATCTCAATTTTTACACAACCACCACTCACGCTCACACACATCAGAAGCAAAAGGTGGATGGGTGAACATGTGAAATGAGACATGAATTTCAGGTGTAGTGTAAGCTGTGTGCAGCACCATCCCAGGCACTGAAAAGACAGCTGTCAACTGGTTTACTTAGCTGCCTCGACTAGGAGGTGGTGAAGGAAAAAAGGAATCTGTGAAACAAGACAAAAAATCCACAACACAGACACGACTGGGACTGGGCACCATGCTACAGAAGATCCTTGGTTCACAAGACAGAAACGGGGGACTGGGAGCCATGCTAAAGACGATCCTGGAGGCTGCTGCGATTCTTCTTGGTCTTTTTGCTCATCATCTTACCTTCCTATCATAGTAGAGTGCTGCTGGACAGCAGCCTCCAGGAGCCTCTCTAGTATAGTCCATTCCCCCATTTCTGAGCATCCGGAGAAGACTAGAGCACAACGGCACTCTGTTCAAATCCCTCCAAAAAAAGCGCGTTATTTCCCGTCCTACTTCTCACTGACTCTCGTTGTAGTCAGTCTCCAAAGCGTCCGTTTTTAGCAAGAAAATGCATCCGTCACGGGATGCTGCCGCCGTCCCCGCTCCTCTCCGTCTGTCTGCGCGCTATCTGCTTGGTTATGAGCTGAGCGCGCAGCGCCAGCGAGCGTCCTGCTGTGTGTGCCGAGCGCTCCCACGACGCGGCCACACTTTTCCTTGTCATGGGAGTCTAAAGGGCTGATTACTATAAGCCCTCCTATTTTCGATCTTCAGATCAGGTTGATGGGCTGCGCTGCGTCTGGATGGAGGGAGGTTGGATTTAATGTCTTGCCAGCGTTAATCCGCCTTTAAGTAGTCTTCCCCCCTCCCCATGCGTCACGTACGTGCAGACAGGTCGGTGGAGCGCAGCCAGGAGTGCCAGGGTTTCTGATTTTCAATATTTCACTTTTGGAAATGGCTTGCACTGTTTGGTAGGCACTAGCGTGGGCTGTTTTATCTCAGAGTGGAACAGCCTTCAATACAATGAGTTGATACCTTTCAGCAAAGGTGGCATCACGTGATCGTCGAACTCTGGCTGTATTGTTATTCTAATTCACAGAGCTGCAGCAACACATGTGCACCACACGAAATATTATCCATTTTTCTGGGGGGAAGGCAGGTAGACTCGAGGTGTGTTGGGTGCAGTGGTCAAGGAGACTGACCCATCAGTGATACACAGATTTGTAGTAAACCTGCAGCATGTGGCATCATTTCTATTGAACATAATGCTTTACGCACATATCTAAAAACTACAGAGTGTGCGTCTTTATACTGGGGGGGTCAGCCTTGCAGCCCACAGGCGCCCCTCCACGTGCTGACCCGGCTGATGGAGCTGTCGTCTCCACCTCGGGCTCAGATGATGCTCTGGATACAGTGACAGAGTGAAAGTACCATCCGAGAGTCTAATCGCTTTACAAAGCAACCTGCCTGTCTGCCTGTCTCCCTCTCTCTCTCGAGCGCGCGCTGTCTGTGTGGAGGGTTAAAAATAGCAGCAAAATATGAGGCCCCGCCCTGTATATTGCTCTGAGATGTGATCAACTCAGTCTGTGTGTGTGTGCACTAAAATTAGACTGCATGGTGTGACACTACTGGATTTGTCACTGTTTATGGAATGACCGTGGATTTGGTTCAAGAGGCTGCATCGTTCAAAATGTCATATTTATCTTTCTATTGAAATGTGGAAACGTTCATGAAACATGTGATCTGAATATATATATATATGTATATATATATATATATATATATATATATATATATATATATATATATATATATATATATATATATATATGCTATAGGGGATTTATTTAGGAGAAGAACTTGTTGATGACCCAGTTATTGAGATTATTGTCGTTGTGTCTTTGTTGTTGATTTGAGCATCATCCAAATCCTTCACAGGTAGGCAGTGTGAGCTTTGTCCAGCCTAACAAACGGGGATTACCGATCACGTGACTGCGGTGTTTCCAATCAATGAAACTTTGCGCTGTTAATTTCTCATGAGGTGGCTTATCCTCTCCGCTCACCTTAATCTTTTCTAATTCAAATCTTTAATAACCTTTACCACCTTAAAACCACGTGACCAGAAAGCGGAGCCAGGCTGCTTTTTAAAAGACAAAGAAAGAATGAAACCAAAGGAGAGGCAGAGATTTGGAAAGATCCTCCAAACAACCACACAAAATGAAGATTCAAAGACAGTCCTTGGCAAGTTCCACTTTTTGATTTTATTAATAAAGCTATACAAATCCACATCTTAATTGCACTTTAGTGTAAAAACGAAGAGTTTGACGACAAGACACGAAATGGACGGTAACACTGTACAATAACCATGACTTATAAATGGTAAATAGACCATTTATAAGTTATGGTTATAGCATATAGACCATTAATAAATTGTAAATTTTACAATGTTAAAAACCTTACCCTAACTTCACAATAACCATCTAAGTAATGTTTATAGATTGTTTAAAAACCAAATATTAACCATTTACAAAGTGCTACTGACACACATTTTAATATAGATGTTTTACAACCAATATTTAAACCCTGTATAAACCTTTAATAAATAGTCCAATAATGATTAATGAAAATTATTATCATAGTTTCATTGCTTGTTAATGGTAAAGTAACTATTAACTTGCATTAATAAACTATCTATTTGCCATTTATAAATTATGGTTATTGTAAAGTGTTACCACATGGACTTGGTTGGGTTGGTGGTGCAGACACAGGGAGAAAGCAGACAGGGAGGAGAGTGAAGGGGGGAGGGGGGGTCTGGTGCTTAGAAGCACTTCCTGTGGACGATGGAAGGTCCGGCCTCGTCGTACTCTTGCTTGCTGATCCACATCTGCTGGAAGGTGGAGAGAGAGGCGAGGATGGAACCGCCGATCCACACGGAGTACTTCCTCTCAGGGGGGGCGATGATCTAAACACAAATCAGATTCAACTTTATTTTTATGGCACTTTTCAGACAAAAATGCAGTTCAAAGTGCCTCACAGAGGCTAAAAACAACAATTGACAACTATAAAACCAAAATCTCCCACCCACACATCCACCCATGGACCCACACACAGACACAAAGATCAAAAATAAAAGATAAAAAATAAAACGGTAAAAAGACAGACTAAAACCTGACTGACTAAAACAAGAAAATATTATTAAATGAACAGATAAGTAAGAGCTCTTTACCATGCAAAAGGGCTAAAAAAAAAAAAAAAGTAAAAATCTCTAAGAAATAAGAAAAAGACGAAGAACAGAGATAATTCATAAAATGACATAAAATAACCATTAAGAACTTCAATTAAAATGAACATTTGCAATTAGAGAAATATAAAAAAGGCAATTAGTGAAAAGTCTGGTTAAAAAGGTGAGTCTTAGCCTCTTCTTAAAAACATCAACAACCAACATCAACAACAATAACCCATAAAACTTTATTCTACACTCTACTTAGGAATGTAATAGAGATATCCAACATGGTGTCAAAGTTACCTTGATCTTCATGGTGCTGGGAGCCAGTGCAGTGATCTCCTTCTGCATGCGGTCAGCAATACCCGGGTACATAGTGGTGCCGCCGGACAGCACGTTGTTGGCGTACAGGTCTTTCCGGATGTCGATGTCACACTTCATGATGCTGTTGTAGGTGGTCTCGTGGATGCCAGCAGATTCCATGCCTGCGCCAAAACAGCTGACAAGTTAGTGAGTTGTTCCCCCCCGGCAGCTAAAAATCACAAGCGACACCCACGTCAGCTGTTGTAACAGGTGCTGAAAGGGACAGCTCCGCCAGCAGCTGCGCGTGCTGTGGCAAAACTGTGAACAATGAGCCTCTGATTTAGATTACCCACGTCTGTCTATGGGCCACAAGGTGATGGAGCAGAACTCTGACCTCAATTTGATGATCACATGAAGGTAGTCATTTAGTAATGAGATCAACATACTTATCTATTTTTAGAAAGCATCTTGGCCATCTATCCAGGGTTTCTTCTGTTATCATAAGATGAATAAAATCATGTTTTGATTCCTGAAACTTGAGGGCTAAATGTGCACCAACAAGAAGTTAACTTTCTTCAGTTATTGATAAAAGTTAGTTTTGAGTTTTAATATCTTTTAAGAAGGAAAAACTTTTGAAGTGTTGATTATTCCACATCACATTTGCAATCATTATGATCTGATTTATTGGAAATGATAGAGTAAATGTTAGATTATCCCCCACCATCAAAACATAAAGGTTAGATTTAGTTATTGGTTTAGAAAAAGGGCAGACTAGTACTTTGGAGTGCTCTATTTTTTAAATAACTGGAGAAAAAAAGTGTTGGAGATCTCTTTGTGAAACATTGTGCAGGATAAAAAAAGCCTCACCTTGAAAAATGTAACATTTCAGAAAAAGCTTCGAGTGGTGTTATGACAAAAGACGTCTCTTTGCAGATGGCACTACTTTACCTTTTGGTTACCACACCAGTGGCAATGCTGCTGGCAGCTGTTTTCAGATGAGATTTAGCGACAGAGAAACCTTTTTTCACCAAAGGGGCCACGAAATGAAATAAACTTGAAAATATTGAGCCTATGCCCCTTCCGTACATGACTGGTGTTCCATAAAAACCCGCCAAAGTACCCTCTACTTGACTCTTGTAGTAACTGACAAAACGGCAAGGATTTGCTCCGATACCAGCGTGAGTCCACACACCTGTTCCTATCCGTTTTAGTCTCGATGCGAATGCTCTTGATGTGATTTTTGGACATGGGTAGATAATGTATTGTATGATATCTGATGCTGACCATATCACCAAAATCTCCTAAGACTTTGACTGTTGCCAGTAGCGGTGAGTAGCTATCACCGACTGATTGATACAGAATGATGTCTGTGTAAATAAACAGACTGTATAGACCCGCTTGTAAATCGATCGGATATTGAGATTGGCAGTTAGAAATTGTCCACCATTTGTCCACCAGCACTCCCAGCATGTATGCAAAGGGGGCAGACGCACAGATTTGGTACTGACCATCTCCTTTAAAATAAAATTTTCTGCTTATCCTGTTGTTAGAAATGTCGGCGCTAGGGACATACTCTCTTAGTGCTGGAAGGGTAAGCTCCGCCAGCACTTTTGGGCTATCGTAGTACCCCCCTCCACCAAATCTCTTACTTCTTACGTTCAGGGGTAAGTAATCTCGCAAGGACCCACCAGCCATTCTCCTCTCACTTCTATAGCTTTAGCCAGATCCACGGTATAACATGAACTGGTTTTATGAATAAACACATCCTTGTTAGCATTAGAGGGCAAAGTCACGTGAAATCCGTCACTCTGGGTTTGATCCATGACCCAGCTGTTGAATTTTTCAGGCCAGTTTTTTCAACGCACAAGCACCTGTTTTTTACGCCGAATGGTACGCCATTTAAAAATTTTCTCCACTTGCTAAGTTTTATTTCAGCCTAGGGTGACTTTTTGTAACTCTGCTTTATAAAATGATCCCTCTATGGGGTCACCATCATAATCAAGGAGTTTGTAGATGGGAGAAGAACGCGGTATGGTGTCAGATACTGTGAACACCTCATCTGTAAAGTTCTCTCTTTTACATACCGATAAACGAGGGCTGGAAGAGGGTCTCTGGACAGCGAAAGCGCTCGTTGCCGATGGTGATGACCTGACCGTCTGGCAACTCGTAACTCTTCTCCAGGGACGAGGAGGAGGCTGCAGTGGCCATTTCGTTCTCAAAGTCAAGAGCCACATAGCACAGCTTCTCCTTAATGTCACGCACGATCTCACGCTCAGCTGGAGGGTGAAAGAATTGTTGAATATTAGTCTACATGATGAAAATAGTTTGAGAAGATGATAACCAAGTTATCACTTACCAGTTGTGACAAAAGAGTATCCACGCTCGGTCAGAATTTTCATGAGGTAATCAGTGAGGTCACGACCGGCCAGATCCAAACGCATGATGGCGTGAGGCAGAGCGTAACCCTCATAAATTGGCACGTTGTGTGTCACACCATCCCCAGAGTCCAGCACAATACCTGGTGAGGAGTGCGTGATAGTGTTATTCGAATATTTATTAGGTGAAAAAAAACCTCTGCAACACATTGGAGCGCTGCCATACCTGTGGTACGACCGGATGCGTACAGGGACAGTACGGCCTGGATGGCAACGTACATCGCAGGAACATTAAAAGTCTCGAACATGATCTGGGTCATCTTCTCTCTGTTGGCTTTGGGGTTGAGGGGCGCCTCGGTCAGCAAGGTGGGGTGCTCCTCTGGGGCCACACGTAGCTCGTTGTAGAAGGTGTGGTGCCAAATCTTCTCCATGTCGTCCCAGTTAGTGATGATACCATGCTCGATGGGGTACTTCAGGGTCAGGATGCCTCTTTTGCTCTGGGCCTCGTCGCCAACGTAGGAGTCCTTCTGGCCCATACCGACCATGACGCCCTGATGAATGCAATGACAGGATGAGTGTTGAAATTAAAGACTTACCTAACATCACATTCACGTACAAAAATCTGGCCTTCATCCAGCCCATACCTTACTTTTTTTTTTTTTTTTTTTATCACACCAGAATATTATGCCTTTAAAGTTGATAAAGAGTCAACTTTACCTGGTGACGGGGGCGACCAACAATGGAGGGAAACACGGCGCGAGGTGCGTCATCGCCGGCGAATCCAGCCTTCACCAGGCCAGAGCCGTTATCACACACCAAAGCAGTAGTCTCGTCCTCGTCGCACATGATGCCAGCTCTGCAAGACACACGGGGATGGAAGCTTAGTGAGTTTTAATAGGCTGACAGAAGATTTTTCCCTTTCACTTAAAATAAAAAAACAGTGTATAAGGTTTCTTTTGTGGACAACATAATGGTTAATTTAGCATGATTAAGATGATATTAAATGCTATTGAAATGTGTAGTAAGAGATTAGATTAGGAGTTATTGAATGAACATTTTCTCATATTAAAAACAACGTAAATTCCAAATTTTGATGAGAAGATGAAAAGCCAACAAAATGAGATGATCCATTTCAGTTAGATGATAAACCTTTGGTAGAGATGAGGGTCACTTCCAACTGTGTTAAAATCCTGTATCCATCCTCACATGATAAATCCACTGCTTGAATTCTACTCTTTCTCTCCTTCAGGTACTCACCAGATCAGCTCCAGGCGCTGGATCTTGAGTGTGTAAACCAGGGGTGCCAGAGGGTCACCTCAGACCAATTTATACTCTGACAAGTGTCCGTAAGAGGGGGGCTGAGCAGCGCAACCCCTTCTCCATATTTGGTTGTTCATTGCTCTCATTGACAACAGCCGCTCCATGAATGGCATCAAAAGGAGTGGGAACTCCCGCGCGCACAGCTGTGCCTCCTGCGCATGTGTGGAGGACAGACAATGACAAACTCTCTTTTGATCTTTCCTCCATCAATATATCACAATAATGTTATCTAAAAGGATTAGTGTATCTGTAGAAGGCTTACAGAGCGGATAAAAGTGACACTATCACATAGTTTCAAGTGTTAGAGTATTACTCGTACAAAATGCTGACCTTTAGGAGGACAAATAACACCATCAGCTAAACAAAAACACTGATTCAGAACAGACTAATTTCTCTCAAGTGGAGCCCAAATAGTTCAAATAAGAGACACGTCTGCTATTTGGTACAATCTCAAACGGGTCTATTGCCCCATTCATTCATGTCTGTGTGCCTTCAGAGGTTTCCTTGACATATAAGAAATCAGAGTGGCAGGACACATGTAGGTCTCAACAGTAGCAAACGGGGAGGGCAATTGTGCCACACAGCTGGTGTCAGCAGCTGTTTGACTCCATTAGAGGCTCGAGGAGTCACATTTGGGTGGGGGAAGCCTCTGCTGCAGACCAAACATTCCTATTTTCATGCTGTGAAAGAGTGTCCTCCCAGTCACACTCGTATTATTTTACAAGCCTGGACACACACTCATAAATATAGACTGCCTGTCCCACCAAATGACAACGAAAACAATATTTATACTGATGCATTCACATATTGGATTTGCATAAAAGCAATGGTTTTCAATAATCATGAGCTGTATTGATGTTATTGATGTCTTGATGCTGTGCCCACGTAAGGAAATTTATGAAAATGTTCAAAATCGTCTTTTAACTCTTCGTTCTTCATCAGCATTTTTGCTTTGAGAGCTGAACAGCAAAACAGAATAAACAGGCAAGATGTCTAAGAGGAGGAACTGCTCTGGCCTACGTATAATACCAAAGGTTATTGCAGTGTGCTGCATTATTCTCCTCGGCACATGTCTCCTCTTTTGTCTGTGCACAAATCACTCCCTTAAACCCCAAACACAGGTCGGGTCGTTCTCTCTTTATGCAACAAAAGTCCAGGTAATGTTTTCTTTTGTGGAAAACCTTTACAGATAAATCCAAAGTCATTTTAATACACTGTGTTGTCCCCTACATCAAAACGATAAAGCAAAAAAGAACATCTCTTATTGTGACACATGCCATATTCTTTCTTTTTTCCCGCTCGTAGGAAAGAAGGAGACACGGGAAATGACATTGCCGGTTTGCTTGGAAGGGACAGCGAGCTAGTGAGCGAGCTCTTGAAGGCTGTGAAACAGCACTGGCTAAGAGCAGTGGATGGTCCCACCACAAGGAGGACAAGACAAAAGGGCACAGCGAGCCATGAATCATATGCTGCTGTCACCCGACCCCGAGCCATAACCCTTCACTGTGTGACTCTTTGTTGTGCTCTTATGTAATGAATGGTAGGCTGAGGTTCTGCTTTAAGCATCCTTTTGCCCCAGTATTCAAATAATGCTAACATTTTATGACCAGATCTTAGCAAAGTCTGTCTGCAGAGAACAACTGCAGGACCACGAGGGAAAGGTGGGTGACTGCTTTCAACACAAGTTTGCCCCATGACAGATTATTCCATTCCTTTCAAAAACACATTTTCAGTGTCCCTTTTCATCCGTTTTCAGGTGCTATAGCTGCAAGCGGGTTGTATTTGAGGGTCTTGTTAAGCTCTAAAATATTTGTTTTGCTGGTTCTCATAGCACCCAGGGGTGTGAAGGGCCCATGCCATTGCTTGGATTAGACACAGAGACACTTGGAGGCTGCTGAAACAGTCCTGTAGTGTGACTTTCACTTCACTGAGATGAAGTCATCATGGCCTACCTACGACCCGAGCCCTCAGGAGCTTTACCTCATTACTCAGCTATAGGAATGAGATAATGAGGACAAAACAGCCCAGAACAAAAAAAAAAAAAACATTGATTTTTTTTCTGGGATTTTCACATCATAAAAAGAGAACAACCCCTCTAAAGAACCCTGAGGGGGAGTCATTTGCCTGATGCAGGCAAGGTTTTGTACCTAAATCAATAATGAGCACATAGATAGGAATGCCCCTGCACTGGATTGCTGCATTTCAGCTGTTCATCACCAATTTGCTCAATACAAATGGTCTGAAATCACTTTGTTTTACCGAACATGGTGCATTTGTCCATGTTAAAACATTAGGGGCCGCTTAAAGGTCAGAGCAGAAAAACAGCATATTGTTGGGTGTAAATTGGGTGTCCTTTCTCTGGCTTGGGTGCTGAATACTGAGTGACAAGCTGCTGGCTTATGATGAAGTCCCCTGTTAGCACCTCAAAGGAGCACAGAGCTGGATCACTGTCAGTTCTGCAGCAGATATACCACAAAAAAATGTGCTCATTCATTAACACTGATACTTTGAACTGTAAATCTCACTTTCCTGCATTTCACAGCTGAATGTTTCATATATTATATGGGTGCATTATGTAAGAGGCTCCTGGGCAACACGTGTCAGGACTTCCCTTAACAGGCAGGTTCTGGTTTGGAAAAGTACTGATTTATGAGCTAGTGCAGGTAAAAAATGTGTTTTGTTTTTGTTAATTATTTCACTGCAGCATGATGAAATCCACAAAAGAAAAGTGCAACAGTATTAATATTCAAGTCAAGTAAAAATGTCATAATAACTAGTGTCCTACGGGCACCAATGGGCCTGGGCAGTGTTGCGCCGCTACCTCCGTAAACCACCTCCCCAGCGCACTGCCACCAACTCGCACCACCTGCCATCCCTGGTACTATGCTCTCCTCAGCAGCTATAACCTTTACGATGGTTGGTACTCGTGACTGCCTTTGAGTGTTGTTGCTCATTTATTGTGAAAAAAAAGTCAGAGTTTGAAAGGACGCCATGGCCACGCCCTTGGACTTAAACTTCAAAATTTAACCCACCTTTGACCTCCTGCCTCATAACCCCCCCATTTGACCTCTTCGGAAGTACCGAGGGGAAATCCCACCCCCCGGGCCTGGTTCCCCAGGGTTTGCTTCAGGATCTCCTTTGTGCCGAACGTCATAGTTGCCTATGATGAAAATATCAGAGTATAGTACGATAAAAAATATTAAAATGTAGTATAAAAAATAATGTCATAGTATAGTATGGTAAAAATATCACATTATAGTTTGACAAAAAAAATCAAAGTTAAGTATAATGAAAAATTTTGTAGTACAGTATGAAATAAAAAACTAGTATGAAAAAAATATCATTGTATAGTATTAAAAAATGTATTTTTGAGTACGATAAAAAAAATCACATTATAGTATGATACAAAAATCTTTGTTAAGTATTATAAAATGTATTATTATATATTTAAAAATTATAGTATGATAAGTATGTCATTGTATAGTATAAAATAAAAAATATATTTAAAAACTCTGGTATAGAGTGTTATAAAAATTATAGTAAGTATGATAAAAAATATCATTGTAAAGTAGGATAAAATGTTAGAGAATAGTATGATAAAAATAAAGTATAAATAAATAATAGATATATCATAGTATTATTTAATTAATTAAAAAATGCTGTAGTATAGCATGATAAAATTGACATAGTATAGTATGGTAAAAATTTAATAGTTGAGTATGATAAAAATATATTATAGTATGATAAAAATATCATAGTATGGTATGTAAGAAATCATAGTTACATATGATAATATTTTGTAGTACGATAAAATGTCATAGTTTAGTGTGATATAAACATAGTATTATAAGATATCAAAGTATAGTTTATAGTAATATACCCAACCATTGAGAAGTGGGCTTGGCCATGACCTAACTGCTTCTGCAGTCCTGAGAGTACGTACCTTGTTAAACTCTCTGAAGCACTAATTCAAACCTCAAACTCTCAACAACAAAAAGGTCACCTCATTTTGTGTGTCTGTGTTTGTGTGTTTGTGTGTGTAAGGGTAAAATTACAGAGCAGCATGTAGTTAATTGAACTGGGGGACTGTATACTCATTTCTGCTCTCTCTCTATCTCTCTACCCCAATCTCTTTCTCTGTCTCCCAATCACAGTTCTCCCAGGTCTCCTTGTAGCCAGCAGGAGAACGATTTTTCCACCCCTAGTCTGAGGGTCTGATGAAAAATTCACAAGTCTCTCTGTCTCTCTGTCTCTCTGTCTCTCTGTCTCTCTCTCTCTCTCTCTCTCTCTCTGTCTCTCTCTCAGGCCCTCAGTGCAGCACTGTCAACTTGGCTTCAAGCCCTATCGCCTGCTGTGCTCCTGTGCCAAGACTTCTGGGAGGAGAAACAGAGAAAGTTGAACTAAATTCAGGCGATTTTATTTATTTATCCATTTTTTTTGGCAAGTGGCGTTTATCCTCAGGATGTTTGGGAGCAGGGCTGGGCAGACAAAGAAAGCAATCTAACTAGGTTTCAGATGACACTCACATAAATTTTGCAGCACCCATTCGGGCATTGGCCACCTCATCTTTTTAAAAATGAATTTGTCTTAGATTATAGCCTGCATTTCTGCGCGTGTTTGTCACTGTGTGCATCACAAAACTGAGAAGGGTAGAAAATGAGGTGAAAAAGCGCCTTGGATTGGAAATGAAATATTCATGAATCAAATTTGAATAAGCCACAAAATAGACAGCTACCCAGATTTGTAGGTAGGCAGCTCAGCAAGAGTATTTTGGTAAGTCTTTAGCGCAGTGCCTTAGTATTGAATCCCCAGCTATTTTGGTGGTTTCTGGGAATGCACAGTGCCAGTCACAAATGATAGGAGAGTTTTTAGGCAAAGTGCTCGAACACCTCCCCGTGGAAGAAGTGCAGCTGAATAGGCTTTTGCTCTGTGATCGTCTTGCATATATTAAAGCTGTTCAACTGAGCTTCCACGGCAGAATAAGTCCAACACTTTGGTTTTTTGCCTGTTTTCTGTTTCGGAGCTAAATCTGTTCCAGACTCAAAAGAGAATCCCCCCTTGAGGATCAATAATGTACTTTTAAAAGTGTTGCACATGTTGCCTCCAGTAAATAGCTCTGCTGTACAACAATATGTGATTCAGCTGCTGTCCCTGCATGACCTCGTCTGGTCTACTGCCGTCTTCTTTGAACTGTTATTCTGTTTCATGTTTCGATTTCTGTCTCACCAGCTTCAAAAGTGCACTGCAAGATAAAAGTAGGAAAGATTCTTCACTTGGACATTTTGGCCAACACGGACTTTTGCAGGAACATACTTTGAAGTTCCGGCGAAGTTAGTACATACTTTGAAACATTTTTAAGTTATGTGAGAGTCAAAAAACTAAAACCATGTTGGAAAAGTGTTATCCAAAGACCCTCAAAAAATAAATCTATCATGCTATCTTGCTATTTTTTTTGTTGGGTCAAAGATCAAGTTGAAGAAGGAAAAAAAGGCCTACAGACTTTAAAACAAAAGAATAACTAAATATAAAAATACTTTGGAAATTAGAAGGGCTGTATTTTGATGTAACACACCAATAAAAAACAGTACAATAACAAAGTCTGTTGATGTTTTTAAGAAGAGGCTCAAGACTCACCTTTTTAACCAGGCTTTTCACTAATTGCCTTTTTTATATTTCTCTTATTGCAAATGTTAATTTTAATCGAAGTTCTTGTTGTTTATTTAATGTCATTCTATATATTATCTCTGTTCTTAGTGTTTTTCTTAATTCCCATCACAGGTTTTTACTTTTTTTTTACCCCTTTTACATAATAAAGAGCTTACTTATCTTACTTATCTGTTCATTTAATGTTATTTTTTTTGTTTTAGTCCATAAATTTTTACTTTCTTTTTACCAGTTTTATTTTTATCTCCAGTGTTTCCCAAAAGTAGCTCTTCCCTCACATAATGTCTCTGTGTCAGGCCATGTCTCTTTAACAATATATTTTAAAGTCTCACACTGTGTGCACTTGTGTGTGTGGGTGGGTGAGTGAGGGTGGGTGTGTGTCTTTGTGTGCATGTGGGTCCATGGGTGGGTGTGTGGGTGGGAGGGTCAGGTTTTATTGTTGATAATTGTTGTTTTTAGCCTCTGTGAGGCACATTTTTTGTCTGAAAAGTGCCATACAAATAAAGTTGAATTTGAATTTGAAATTAAAGCTGCTATAAGGAGTTTTTTGATGTTTAAGAAATAAACTCAAATTCAGATTGATGTCTTCTCATGACATACAAAAGCAAAAAGCAAAGTCACAGTTTTGCTAACCATGCTGCCTGCCTCCACCTTCATATGTAGCTGACACATCAGTGGCGTATATTTTCTTATCTACCTCTGGGAATTTCTAATCAACCAGATTTTAAGCTTCATGGATTTCACTCAGTGAGTGTTAGATAAGCTGAAGTTCACTGTCCTTTACATTAATCCTCAACCGCTTCAATTGATCCATTTTAAAGGTTTCCTCTACCCTTGGCAGCGCTGTCAAACCACACCCTCGGGCATCATCTCTTCACCTCCATCCCCTTCCTTGCATGCTCAGTATAACTTATCTGGATAATTTGTGTTCTGCACACTGCTGTGTAATGCTTAAACACTCAAAGCTCCTCACTGAGAACTTTTCACCCTCTCCTCTGGGTGTAGGCTTTAAAAACTCAAGAACTTGCATGAAACCCATAATGTCAAAACTTCAGTGCAGCCTAACGGCCCTTTGAGCCACTGCATCAAACTTCTTCAGAGTCTATTTTGTTCTGTGTCAAAACTTTTCAATCTCTACTTCAGAGGCTTGTTTTCAAATGTCCCAGTCCTGGAGTGGAAAAAGAGGCCTAAACCATTAGCCCAGAACTCAGAACTTTAATAACAAGTTTTAAGCCCAATTTCAGTCTTTAATAACTCCATAACTTTCTCATTATTACAAACAATGACTTCAACATACTGTAAGTCAATGTAAAACTCGCAGAGCCACAGGGAGCAAGACCCTGAAGTTTAGAGTTTTTCCTGTAGAAGTTTGCGCTCCATATCCTTGGAGTTGGTGGCCTGACTTTTTTACTGAATTAAGGTCCTATGTATTTCTGCAAAACAAAAGAGACTATTTATGTCAATGATATTTCAGGAAAGACTAAAAACTCTTGTTGTCTTGCTTTTATTTTGAAGTTGCCCACAGGTCGGATACTTACAGTGAATTATCTGTCTTGTGTCTGGTGATACGGTGAATTTTCATTGGAGAAAAGCTTTCATGAATCATGCTGGCTGCAGATAAGCAAGGCTGATTATTTATTAACATCATGTCACAGTAAATGTTCCCTTATTGTGAAAATGTAAGTTTTAGTCGCTGTTATATGTGTATTTCTCAAGTCACAGTACATATTCACAGTACTATGATCATTTAATCTGACAGTGACCACAATAACAAACAAAAAAGTCATTGTTGAACCCAGCATTAGTGTTTTCTACTGCAAAATGCCACAGGTGTTTGCTAACATGTACACTTCGCTCCTTAAACTTGGTATGGTCTTGTTCTGTGTGAGTGACTTGGTGCATTACTAGGCTGAGATGACTCAGCTTACAGTCCTATAGTGAAATCATTGCCCTCCATTTAATTCTTTTTAGGAAAAGTTCAATCCTCCTTTGATCCCAAACACAAGTAAGCAGAAAAACAAACTATGGAGGAACCTAGAAATCCATGTGTTCATATTTCAAGCATTTTCCATGTCTTAATTTACCTTCACCTCGATATCTCCAAACATGAATTTTCCTCCAAATACTGTGTACAAAAAGTCAGTCGGCAAACTCAGAGAGGGCAAGTTCAAAGCACTTTTAATCGCATTAAAAGTTTCCATACAGTCATTTACAAGTCTAAGCATTTCCATTGTTAAATTGCCATTTTCACTGTTATCTTCTCCTTGCAGTGTCATCGTGAATTAAACAGCAAACACAGACCATGAACACAAAGCCTATTTCCTTCCTGACAAACCAATACAAATTTCAAATCCATGGTTAATTATGTGTTAACAGAACAAGAAGAATCCATTTTCCAGACCTTCCGGCCCTTATTGTTACATAAATTGGTAAAAAAAAAAAGAAAAAAAAAAGAAATAAGTTTCTCGCTTTATTCAGTGCCAATCATCTGAGGATATCTTCACATAAAATAAGACTCAAAAAGTCCTCCTCGAAGTAGAGGAACTCTTCATCTCTGGTTCTGATCTCAACACAAAGGCTTGCCGTGCCTCATGTTATTGGCACAGGTTCGGCCCAGGTTAGCTCCCTCCAGGAGCAGATCGGAGAGTCTATCCAGGCCGAGGCAGGTGGTGAGTGGGCTGACGAGGCCATAGAGCCCCCCTAAGGTGATTGCAAGGGGCCAGCCGATACAAAGTAGAACCACCAGCCAGATGATGCACCAGAAACAGGACCCGCAGCTGGCCATCCTAGACTGAGGAGGAAGACGGGAAAATTGGAGTTCCTTATAGAGGCACACATCAGCATGCTTTGCAAAGCCAAAAACAGTTATTATCAGACCTGTCGCTGCATGGAAGGAGAGTTTGTCAGCTCCTACAATAACATGAGAGTGACTTCTTTCAAACGCTCAAGACTCCTCAGCGATGATGTGAGATTATCAGATTGAAACATGCCTCGTTGATGATCTGGATGTACTTGTCAGGATTAGGCATTGGCCTTTACAAAGCATGATAAGCTGGCAAACCCAAGCAGCATCCACCAGGCCCATCCGCCAGCGTGCCACCCACTTACACACAGCGTTGAAGACCGGCAGTAGCACATTAGTCACACACTTATAGCAGATCAGCTGAGATCATGCTGAACTTCGGTAATGAGCATTACCTCATCTGTCATCGTGGAATAGCAAACAGCAGCCAGGAGTATCATGTGCTGCTATTTCAAGCTTTCAAACCATGATTAAAAACTGCTAATTGGAATCTTTCTCGTAACCTTCCCTACCTGATGATTTTAGGCTGCATTAAAGGAGATAAATTTAATTTTTCCAAGAAATATTAAGAGGTGCTTTTTTGTGTGTGAGTGTGAGTGGGTTAAAATCCCCCAGAAAAATCTGCCCTGAAGCTCAGCCTTGAAGTCGAGATTGTAGAACTGATGGTTTTAGTGAGTGTGAAAGTGTTGTTTCCTGTCAGATCCCTTAAACCTGTTTTAGCTTCAAGAATCCCCATTCAGATCCTCCCCCCTCCCCCTGCAGGCACTTCTGTCTCAGCTCCACATAATGTGTGATTTCCTGTTGTGACACTGCTGTCACTTAAGGTTGGGCAATAAATTACACATTCAACAAGAGCGTGTCCCCACGGTGGATCCCGTGCTTTTGGGGAACGCCTTTTGGATTGAAAAGAAAAAGAAAAAAAAGAAAACACATCAACCAGACTCTGGTCTCTCCTAAAGCCTGAAACCTTTCATAAAACATGTCCATTCTTCTACAACTTTATCACATTTTGCTTTTGCTCTAAAATTATAAAGTGAGCTGCTAAAGAGACGATTCAAATTGCAAGCAAATACACAGCAAGCTTAAACACTTGTGATCATCACCACAGGTACATTAACAGTTTTACTGCATGCTGTTAGTCTGTGTGACATCAGCAGAGGTTAAAAGAGGAGGTAGCTATTAACCTAATGAATACCTGTCGTGTGAGTATAAAAGACATGATCACCTTCTGCAGAGTGAGGTTGTGGAGGAAGCGTGCTCCTGATCTCCTGCTTGCTCGTAGCTTTTCCTCCCGGTCTCCCAGGTCCTGCTTGTGATTTCCAGAAATGTTGCGCGAACAGCAGTAGCCACTTCCCACCAGTTAGCTCTAATTGACTAAAACAAGGCACCACAGGCAACTGGATTCTCGAGAGGCCAGCTGGGAGAAAACAGAAAGTTAGTGACTGGGAGGCTTCTGGGAAGGCGGGAGGATATTACACAATGCAGACATTCATGTGACTCAAGGAAGTATGCTTGCTGTCATGGGTTTTAGGAGGATTAAGAAGCGAAACCCATGAAAGAATAACATGTTTAACCCTCTGGGGTCCTTAAAAAAAGTTACACTTAGGTCCTTAGTGTCCATCTCCTTAGTACATCTCACTCTTAGGAGATGGACAATTTTTGTCAATTTTAGGACATAAGTGTAACTTTTTCAGAAATCGGACAATACATCAAACATAATAATGCATCAAAATTAATATTGTTAATTATTGGCACATTATAGACCTTGATAAAACAACACAGAGATTCCTGCCCAGCATCTAATATATGGAAAATAACTCCAAATTTCTTTTTTTCTCATTCAAAATAACAGTGACATCATATAGTCAAACTGGCATTTAAAGGGTTAATATTCTGAAAATGAATTAATATTTGATAGATATGATCAGAAATGAAGTTGATTAAAAGATTTAAGCAAAAGAAAGTGGAAAAATATTAATGTATAATATTTTTATAGTACTTTTAGGAGATTGACATTTTTGTCCATCTAAAGACCTAAATGTATAGTGTTTTTGTCACACAGTGAATATTGACCTGATATAATAATGGCTGGTCAGGTTTGTAAAATTTGAAAAGAAAAAATAACCCTGAAAAAATCATCCCATTTGCATTAACACAGTCAAAATGATCAACAAATAAAAAGGTAAAAAGTCACAAAAAATGGACAAAAATGTCCTAAGAGCCCCTGAAGGTTTAGTGCTGTGAAATCTTTCTCCACACTATACAGTTTATTGATGTATTTTTTTTTTGCCTTCTATGTGAAACATCAGTCTAATACACGGACACAGATCTACCCGGCAGAGATTATCTCTCTTATCCAACCTCATATTCTAATCCTTTTCTCAGCCGACACAGCCGTCTACTACAAAACACACTCATGCTAACCCCGACCCAAAGTGCCCTGCTCTCACATGATGGGAAAAAAAGCCGACATTTCATAGCTCCACACTTGACTGAATGCAGAAAATGTGTCTCTTCACATCTATCAACACATGGTTCTCCATCAGGTCTTCAGACTGAGCCCAGGCTGGAGCAGCTGCGCAGCTGACCTGTTCTCTCCTCCTGCCTGAGGTATGATGTAACAACAACCAGCCTCTTGTGCATGATAATGAATGAACTTCCAGTCTGTATTTTCATCTGCAGGGATGTAGACTTTGATAACCTTTTGATTTTAAGTGAATTTAAACACCAAGACCTGTGCTTGAACTTGTTTTGGAATATTTTCGTACGACCAAAACTTCAAACCTCAAATTATTTGCTTGAAAACCTCAGCACCAATCTTTCTGAAATGAGCTATTCTGCAGAGCTGCATGCTGTTAGCACTACACACAAAGTTATGAATGGCAGAGGATTTAAGGGCTTGCTGGATGAGTGACTGTGTACATCCAGAGGGCAAGTTGAAATCCCCCAGCATGCACACTGGCCCTTGGGTAAAATGACTGACCTACAAACGAAGCTTAGTCGCAGCTTGTGTTGCTGCTATCGACTGAGCCAACCAGATTTGAGTTGTGCTTACAGCGGGGAAGGGGAACAGATGAATGGATGGGTGTATCATGACAGAGAGATTGGAACGTGGCTTTAATTTGTTAGATATACAGCGCATTTGTCTGACGATGTTTGCGTGTGAGAAGGATGTAGATCAGAGTCTTTGAAAGAGTATTATGAGCTTTGGAGGGTGCGTATAGTGTTCAGGAAAAAAAAAAACGGACAGACAATGAATGATTTACAGTTTTTATTAAAAAAGGACTGATGATACAAAATTCAAAGTCTCCAGAAAAATGTACGAAAAAAAGAAAAAAATCACTGTTTTCAAAATGAGGGACACTCATCTTGGTCCTCGACAATTTTTGCGTTTTTTTAACTCCAAAGTAGTCCCACATTTAGACTCTCTACTGTTGCTCCCCCTCTTCACTGTCCTCCCCATCACTGTCGCTGTCTCTGCCGGGATGCTCTGGCATCTTGGCGTGCTCCTCCGTTTCTTGACTGTCTGTGTCTTGACTGTCTTTACTCTCGCTGGTGTCCTCAGATTTCAGCTCCGCATCCCCTCCTTCTGGGGCTTCCTGCTCCATGGGGGTATCTTCCTGTGGTTCCTCTGGGCTGGCTGGTGCTTTTTGGACTGCAGCATTTGACTTGGACTGCTGCGGAGGCAGAGCCAGATTCTGCTGTTGCTAAAAGGGAAAGGATTGGAGAATAAGATTGAGAATTTAGAAGAGTAAATTTCAACCGTAGATCTAGTCTTTGTTGTTATTCTTTGGTTTTAGGATGTGACACCGCCCGTACAGTAAAAATCACCCCAGCATCACTTTAACAGAATTGAATGTGTCACACTGCTGCATCAGAGGCTGTGTCTACAGATGCTGTTTCTTGCACTGGCAGCACCTATCTGCTATTCAAACTGGATACAGTTCGGCAGATCCAGCACTTGGCATCCGCAGCACAATTACACCAGTGTCAGTGTTAATGTCAGCTGTTTTTTGTTGCTGCTCTCAGATGAAAATAGTCCGATGGCGCCCATCAATATCACTTTTACTCACTGACCAATCACAGCCAAGAAGGGGCGGGACTTCTAATGTCTGTCTCTACATTTTTCTATCAATTGGTTACATGTTTCCTTTGTTAAATGACATTGAACGAAAGAAAATATAAAGCAAATGCCCTGCTGATCCCTTCTGACTGAAGCCGAAGTGCAGTGGTGTGGCTTTCGTAACCTAGCAACAGTTAATGCTGGTAAGAGGTGCTCTGAAATTGAGGTGGTGGGTACTGCCAGTACTAAAAAAAAAGGACACGTTCTCTAAATGCTAAAAAATTAAACTAAAAGTGGGACAGAAATACTGCTCAGCTGAGCTGCATCTTTAGGGGTGTTACCTTACTGCTTTAGCTGCATGTCAAACTTATAAACATGTAAATGTCAAATTGTGTCTGTTGTATTAGAGAGAGCATCAGCACTGCACTGTTTAAGGTTAACAGGTTTCTACCTGTCTGTACTTCTGCGAGGTCTGGATCATGTGCATGTACATATTGTACACCAGCGTGGCCATCTCCGGCATGTCCTTGATGATTCGGTCCGGCTGTCCAGAAGCATCTCTCTGAGGAAAGGAAACACAAAAAGGTTTGAATCTAGGAAATGACGTGAGAGGAATGAGAATGACGAATTTAATCCGTCTTGTTCGCGTTTATTCTTTCAGGCGCCACCTGGCAAACCAATGATCGGATGCAAATGTGCAGAGAAATCCACAATTCACCTGCTGCCTCCTTGTTATGTGAAAGCAAATGTCTGACTGCCCTTGGCTTCAACTGCTCACGTACTCGCAGAGGATTTGAGGCTGCAGAGTTAGTAATTTGACAGCATTAGCATGCAGACGCAGTCTTATTGGATAAACTGAAGAGTGAGGCGAGCAGAATATTCAATCTTGAGGGCTGTTTCCTCCTAAATCCCGGGGTTGTGATCCTCAGAGGCCCTTTGAGCACTGAGTCAAAGTGAACGCACTAAAGGCTTCTCAACAGTAAAAGTTAACTGTGTGTGCTTTATTGCTTTTAAACTATCAGTAAAAACATCAGGGCGGTAATGTGTTTCCCTGTGATTAACTGTGATTACACATCAAGCTTTAGTGTCTGTCTGCTGCTTTCCAACACGGCTGTATAGATGTGTGTATATCTATACGCAACATTAAGCAGCAGTCTTATATTTTACTTTTACATCTGCCTCTGAATCAGCATTGTTCAACAGCCTCTTAAAGTCCTGGTCCAGTGTTGCCAGGCTCGAGTCCAGCTTTAATCTGTATCTGCGTGTAAAGCAGTGGGGGTTTACTGACTCCAGATAGACGGGCTAAGCAGGGGCCTCATGTGTGTGCCCGACAGGCCTGTCCCCCTTGGGGATGAACACTCCAGAGTCAGAGGAAGTGTCAGAGGCTGTGGGGTATTTTAGACACAACTGTTGCCACACACGCCAGTCAGCGAGATGAAGTGACCAGACAACAGCCGTCTCATGCCGGCCTGGTGGGATTTAGGGTGCTGGTTCGGCCTTCTGAGGGTTAATTATAGCCGAGTCTGTGATTTCCATTCTTGTGGATGGCAGATGCAGAATGCTGCTAACAGACCAAGGCCTGTGGGTAAAGCCGCACTAAGACACGGGACTAGTGAGAGAATGAGCGAATGAAGGTGCCATTCAGAAAATAGAGGCGGGATTAGTCAGGGGTTGAGGTGACGGTGGCAGCAATGACATGGGAGCAGCAGTTTTAAGGAGCGAGTTTGGTTTTGTTAGCAAATCTGGAGCTTGTTCGCTTCATTAGCAGCCAACTGTGACAGGGTGGGAGATGATTGCGCTTTGAGAATCTGATGTGTGCACGCGTGTACGTACAGGCTGCTCTTGGCCGTAGTACTCGTGCGGTCTGATGTGTAGCTGCAGAGGTCTGGCAGTGAGTTGGTTGAAGGCAGGAGTCAGCTCGAAGCAGTTCTGGAACAGCGACACCCGGGCGAAGATGTACAGACCCAGCCTGGCTCTTGACATGGCGACCACCAGACGCCTCACATCCCTGCAGAGTAAAAAACATGGAGTTGAAAATTGGTTTGACACCAGAGGAGGAAAATAATCACAGAGAGATAGGAGAGGGTTGAAGGGGATGTGCGAGATTGTAACATTAGATGTAATCACGTGTCAGGTAAAACCAAAAAAAAACAACAACACGAAAAAAAGAAGCCGAGGATCAAAGAGGAAGTAAGCAGGTGCAGATTTGGAGGCAGAAATGTACAGCTGTGTAGGAGGAGAGAGGTTTAGAGAGGGATCAGCGGCAGTAGGTGAGGGGGGGCGGATATAGCAGGGAAGAGAGGAGAAAAGACATGAAAGGCAGAGGGCAGGGATAAAAACAGAGAGACAAAGAGAGGAAATGGTGGGAGATGAGGAGAGGGCAGACAGGCCTCTTTTTTCCTGCCTTCTAGTAGAATTAAAAGATTAAAACAGAGGAGTCATTTCATGGAAGATGGAGGAGAGGACTTGATTGATAATCACAGACAAAGTGGTTGTTTACCTGCTATATTTATATTCTAGAATAAAACTAAACAGAGCTACAGTGTGTTAAAAATACACTTCTGTCTTAGTGCACGTCTACAAATCATACTGGACTATAAGAATTCAGCCAATAAGCACTTCTTCACTAAAAAGGGGGAGAGGGAGCTCCGACTTCTTCCATTATGTAATGAATCTTTACATTGTGTGTTTTAGGTGACCCAACAGAGTGTGCAAAATCTGACCATTTGGCTGGTCGATAAATCTTTGAGACAAAAGCACACTGAAGGAGGAGGAAAGTGGATAGAAGAGGGAGGAAGTGTTTGGCTCAGTGCTTCTGAAAACACTCGTCTTGTTTGATGTGTCTAAATTCTGGCACATGTCCGTGTTTGTTTACATGCACTTATGAACATACATCAACTCACACTGGTGCTGAAATGCAGCCAAGAAGATTGTGAAATGTGTCCACCTGACGACTTCGTAAGATTAAGTGGATTAATCCTTTCAATATGCAGGATGAGTTTATGAATATGTAGAAGGAAAGGAAGGCTTATGGGGACCATTGTGCGGGGTTTATGAGGGAGTTAACAGGAGCTTCTGATTTATACGAAGCTGCGACGAAACACAAAATCCAAACCCAAAACAAAACTTGAAAGAGCAACATTTCCACAGAGACAAACTACAACAACCAATGAGGACAGAGTTCAAGAGGAAACGAACCAATCACGACGCATGATCGCCTGTGGACATGGCACTTGTGAGAGACGCCCACCTGGACTGTGCTGTGACATGGCAGGGCAAAGTGGGTAAATACAGTTTGTGTGTGTGTGTGTGTGTGTGTGTGTGTGTGTCCATGTCAGAGCGTGTCTGGATCTGTCAAAGAGTGTGCCTCTGCATGTGACCGTGCCTGTGTGCATCAGCAGGAATGCTTCTCCTGTCAAAGCGAGGGTCAGCTCGTCATATGGTCAGCTGCGTCCCCTGTGGTTGTCACGGCAGCAGATTGCCGTGGGGAGGGATGCAGTGGAAGGGGAGAGTACAGGAAGAGGATGAGGAAAAGGATGAAGAGGAGGAGGAGGAGGGGGATGGTGGGGTAGAAGTCAGCAGTGCACCACAGGGATCCAAGTATGAGGAAAAACAATGAACTGCAGAAGAATATCCATTGAAGCGCTCCTCTTTCAAGCGCTCAGCTGACCATTCAGAAGTGTCAGGAGGAGCAGATATGAATGAAAGTCAGGCTTCATCGAATCTGTCCAAGGTGGGATTAACAGGAATCTTTCTGCTGTTTTCATTTTAACGGGAAGACTGTGTGAACTTTACACAAACATGTCTGTTTAGAAGTCTTAGGCTGCGTTCACACTGCAGGTTATGATGCACAATTCCACACTGCAGTCACATTGGATACATATCCGATTTATATCCACATACAAAAGAGGCCTGGGTCGGATTTGAAAAAAATCAGAATTGCACTGTTCACACTTACATGAAAAAATCAGATGTGTCACATATGGTTAAAAAATCGGAATTGACCTGCAGTGTGAACACAGCCTTAGTGAATGATACAGAAAACATGAAAAAAGTACAAAAAGGTGTTGAGCTCTTCATCTTTCCCCCAGCTGGACAATCTCAATTAAAAAATTCAAGAAACTGTGCATGTGATGGAGGAATGCACAGTGCATGTAGGGGGTGTGGCCTCAATAGCCCTGCAGTAAGCAGTGTGCATGTGAGTGCAAGGAGTGTATTTGCATTAAATCTGGCTGTTTTAGCCAAGATTATGCTACAATATATTTTCCCCAACTATATTAAAGTTTCCTGTTGAGGGCCAACCTTCAATTTAGTTAATTTAAGATTTATTCCCCATGATAATTCATTCCCATATATTCCTGTTAATTCCCGTGGAAAGTTTCCAACTTTGAAAATTCCTGGGATTTTGCAACCCTAGTTGTGTGGGACCAGACTTTGGTTTGTCTGTATTTTTGAGTAGTTTTGATAAATCACTAATCATCATTGTTATCAGGCGTTGATGTATACTAGAATAACAGTCCTTAAGGAGAGCAAAAACAGGCATAACGCAGTCCACTGTAACATCCAGCCTCCCATTAGAGGTACTCTGACAGCTGTTTATTCATCTCTATAAACAGATGTCTGCATGTAAAACAAGAGCAAACAGCAATAACAGAAGCACTCGTCTTGACTCTGTCCCGACAGCTGATTCCTGTTAAGGTTTCCTGACTTTGTAAAATGCACCCAAACTGCTAGATCTGAGCTCCATCTGACATAGAAGCTCTTCTCCTCTCTTCTGGAGGACATACATGTTAACCAGCACTACCAACAGAGTGAAGTATCAATGATATTTATGATTTACAGAGAAAAGGTGAGACTCACCAGAAACAGATGAATGAGTGCTTCTCTGGACGACATTATAAACTAAGAAATGTAGATGTTTATTCAGCAGATAACTGGAGTTGGAGCACATTGTTACAGGGAGACCATCTGATAACCTTCCACAACCCTCCCACTTTGAGTGGGCTGAGAATGTGGATAAGGCAGTGTGCAATATCCAGTATAAGACAAGATCAAATAAATGATAGTGAGAGGAGAGCAGGAGCTGCCAGCAAGATAAGGCACCGCTCTCTGTGTCCCACTGCAGTTCTTACTTCTGGTACATGAATTTATAGATTTATCTAACAGATGAGAAAAGAGCCAAAGAAGAGTTTTCGTCTGTGAGCTGAAAACTGACCGTGATTTCAGATGGGGTTCGGAGGGAGGGCATGAAGTTAGCTACAAAAGGTAAAACTTGTTATGAACGCTGTGGATCTAATTTGCCGGATAGCCGATGTGAAATTGAGGGAATGCACCAGCAGAGCAGCTGTGATGAAGCTGAGAGCTCTGCAATTCACACAGCAGCTACTGTACATCACAGCCAGAGGACAGCATGCTATGTTTAAGTAGTGTGCAAGATCGTCCGATATGAAACATGTAGGGTAGAGTGTGAGGAGCCCATCAGGATGTAATGGCAAGCTGAGAAATGAAAGAGCGCTCCACTATGAATTCATTTAGTGAAGGAGGAAGGAGGCGAGGAGAAGAGAAGAGGGGGAGCACAGAGATAAGAAGGCGGGAGGACAGCAATGGGAGCAGTGAGACAAAAAGACACTCCCCCGCAGTTTGGTTAACCACCGTGCCTCTTAATTACCGTTACATGGCGTGCCTTTAATCAACCGCAGCTCTTTGTTTAATAGTGTCACTCCAATCATGCGAGCACAATGGCCTCTCCTTACCAGGACAAAAAGTAAAGTCGACTCCGCAGACGTGTTCCTGTCCTAAAGCTCCACTTATCCTGCCTGACTCAAATTAAGCTCATACACGGTTCGAGACAGCCGCCGCAGTGTTATTGTCGGTTCTTTCCTTCAGGAAACTTCTGTCAGTCAGAGTCTCCTGAGAGCTGCTGTCTCAGGAGAGTGCAGTGCTTACAGTTTCTGTTGTGTTGTTTTTTTTTCCCCTCTGGAGGGTGTGTATCCAAGTTGTTGATCCTATTACTCGAGTATGTTTTGTAGAAGAAAAGCAGCTGATGGTGATCGTCGTCAGAGTTGCTCTGAACCGCTTACCTCAGATGTCCCACAGCTTTGGTGCGGACCAGTGAGAGGATGATGTAGTCATTCTGCTGACCCTGGAACCTGTCCACTGTTGTCACCTGCACAGACACAAGCGCATATTCATTAGTACAGCAAGTAAGAAGTCCCACACATACACAAATACACACAGAGAGATACGCCAACTAAGCTATGGCAGATGATGTATTTTGCACAGTAAATGAGAGTGTGTGTATATTTAGGGGTGGGTGGAGGGATTTAGCTGAAATGTTTAGAGACACGAGCGTGGCTGCTCTCCGTCTTAAATCCTTTTCTTTCTTTTTTTGATTTATTTTGGAGCGGAGGTAGTCGACAATGCTGCGGGTGTTGTCATGTTAGTGCTGTTATCGCTGCGGGCCACATGGACAGCCTGCAGGGGCTAATACGGCTTAGAGGGCATTTGCCGTCACTAACCTCTTACCTGGGCCCCCGAAGACTCAGGGCCAAGGTATTTGGGGCCACCCCGCTTGACTGGATCAGAGATTACTTTCTGGGAGAAGTGTCTCTCTGAGGGGACCCTTGTCAGCCAATTTGCTTTTATGCCCTGGTAATCCTGTCTCGCTGAGACGCGTTTTTCATTCCAGTACATGAAGAGCAAAGCTGTGTTTTGACTTTGTCAGTGCTGCAACACCTTACATCATAAAGACATCATGCTGCACTCACACTTGGAACTTCACAGTGAGTTAAGAGACACTAAAACCAAAACTCGTACAGTAATGCTGTTTTTATATCAAGCTGCTTATACAGCCTGTACTTTCACAACACATGGTGAGGTTTACATGGAGAGTTCTCACTAAGGGGTTTGAATTATAAGTTCACCGCCAGACATTTTGCACTAGCAGGTAGAAGGCTCTTTCTGTATATACCGCCAATTTATGGGGGAATGTTTACACTCACTAGGGGTGGGAGAAAAAAAATCGATTCACAAAAGTATTGTGAGGTTTTGTTTTACAATTTTCAAATCGTTTTTTATATTCAATGATCGATTTTTTTTTTTTTTTTTTCCAATTTAAGAATAAATCTTAAAAACTGACTTACATGGGATGTGTATTTTTTGGGGAAAATCTGTTTCTGGAATAGTCAGCAGACATTCATAATCATTCAACTGTTTCATCCCAGCCCTAATTTACACCTCTTTTTACACTGAGGCAGAGCAATAAGGCAAGGTGGTGGTGTAGTGTTTGAGTTAGCATGGTTACTTTCATCAAGACTAAATGTAGTAAGAGATTAAATCAGTGTTGGGTACAGGTGTCACGATATGATACTGATATCAGATATCGGTCTGCTATCAGCAAAAAAATGAATATCAGATTATATCGGCCTGCATCTAAAATCTCAGGACTCCAAAACAAACAGTCCATTCCAGACTCCACTCTGGCACCTCTATCTTGCAGCGCCCTGATCCAGCAAGCTGAGCCCACAAAATCACAACAACAGTGTGGACTAAGGTACTAACAAAGTAGCAAGGAGGAAAAGTGATGTCGGCCTTGTGGCAGTATTTTTTGTTTCAGTCTGAAAAAGATGTTGCAGCTGAGTGAAAAACTTGCCATGCACAATTTTGTGCTAATATTGGATCAATATCAGTATTGGCCTATAGCGTTGAGTGATAAACATTTACTATAAAAGTATGACTATGATGATAAAAGGAGAAACCTTCTTTCAGCCCAGTAGAGAGAGTTCAGTCTCCCCTCTGAGGATCCTCCCTGGATCAATAGAACCTCATCTACCACCGAAAAGCCACACAGACCCACAGCTACAGCAACCAACCCTTTGAAGCAGCCATGCTAAATAAATGATCCTGTTGTTGTGGTTGCCTCTTGTTAGCTAATGCAACTTTAAGATACTCCCATGTGCCAAACCCTTCCACAAAAAGCCTTTTTGGTGTTAGAAGAAAGGTCTGAGGGGTGAAAAAAGTGTGTGATCATCTAAATGAGGAAGAGCCACTGATGTAGTAGACCAATATTTATTTACGTCTCCCTGTTGCTATGTAGAACAGGTGCAGCACCAGAGGCAACAATATGTCGCTTTCACAGTAGCATGAAGCTGTGCAGGCTGTATGTTCAAGTCGGAGCAGCCGTGCCGTGTGTGCATGTGTGCGCATGTTTACAAAAATCTGCCTGACACAGACACACTCCGACGAAGCCTTTGTTTCAGGAGGCTACAGCCGTGCGAGATGCTTTAAATGCGCGGTTAAAACCAAAATAGTGCCACTTGTTTTTGCAGACAGGGGGCTGCTTCAGAGTGAGTGAGTTATTCTTAGCTCACAGACAGTGACAATGAAGCCCAGATAGAGAATCTCCCCAAGGCGTAGCATTTTGCATGGTGTTTAGTTATTTATGAGGAATCTTCAAGGGAGTGAATTACAGAGGTCATGTCATTGCGGCACACATGCAAGTCTGTGGATACACGGAAACAAACCTGATCAGAATAGGCTCACAGCCACATATTCATCCACATGTAAACACTTCCTACATTTCGGTGCAGTTTGAAGTCATTCGCTCAGTTTCCTCTTTCCTCCATCTTGCCCTCCTGCTTATCATCACTCAGACAATGTCGTCCTGTCTCCTGGCCTATGGTCAAGCTTGGACCTCTCCCTCTGCCTCGGTCACGTTATCCTGTCTGCCATGTTTATTTAATGGCAATTACCCCCTGGAATCTGCAGAATTTAGAGTGCCGGATTATCCAATTTTTAGGAGAAATTCTCAAGGCTGACAAAATCTAAACATCTCCAATATTCCAAGGCTAAATATTATCTTAGTAATAGATCAATATTTAATATGAGATGTAAACTATTTAACTACACACAGTAACTTAGGCTGGTGTGTTTTCATGTTGTTGGCCGAACTCTCCTTTTCTGTCTAATTATCATAATAGCTGTAAAATGGTCTGGCTGGTGACATCTGCTTGGTTTCAGCCATTTTGACATATTGTCAGACACACTGAGGACCCGAAGCCCAGCGCCGTGACCTTTCAGCTGCTCAGCATTTTACCCACAAGAGCCCCTCTGCTTTCTTTTTCATCTCCCTCTCCCTCTTTGGGCGTCTTTCTTTTTCAGCGAATCTAGCAGCCTGTCACCCCAGTCACTTTATTACTTGGCATGCATTCTGACTAAGCCCATGAGCACAATGACTGACGCTTCATGTCCTAACATTGCGGGACGTTTTACATGAGCAAGCACAATTTCTGGCAAGATGTCAGTATGTGACATAAAGTTGAAGACAAAGCAGCAAGGTGGCATGGCACAGCACTGAACACAAACCCAGTGACAGGGCGCAAAAATCTAAACGATCCACTCCCTTCTGCTTAAAAAGCTGCCAGAAAATTAACAAGCAGAAACAGGTGGATTTTTATTGTAGCCTCGTGTGAAAGAGGATAGAAAATCTCACAAAGAGGACGATCTAGCAGTAAATTTGTTTCTCATCTGCTCATGTGGGCTATTGTTTTTGGCTTATCTGAATAGTCTGAATGAAATCATTAAAGGCACACGCTTCTGAATCCACCCAACAGTGTGGAAAACTTGGATTATTTGGCCTTGTTATGTACTTTCAACCGCACTCCCATCAGGGGTGCATTCTACGGCATAACACCGGACCAAGAACAGTCGGAGACTAAGAATGAGGAAACGCCTCGGCTGTATCCTCCTATTAAAAAGGTTTCGTCGGCAGTATGGACGTTTTACGGCTTCACATAACAGACGGAGCAGGTAAACCTGACACCAATCTGCAGGTTATGCTGTCAGGAAGTTGCAGCGCCGTTGTCTAACACTTCAAACCTACGTGCCCACCTCCGTGAAAACCATCCAGCATCATTCGCCCAAATCAACTACTCTACTGCTTATTATTGACAACATTAGTGACGTTTCTGCTAACTTTAGCTCCAAAGAGCTAATGCTCTCAATGTCGTGTTAGCTGCCTCTTGCTCATATTGTTTGTGCGTGTCATGCTGTGCACAGAGAAGTGATTTAGCAGTTTTTTGCCATTTTTAATAACGTTGAAAGCAATGCGCTAATATCGTGATAATATCGTGAATCGAGATTTCTTGGGCCACCAATATCGTGATATCAAATTTTTCATACCGGCACATGCCTAATCTTGAGTGCTGGTATCAGAGATTTTAGATACATGCCAATATGAACCGATATTTGTTTTTTTTTTTTGCTGATATTGGACCGATATCCGATATCAATATCCTATTGGGACATCCCTAATTGTAACAAAAAACTGCTCTAATGATCAAGCGTTTTTCTAATTTGGTCTTAAAACTGGTAATTACCAAAAGATGCAGAAACTTAGCAACTTTTTTTGCCCTTTCAAGGATAATTGTTGCTTGTATGAGTAGAACTGCAGCGCTCTCTCTCCCCACAATTTCTCTCCCACAATACAAAAAAATGAACCTCTCTATACAGTATGTTTGGGCTTAACAACAGACCTGCTATGCTCAAATTTAATTGGCCAGCAGGGAGAAACTCTGGCTTACCATTCAAACCGTAGCAGAAAGAGAGAAAATATTGAAAATATCTCAACACAATCTGGCACCTTCTGTTGTCGTGGCACACTGACAATCCAACCAACTAGAGATATGCAAACGCACTCAATTCTTGCAACTTTGTCCCCCATACCTAAACCGGCTGTCATTGTAAAGTGTGTAAAAAGCTGAAAGAGTGGAAGCCGAAGAAAGGTGCGCTTATGTGGGTTGGGGAAAAGAATGGTAGACCGAGTAAAAGCATAACCTGAGGCTGAAAGCGTTTAGCGGAGCAAACAGAAAACGGATGGAAAACTGTGCCAACGGGCTGCTGACTGAACACAGTGTGAGGGAAGACAAGAGAGAAAAGAGACAAAGGCATTGAGAAAAACTGTGGGCTGGATGGAGACAATGTAACACAATTCTGCAGGGATGAGCGCTACACTAAGTTTACACCCCCTCGAAAATTATGCACACTCAAATCCTTTCCACCTCTACACACCTCAGTGGGTTTGATTTACAGAGGTATGCTGTGGGCTGGTATGCAAACTGTTAGGGACAGATAGCACAACGTGACCTGATCTACTTAGGTCTTATGACCTGCAGCAGTCTTCATGGTCTCATGATTTGATGGGGACAATAAAAGCCAAAGAGAAAAACAAACCCTTCTCCTTGGGCCCCGACAGGGTTTAGTGATGTTATAGCTTGTATCACTAAGAGGTTGAAATGAGTCTACGGGTAAACAACTAAAATAAACACAGTGAGGCACATTTTCACCCGTAAACTAATACCACAGGACTCCACGGGAAATCTTTTAATCTGTGAGCATCAAACTTATAAATTTCAGGGGTGGGAATCATGCTACGATATTATATTAGTGCAATTTTTAACAGTTTGCAATACAGTGAGTATTAGGATACAATATATTGCCATTTACACAGTTTTTTTCAACTGTTTAGCTAATTTAGCATTTGTCTTTACTTTATGTTTGCCTTATTTACACAGTATTTTATTTTCATGTAGCATATCTTGCAAATCTTATACATATATAATTGTTGTACGAAATTTCTCCTGCTCTATGATGTCACCTCTGCCAACCTCTCTGGACAAACAGTTGACTTTATTTTTCAATTATCATAGATTTGACTTGATATTAACAATTTATTTGAAAAAAATCGATACTTAGATGAGACAATACGATATATCACCAGACAAAATATCGCGATACTATGCTGTATCGATTTTTTTCTCCTGCAAACGCTTCAAATGAGGAGATACGTCAAGTCCCAATGCGGGGGCTGTGGGGAAACGGAGTAAAAAATGTATATGCTCACTTAAAGGGTGAGAAAGACGACTGTATGTGTGTGTGTGTGTGCTTTTGTGTAATGCAGAGCAGATATTTGATGCGCCTCATGAGACTTGTGAATTTTCCTCTCAGTGCGGCGGAGCTAAAGAGGCTGGTGCACTGACTACAGCCGACAAGTGGAGGTGTGAAAAAAACGTGTGCATGTTCCGTGTGTCATGTATGTTCCTACTACTCCGCTCTGAGTCTCACACGTCTAATATGAGGTGAAAACGTGTCTGTTGGGAGCATGTTATCCTTCCTGACGGGAGGGAAGAAATGTGTCGCCTTTCAATGATATTAGGAGCGTGTGCGGTTGATGTGTGGCATATATGACTACATAAAATATGTAGATTTAGCGAGCTAGTTGAGTACATCTCAGCAGCTGGATAATTAAAACTGAATGCTGAAATATGGGAAGATATAAATACAGAAATATGACCCAATTACACATTAAACCCAAACTGTTTGACATCAATACATGATTCCTGATTAAAATGATACTTCTTTGCTTCTGCAGCTCCTAAACTTTGGAATATCCGGCCTCAGCACGTCAGACAGAACTCCTCTTTGCCTGTTTTAAGACCCACCTCTTCTCTTTGGCTTTTAACATCCAGTAGGAGGTTGACTTCCTTTATTTGATTTTATTGATTGTATTTGTTGTTGTTTGATTTTACTGTGTTTTTCTCATTTATTTTTATCTTATCTATTGTGCCTCCGTTGTGTTATTTATTGTATTTTTTATCTCGCTGTGCAGCACTCTGTAAACGTTGTGTTTGCTTAAATTGTGCTATATAAATAAAATGGATTGGATTGGATTGGATTAAGACATACCCTTTATTTTACATCCATATCTTCACGCACAGGTCGGTCAGTGTCGGCTGGTGCATGTGTCCTTACCTTGTTAGGCTGGGCGAAGAAGGGGTTTCCGGCACAACGCTGGTTGATGACGTCTCTGATCAGGTGTTTCTGTCCATTGTAGGTGGTGAGGATGCTGATGCGGTCAGCGGGGTAGCCCAACAGGCGCATGTACATGTACAGAGCCACGCTGTATTCGGCCTCTGCCAGGTTCTGTGCATGAAAGAAGAGCGAAGAAAGAGATAGGATTAACACTTGTAGATTTTACTTTTTCAACATAGTAAACAGTTAAAGAGACAAAATGTATGTCTGTAAATTTACCCTGTCGTTATTAAAGCATGAAGGCTTACTGCTTTACTTCACACCCTTCTTTCTGTGAGGCTGTCTGCTGTGTTTGTCACCTGGCTGGCCTCCTTCTCTTGTACTGTCACGTCTTGCATTTGCCCTTTCCCCCCCGACAAGTGTTTAACTTCACAGCCAGATTAGGGCCCACTCATTTACACATGAGTAGCCATCTGATTTGGGCTGGAATTAATTGCCTCAGACTGAGTGCAACGCCACAAGCTGCAAGGCTAGGACTAAACTTCCTAATCTGGGTTGTATTGCATCCAGATTTTCAAAACCAGCGTTCTCTTTTGAGCACTTATCATTTCATCAGTACTTTCTCTACGTTCAAACAAACTAGAAACACAACACTGGTTTAATTATAGATCTCTCATCTAAATACCCACATTTCCAGGCCCCACAAGACAATGCCATCTCCAAATGTGATCATTAAAAGGCTAACACTCATCATTTATCTAGTTAAAAAACAACAAACTCTCCAGCATGTGCGTCCAAGCTCCGACTCTGGCTAAACTCTGCCCTTCGAGTGTGACCCAAAAAATAATTAAATAAATAAAAAGAAGCCAGCAGGATGCATAATTCATCCGGTTTCAATTAAGTCTGGATGGCAGCCTCACATCTTTGATAATAATTTATGCGGCTTCATCAACAGCTCCCTATCTGGCCGCACTGAAGTCAACACTTCAAAAACAGTGGCAGGCTTTGTTCTCCCTCCCTTGTTACCTATCTCCAAATGGCTCAAATCCATCACTCTAATGACCACATGAATGGATATATAAGGCAGGCGTAGGGGAAGGTATTTAACGGTATCTACAAAATGTTTCACAAAGAGCTAAAACTCATCATGTGAAGGAGGTAAACACCCAACTTCATTTGCGACTGAGAATCAATTTAATTCCCTTGGTGGAGTCCTCTAATTTGAAACTTTATCTCAATACTGACAAAGTACTCCTCACTATTCATTTGCAGGAACAAGAACCATGCAGGAGTCCCACTCACTCACTGGGGAGTTATATCTGAGCAGACATGTAGTCTTTCAACCTCATTTGCATATTTTGTATGATTATGACCTAATGCCAACACTCCAAAATAGCAGGTTATTACAATGATGTCAGATCTAATGCTTGCAGTTTGAGGGCTACATGAAGACTTCAGGGAAGGTAGAATCAAAATCTTGACTATATGTGAGTGAAGCCTGAAATGTGACTTTAAAATGTCGCTCGTGAAGCAGAAAAGCCTCTAGTGGCTGAGAGAGAAAAAGCCATTTTCTAACAACAGTGGGTGTGGATTAAGATAAGCATCTCACCCCTTATGAGCCATCTGACAACTTGGGAAATAGTATCGATGACGCTGAGGCTCAATATGGAAAGTGCTTTAACAAATGAGGCAAAGGCTCAGGAACAGACCTTCAGAGTGCAGTGTGTGTGCGCGCATGTTTGTGTGCACGACTGCTGCACAGATTTCTGTTTAAGTGCAAAGCAGGCTTGTGGCAGTGTTTGTTCAGCTGTGACAGACCTCCAGCCCACACTGGATACATTTGCTTCTCTAGTGTCCAATTTATCCCTTCTGGTTCCTGGGAAAGTGCATGCATGTGAGTGAGTGTGTGAGTGTGTGTGTGTGCGCAGATAATTGTGTGTGCCCGTGTGTGTCTATGTGTGTGTGCTTAGCAAAGTGAGTAATACTCGCAATTCCCTTGAGGAGCCTGAAAATGGCAACAGGCAAATGGAGTTGAGGTTCATGTGACCTGGTGCCTCGAGAGGCGCACATGGTCTGGATTTAAGAACAATAAGTAGCTTCAGGGACATGAGCAAACACACTGTTGACCACTGCAGCAGCAGCAGCATCCACACAGCACTGAGATAAGGTATCTTCTTTAACCATGCTGCTTCTAACTAAATCAGAGTCTCCTGTAAATGATTTACTTCTTTCTAGACTTCACTACCATCTGTACTTTTTTAACAACCGAGCAATAATCCAGCAAAAGTAACTTTTCCCAGAGATTTCGCCACTCTTTGTGTCATACTAGGCATTTTTCAGTCACATTAAAACCCTTCAGCTGGTGTAGTGTAAATGTTTATTAATTTTTTTTACACACCTCTATCAGCCTAGCCCACCCCACCCCGGCCCGGCCCACACACAGGCTTGAGTCTTGAGTGCCTCAGTGATGACATGTTGAAACACAATCCGGCTCCTTGTGTGAAGGACAAACCCACTGGTCTGTGCTGGGCAGCCGGTGTTAGCGAAGCGGGGTTATGAATACATCACATGGACTGGTAGCTGGACCATTAAGATGTAAAAAATGAATGAACTGCTGTACGACAAGCGATTCAGTGGAAATGGAGACAGGGGAGGGATGTCTTTATCTGCTCTGGTGGAACTAAATGTGTGTATCTGTGTAAAGGAGTGTATAACCTGTGCTTGGAAACAACCACTCACTGTGTTAGACAAACTATTGCTGTTTAAATCAGTTTAATTGATGTTATTCTAGCTGTGTCGTGTTCGTTTGTGAGTGGGTTGGTGTTTATTTCTGCTGACCTGGTAGAAGTAAGGGTTGGGTTCAGATTCCCCCACCCCGTTGAAGTCCTCAACGTTAACCAGCTGGAAGTCAAATGTCAGGCCAGGGTTTGGCACCTGGAACTCAGGCAGTCGCTGGACATGAGGCAAGTTCCCCAGGTGTTTATAGCGCCAGTTGTACAGGTTACACAGGCTGCAAGACGGGATACAGAAAAACATTGAACCACAATCATGACCTATCATGAATGACCCATTTTGTGATAGTTGGAGTATTTCTATTTCTTGAAAACCAGAGATGGATTCAAGCTCTACCAGGGTTACACACCTTGCACGTGCACGGCCCTGTGCGTCCAGATCTATGGTGGGCACTCCCAGGCGCACAAACCGGGTGAAGAGCGACTGCTCCATGTTAGAGTACTTCTGGAAGGCCATGTTTTTGATAACAGGGGGCAGCTGGTGGTGGTCTCCAATCATGATCCAACGCTTCAGCCTGCTGTATCCATCCTCTGGGTTCTGCGGAAGAGGACGGGAGAAAAATAAGCTCTGGATGACACCTGTTTCAGACGCTGCTTATTTATAAAACAGGAATACAATGCAAGAATCAGTTAAATATGACTTTTTGACCTTGTTTTTCACGTCTGATCCCAGTGCTTTGTTACTGTTGTATGTTGTTCAGCTTTATCCAATTTTGTTTTGTCTGATAACTGAATTATGTTATATAGTTAATGTGAAACAAGATCTCCTGCACAAAATAAGATCTAAGTTCAGGAAGTCATTGAAGGATAAATGACCAGCGTAGGGTTTCAGTTGTGTATGCCATGCTGCTAGATTTTGCTCATTAAATGTAGCTAATTTGAAGCTTGACCTTAGATAAGTCTGATACACTAAGTGCTGATTTAATCGCTGAAATCGCTGATAAGGGTGGAGTGGTAGTAGTTATTTAACAAAGGAAAGAGGAGGGGAAGGATCGGACATTTTTGCTGTGATGTACACCCTCTGACTGTGGCTCACTAGACAAAGAGACGCAGGGAGATAAAGAGCGTATCTGTGGCGAGGTTGTTAGATGGGCTGATGTGTTTAATGATCTCATCTGCAAACAGACATTAGCACGATCTCGGACAATTAGGCACAACTACCAAAGACAAGCTCCATTACTGTGTTTGGAGGCCATCAGTCAGAGCCTAAAAAGAGAAAGTCATATAGACGGCCGAGCCTTAAGTAGAGGATCTAACTTGGCTTGAGTTCAAATCTTTAAAGAGACCCGAGGCCCCGCAGAGACAGCTGCAAGTTTCATATCCTCGGTCATAAAGCCTGCATGCCATAAATAAGACCTTTTAGACCGAGTCACGGGACTGTTACCTGTAACAGAAGGGGGATGAAGGTCTCAATCTCCAATATCTGAGCAGCTTCTTCCATCAGGATGTTGTCATACTGATGAAGAAATCATCAAAAAAATTAGGTAAATACACAAATAGTAGTCTGATTACTTTGTCTTTGTGTCAGCTTTGAAGGGTCTACCTTGAATCCCAGCTCCACAAGGTCATGGCGTTTCAGCGCAGCGTGTGTGCAGGTCATAGCGATGATTTTGGCCTCCTTCACCAGAAGATACTTGGAGCGGTCGAGTCCACTCCGCAGCAGCTCAAAGGCCCTGAACTCCTTCAAGAGAAGAGAAAAGAAACCAGTGTAAGGAAAAATTCTTTATCATAATTACTAAAAAAATCTATTTGAAGGAAATAAAAACAGCACCCTCAGATAGAAAGTTTTGAACTAAGATGACTGAGTAAAGTTTTGTTTGGATTCGTGCAGGTGGGTTGTGAGGCGAAAAATAATGGATGATTCTGTCAAAGATGATGGATAAGATGATTACTCAGGGTGAAATAATTGCACCTCTAAGAGTCAAAAACTGCACCGTTCAATTTTCTGATACACACCCGATACATCTCTGTCTACCCACAGTGATAACATGAAGACGAGAAAGTCGGTGGCTTAAACCGAACACTTAAACGACTCCTCTTCTCGTCCCTGAAGACAGCTCATTACTCCCAACAAGACGGTAAGAAATGAATTAAAAAACCCACCTGCATTATAAACAAACACATTAAAACATAATCCCTCTGCTTTCTCTTTTCATTAGGAACCACAGTCCTCTCTTTTCCCATGATGCAGTGCTACAGATATCAGTCAGCCACAGGGCAGCTGTGTGGGAGAGTCCCCGGTGTAGTTTTCTAAAACCTCGAGAGCACTTGAGCACAGATTCTCTTACATGACTCCTTTTATTTTTACTAAAATCAGAGAAGTAGAGCCAGTTTTTGTCAGAAATAGAAGTTGTTTCTTTTTTAAATTCAGACATAATGGCTCGATTATATCCACACAGCAGGGTGGGGGGTGTCTGTGTCGGGGTAAGGAAGGGAAAGAGGGCAGGAGAAGTAGACTTGGACAGCACAGAGGCATAAATAATTGATGTGATACTATTTTAGCATTAATATTAAACCAATCAAAACATGCAATATTGATGAGCTCTATTTTTAACCCCTGTGGCTCCAGAGTGGTAAAGGATGAAATCAAGATGCTATGGTTTCACTGACACAGAGAAGAGAGAGAGAGAAAAAAAGTCAACAGCAATGGGAGTGCAGAGGAGGAAACAGGAGATGTTTATACAGGAGGAGCCCCGGAGACACTCAGTGTCCCCGTCCATCTGTCTGTCTGCCATAATTATCAGGATATTCCTACGACTGACTGTCCAAACTGCCTTTATGTTTCAAAAACCACATGGATCAGCAAATCCGGCAGAATGTTGCTTTGTCTCTCCTTGCACCACAGACAGCGATACCTCTTAATGGGTGTACAGATTTCACTGCAGCATGGGTGAGGCTGAGGGAGGAGGGAGAGGTGCTGTGATGCAGTGATACAGAGGCCAGCCAGATAAATCAAGGTCACCACACGTGTTGGGATATTACCTCCAGCCAATAACTTCTTTATTGCTTTTCGGAGGTCTTCTTGGTGCGCCCATAAATCTGAAATGTTATTGTTAGCCCTATAGAAATACTGGATGGGCAGAGGAGGAATGATAACACATTCAAGCCGTGTGTTTGTGAGTGCCGAACAGAGCGAAAAAGATCGACAGTGGGAGTAAAAAAAAGATAAGCAGTAATAGCCTCCATCACTTTGTGGTACCACTTATCTTCTCAGAAGGGTCAGCAATCATTTATACAAATAAACAGTAAAGCACTGTTAAGTATCTTACGCAATGATTCACTCTCTCAGCTGAAGTCGAGAGGTGATGACTAAAACTCAGAGCCGGAGAGATGCGACCGAGGCTGAAGGAGACACCTCCACAAAAACAGAGAGCGTCTGACAAATTGCAGTAATCTGCAAAAAACCTATTACTGTGGAGCCGAGGAAACACGGTTACTCATAGATGTGGAGATTGGTCAACACCTGGACACACAGCAGGCAAACAGTCAGCGACTATCATTAAATAAAGCGAGGATAAAGCTTCTGCATGAGTTTCAGGACAACAAAAAGGGGAGTTTTTACGGTGGGTTGAATATTTCTGCTTTCGTATGTGTTGTTTGCTTTGAAACGCATTTTAACAAAATGCATTTCAGTGTGCCCACATTTCAGGCTTACCTCCAGCTGGGTAAAGATTTTCTTGATGTGGCGGTAGCAGCCCTCTGCGATGTCCATGTCCTCTTCATACGAGCGGCCTTTGAACACAGGCTGGGGGGCGTTGGAGAAGTACTTGTGGAAGGGAAAATGCGCGGCCACAGCGCCTGCTTCCACTGCCTTTCCCTGTTTGGGCTTAACTTTACTCATATACTCCTCCCAGCGAGATATCACCTGTAAAGAGAAGACATTCAAAACCACTGATGTGTAAATCTGAACACACACGTGGCTTGTACAAATGCAGGTTCTTTTTTTCTCGTAAAACCAGAACATGTGTGCAGTGGGATAACATGAAAGCAATTATTGACAGAAGAGCTATATCTGCTCACACTAAGGGATTGTGGAGTTTAAATATGGATATTAACTAAATGCTGTTAATTAATTGCTTGATATAGCCGCTGCATACAGAATACCACTGAGGTATTTTCTGGCATGCCCACCACACAAGCCTCTACTTTACTTATCTGAATTTTACCAATTGCTGTATGAGCACACAGTGGGTGTTCTGCATGGCTCTGTGCAACTAAATGATGCCTGCTGTATTTTGTCTGCAATTATCTGACCATGGCAGAAATCACATTACACATAAATGATCCGATGAGAATAGACAGCCTCACTTGTGTACAGGTGCCCCTGCTGAGCACCTAATAAACCAGTTACAAGCTAACAGCGGGGGTTGCCTAGTTCTATAAATTCCCCAATGAAAAACATCTTTAACATTAATGGGTCTGCTGGAGGACTCGAGTTAATGACTGGACAAATATCAGGGACTGTTCGTACCGCCATTTAAACTTTATGTATGTTTACGTGTGTAGTTTTTAAAGATGGACGCTCATCAGATTTTATTAATGCGAAAAAATTGTCATAAAATTTAAATATTGAGAGCTATTGATAGGGGAGACCAGGGCTTGTTGTTACATGGGCAAGTTGTCACATTGCAATCATCTTTGCCACCAGGGCGCAACTAAAAAGTAGAATACTAGTTTTGTCCTTTACATGGTTAGGGGTCGTGTACTGTCTGAGAAGAGGAGAGTAAATTGTGAATTAAGATGAGCGCTAATCAACCATTTTGCACAACCCAAAGTAAAAAACAAACATCTGACGTCATCACAGTGCACAACTGTGTTCCCTGCTGGGCTCTCAAGCATCAAGTAAAGGTTTGGTAATATTTTAAGGTGTGCGGGCAAACAATGTCTTTTACGTCCTCTTCTGCGGATATAAATGATTTCTGCCGACTTTGCAAAGTCAACTGCAGAATTAACAGCGTTCTGAATGAACGGCGCTTTGAAAAGTCCTGCAGCATGTGTTAGACGTCACCATCTACACATGGACCAATCAGGGGCTGCCTTTCACTGTTGTCAGGGGAACAGTGGAAACACAGTCAGTGATTGGCCCGGTTATTTTCTGCTTTCTAATACTTGCTCCCAATTGGCCGAAGTCCACACTGTTGTGGGAAGGAACGGCAAGTGATTCACGCAACTAGATGACCCAGCCAGGCTACCATACCTTAGCTCGGTACGGCAAAACATTCACCCCAGCCGAAAGTTGTATTGCCGTTTTATGAAAAGTTGTTTATTATTATTTGATGAGATTGATCATGTGACCCTCTAAACAAATATAACACCTAGGTGAATTACCCAGTTTTGTGTCCTATCAACCATAAAACCAAGAATACAAACAGAACCTACACCTGAAATCGACTAAAACTGGCTGCTTTGTCATCATTAAAAGACAATAAGGACCAGATTGCTACAGAACACAGTAATCTTTTTCCTGAAAACCAATAGCTGCTCTCTTTGTCAAGGAGTTTATCAATATTTCAGTACTGACCAGTTAGATACTGGTTCCAGTCAAGTGCTATCCCTGGAACAGTCTGCTCATAGTCACAGAATCACCACGCTAACAGCTCCTTCTTGACATTTTCATCTTCAAATGTCACAGAGCGACTCCATCAGCAAGTTTTTCAGAGCTAAAATAAACACAAGAACTCAGCTAAAATGAAGTGTGGGTGGAGAATTCAATCTGCATGCAGCATCAGATTCATGAGGCACCACAGAGTTGTGTTTAAAAGAGAGAGAGAGAGAGCTGACAAACTTCTGGCAAGGTGCAAAGTTGGCACCATGCACATCATCTAAAATGAACTCTAGCACCAGAGAAGAGCTATGGTAACAACAATAATGATATACAAGTGTTTAATAAGGCTTTGACTCCACAGACACCTCTCTGCTTTAGGGTGCAGTTAAATCCATCACTACAGGGGAAAGACTACTTTACTGGCATGCCTGCACTGCTCATAAATCTTATTGTTTGACTTATGACCCGTGACATGATTTTGAAGGAAAAAAAAACAGACTGGATATTAAACTGGGATCCCCATGGAAATGAAAATGACAACCAAACTCTGCACTTCTTCATGCAAGACTGTTTAAAATGTTTGCAGGAGAACATTCAGAAATCATAGAAATGCAACAGAAACAACTGCAGGGACATTTTACTGCAACTCCTGCGCTCTTAGAGAACAGTGTACAAACAGCTTGGGTTTTGTTTGCTTCTTGGTGTTTGTTTGCAGCAAAAAGAAAAAAAGCTGAGAGTCCTGGAAATAGAAACTCAACCATTGTCTGTTTTTGATTGGCATGGATATGTCTTGGGGAGAGGAAGGACAAAGCAGGAATCTATTTCGATTAATTCAGCATCATACCTCCTATTTACCCTGAACCATCTCCCACTCTAAACCAATAATTACATCCAAACACAGATTTCAAAGATACCTGAGCCAACAGCAGGACTGAGAAAAAGACAAAAATATCCCAAAATTTAGAGAGTTGTTTTTCTGTACAGCTAGGAATTTTATTTAGACATTTTTCTCACTTTTTGCTTGATTTAATGCTGTGCACAGTCAGTAAAGTTTACATGCACAGTTAAGTCCAGCTACAGTCATAGCTTGATCAGTTGGTTTAACTTGACTACTGGTTGGTTTAGAGGGAACTAGATCCCCAACACCATTATCTAGACCTGCAACATGCATAGATACTAAGAATAAAGTGATGCTAAATGCCTACAAGAAGCCTTTGCAACATTACTTGACAATTATTTTTCATTCTTTTTCCCCCCTGTACATCACAGACAGATATTTAAAACCAGTTATAGTCTTACCTGGTACAGGTTGAAGTGTCCAGCAGTCTCACAGGTGTAAGACACGTCTCCTGGGACGTCCAGACTCTCCTGTAGCCTCCCCACCTCTCTGAGGAGCTCCAGTCTTCTGGCGAGGACATAGTTAACCCTGCCATATCTGGAGACAAAGAGCACAGCACAGTTACTCAATGATTAAAAGCTTTAAAGAAAAAAAATGACTGATATAAATACATTTAACTTCAGACAAACTGCTGTAGATGACTAACAGGTGAGATGACATTTCTTTGAATTTCTAATTTCTCTTATTTAACTCAGTCATTTCCTGCAGTGGCACCGTTTTCTGTAGTTGTCTGATGTGGGTCATTTGAGGACATGCAGCGTGGAGCAGTCGTAAATATGTAAAATATATTGTCAATAGAACCTTATGGAGCACAGCTGTTAAAAGGGGGGATGGCAGTCCTTTAATCTCTACAGAGTGCATTTAAGGTTTGTCATGCATCCGTTCGTGCAGCTAAACAAAACTGCTCAAAGCAATTATCGGGTCGGCAACAAGACACGCAGCGCAAACAGCACAGGACGACAGGAAGTAGGGGGGTCACAGGGTCACGTACTAGAGGTGAGGTCTATTTTTAAAACCTCTGCAAAGATCCTCAGTCAGCAGATGACTCAAAGACAATCACAGCGCTCTGCCTGTTTGGCCTGAATAAAATTAAATAAAAATGGGAAGTGACCTTGTTCCCAGGACGATGACCTGTATTCAGCTACTGAGACAGAAAACCCAGAATAGAAACACAGGTGTGAACAAGAGCCTTTATATGAACTTGCACACCACAGCAGCTACTACACTTGAACCTGGGAGACCATCCGGCTCTTTTAGCATACATCTTGTACATCTCTGAAGATCTAGCCTGTACCACGACCAACTTGCACCCTTGAAACCTCATTAAAACGGCATAAAAATTCATCATGAAATGCAGGGAGGCATTGTTAATTAATGGCGCAGTAGCTTTGCCTTTGTTAGGCATTCAGAGGAGCGCTGCCTTCCATTTTGCCGTCTCTTATACGGCGTTAATTAAAACTCTCTGGCTCTCTCCTCTCGCTGGTGTCAGCGGGGTGGAGGGAGTGTGGAGTCTGCATGTTGTTTTGAGGCAGCCGAGAAGGCGGGAACATATTAAATGCTGCGAGCTAATACTCTTTCTTTTATGTCTGTGTCGCTGCATAATTTAGAAATGTAACAGACTGCTTCCATGTGCAGACCCACATTTCGACACACTGCTATTCATATTACAGGCATATACACACACTGAGGAGTAGTCGTACAGAGAGTATAGCAAATGAGGGACATGCATCCCCACTCTCTTCTTCCTCTGGAAGTATTGCCAAGAGCAATAAGGTGTGATTTGCTCAGTGCCACAGATGGATAAGGTGGTAATTAACAATGTAGGTTATAAAGAACCTGAAATAGTAGCAGCATGAAAAATTAGTCAATATTAATCAACACCGAGTTATTTATACTCCGGAGCTGGCTAACAAGCTTTGATAGTAAAGAGGAAAAACAAAACAAAAAACAAGCTGATTCATCATATAGTCGTGTCAAAAACAGCAGCAGTCATGTAGAACTGTAAATGTTTGGAGTATCTCGGGATAATCTCCCTTTCTCAAATCTGTCATGAATGCTTAAAGTGCATTCACCCCCAAAGTCTCTTTTTCCATCTCAATGTGTCTCTGTAGTAAAGACTGAGTCACCATCCTTCGAGGCATTACGCACACACACACACACTCATACAGACACGGGGGGGTGAGAGAGCTGGGAACTACTGGGGCTTCCTTAAAAGGACTCTGGTGGTTCTTGTCTAAGGCCATTTATTCTGCCCTGCCCCCTGTGCCCCATGAGGACTCGCAGCGCTGTGTGTTTAAAGTAAGCCTCCATCACCTTGGTTAAATAAACATTTCGATACTGTTCAAAACCTGTTATTTCATGTATTTATTCATGAAACTGTGGGTGCATTCATGTATTTATTCATTTAATAATTCAGTCATGTTTATGTAAATTAATTATTCATTAAAAACCCTAATGTATGCCTCAGTAGGGAAACTGCTACAATACCGAAGCTGCATCCAACTACAGCATTTTGTTCACTACAATTATTTGTACATTACATTGAGAACATTTGTGATGACTCTGGTTGTATTTGTTTGTTTATCAATGTTTTCTTATAGCTGAAAAAACTGAATTACAACATCAAAATCAACGTTGCGATTCCTATTTCACTTCTTAATCATCTAAAAATTCATGACTTAAATAATATTCAATCTAATCATTATTTTTCCAGATATTTCATCCCCTGTTTTGACTCTTCCTGTCTTTGCACAGCTTTCTGCTCCTCTCCACTTTTAACTTATGAAGCTTGAAACGGCTACAAATAACGGGCGTGAGGTCAGTCCTCCTGGTTCAGAGCGGTGACAAGAGGGTTAATCATGGAGTGTCTGGTGAGTCCAGGGTTGCAGAAGAGATCCTTTACAGTGGAAGGAAAGCTTCAGAGGTCAACGATGCCTAATGAAGATAAAACAGCTCTTTGGCTCAGCACTTGGGAGTATCAAGTAGTCTTCTGACTGTGTTGGCTCACACTATTTGTGTGGGCAGCTGGGATGCTTTGGTCTACATAGTTGCGTTGTGTGCTTTATATTGAACTGAAATGTATATGCATTTTAAGCATGTAATCATTCGCTGAATGTTCTTCCAATCCCCTCATGCGTTCATTTGAGCTGTCAGAATTTCCACATTTACATTTTTGTTTGTTTAGAGGCACATGTCTGAGTGTCTGAGAGTCTGTGTTTGTGTAGGTGTGTGTGTGTGTGTGTGTGTGTGTGTGTGTGCGCCCCTCCGTCTGTCCTCACCTGCTGAAGTCCTTCTCAGTCTCCAGCTCCTCTTCTCCGTGGCCAAGACGCAGGAGGTGGCGCTCGTCGATGTCTAGAGCCATGATCTTTTCGAACAGCTGGTTCAGAGCCTGGCGTGGAAAACATCATGATGACACATAAGCGTGATCAGATTTTAAATGGGTGTATAATACGTCATTTGTAATATTACTTTTTAATATAAAGCTGCTCTTACACCTTGTTTTTCAATTCTCGTAAATTTGCTTCAGTTCGTAACTAATTATTATCATGTAATCTTAATTTCTTATCTAATATTTCTTCTCTCCATAGAAATAGGAATTGAAAAAGATACTATTCCACACAGTGAGACTTGACATCGTTCTTTTCAGCCATGCTCGTTTTGGATGAAGTTCTTTTTGGCAAGCTTCCACTGCTGTAAAACGGCAGCAGATTACTTTATGATTAAACACTGAGGGGAGAAGACCGGGGCACAAGAGAGCTTAGATTTTAATTTTCCCTCTATGGTTTAAATATCACTATCAGCTGATTAATGGGCAGATCTGAGTACAAGCTTTAAATCCTCCAAAAAGCAGAGTTTTGGGAAACTTTTTCAAAAAGAGTGGACGTTTTGCTTCTGTAATGTAACGTGGCTACTTTACCTGGTTGGAGTGTGTCACTATGAGGGTCCTTTGCTCTGGGAAGTTGTGATAGAGGTTCGAGATGATCTGAACAGCAACATCTGTCTTTCCAGTCCCTGGTGGTCCAACAACCTTGAGACAGAGCAAGGACAGAAGTGAGGTGGGGAGATAAGAATTGAAACAGAAAGAAGAATATATGCACAATAAGAAGTTCAGTCACAGGGCAAAGGCGCTTCCCTTAAGAAAACCCTAGTGGTTGTGACAGCTTGGCCATGGGCATGTCAGAACGGGCTAGGCTGGTGCCCCAGTGTTAGCCACGCAAAGATATACACAATGCGGCAAGGATGAGGTGTCGTGAGGCATGCCAAGATCCAGCAACTGCATGGATGGGTAAAAACACAGAGGGCTACTGAAAGGCGGAGAGCGATTACAGGAGGCACTTTGTATATTTCAAGCCTCCTTTTTGTTCATCTTATCTGAGTCATCTTTCATCTCTCTATTCAGTTTGCTTGTATAAGCCTCATAATTACCTTATAACGGAGTATAGCACGTCTTATTTACTGAACAAATATTCATGTAACAGGTTGGTATTAGTTTATGTATCCCAGGTGAATACTTTCTGCTAAATTAGAGAGCACAATTAGATATTCCTGCATACATCAGTAATCAGATCCTTGGTTTCCCCACATGAGAACCAAGCCAGGAAGACCTGGAGGCAAAGTGTGTTTGTTGTGGTTGCTAATAACCGTGACGTACGCCAAGGAGGTGAGCGAATGAGAGGAAAGGAGAAAGGCAAGCCTGCAGAGTTGTTTTATGACTCTGTTGATAGCCTACTTGCCGTATTTACCTCGGCTGGCGGCACAATAAATAACTCGCCCCACACTGCCAGTTTCCAATCGCCACATCAGAATGGCCCTTTTGTCAAAGCTAGGTGTTGTATTTCTCTTGAAACGACGACAGTAAGCTGGAACGAAATAGCGATGGATGTGTGTACGGATGAGGTGTATCCATACTAAAGTGTAATCCCATGCTGTTTTATGTGTGATCGACTAGTTCATTGGAAAGGGCAAAATTACAGAGAGGGTTTCAGGGTTATATGTCATCACTCTATGAGTTATGGAGAAAAGGACACTTAACAGAAATATATTTACTGGGTAGGAATCCCCTCGGTGCCCATCACTCAGATTAACGCTGGCAAATCTTGACTTTATAAGGGAGCAGAATGCACTTGCAGTATCAGCACTCACAGGGCTGACAAAAAGCTTAAAGTAATAAAATCACAATGCAACCTAAGACTGTGTGGTATTAGACTTCATTTGAGTCAGATGTGATGTTGCAATTTCTATTCAAATACAACACCTATATGGTCCTGATTGTCTTTCTGAGTCTTGAAGATTACGGGAGAAACATAGAGTCCTTACCATGGTGAGCCCCGGCTGCATCCCTGCTCGAATGGCTTCAATCTGAGTGGGTGTGAACTGAATGGTGTTCCTGTAAGAAAGTTACATTGCAGGAGTAAATTAAAACTACCTAATAACCGTGACGGATAAACACGCTTGTTTTGATGAGCTGAAAAAGAAAGAGGGGATGAGCGCTGCTTTTTTTTGTTTGTGACCATCTGTTAAGATTCCCAAACTGGGGGCTTCCCCGAGGACATGTTGTTGTTATCAAGATTTAAATATCAAAGTGCAAACTGGGAAGGCTAATACTCTCCCAGATTACCGTGAGAATCTCATGAAGGGCATTTATTGGGTGCTTTTATAATTCTGGTTATATTCAAACTGTCAACCATAACAACAACTAAATGAGTAACACAACAACATACGGTGAATATGTCAAAGGAGATACCATGGACACAAGCACAGAAAATCATGGAGGGGTACCTATAATATGTAACCAACTCCTGCCTGTGTACCATTCAATATTAGTAGTTTTATGTGTCTTTGATATGGAAACAATATGACACCAAAAACCCACTGTAATGGCTGTAGGCCATGACCTCTTACCGTTTGGGCTGATTGTAGGGGTACGGCCCACGGTTGGGGGTGACATACGGCTCAACAATCAGGGTCATATCTTCCTCTTTCTTTTCCTCTTCTTCATCAGCCTTCCTCTTCTTTCCTTTTTCTGTTTTATTTGAGATGGGAAACTTGATTCTGTGGAATAAACGACATAAAAGAAAATAGATATTACTATGACCTTAACAAGGATATTGTAATATTAAAATTTGTTGCCGTATTTCATCTTTACATTTATTGTAATTCAGGCAAATCAACCTCAAGAACACTTTATCAGTCGATTAATTCGTTTTCACCTGAAAGGGGAGACCTGCAGTTTAGGATCCTCCTCTGTGACTTTAATGGTGTAACCTGGGAAACATGATCGTAGATGGTCCAGGGACAGAAAGGTGTCATTGAAGTCCAACGTGGAGATCTGGTTCGGCATTTTGGAGTAGTGCGCACTGCCTGGGTCGCCATAGCCGAGGATGATGTCATGAAGCCAGTCTGGGACCACGCACTCTGTGTTCATCAGGTTTCTGATGGTCTCTAGCACAGCCTAAAGCAGAGAGACAGAGAAGTATGTAACAGAGACTGAACCAAGTATCCAAGTGAATAAATCATATCATACTACAGACATCAATCCCACATGGGGGGGTTTGGTTGGATATGAATAGCTTTGTTGTGGGCTGGAGGGACAGCAGGTAATTTGTATGTCTGTCAATTATATTTTAATGAGCTGCAACCTGTCTAATACCCTGAGCATCAAACATTGGGAAAGGAGACATGTTTACTTTTATCTTAGTCCCACATCAAAGAGGGAGGGGAATGTTTCCTGAATACCCATTAGTTCCTGCACTTTTCAGATTCATTATAAAAAAAGGAAACACTTCAAAATCGTCTGTCTCCGCTCAGGCTCTAAAAGACAGAAATGGGTATGCAGATTCAGAAAAACAGATTTGACATAGAGGGAATGACAAGCTCTTGAATAAATTATGTGATGAATTTATCAAAAAATAAAAAAAAGGAGACACACGCACATGTAAACAAAAATACAAAAATGAACGAAGTGAAACAAACTAGAAATGGTAGTTTTGCAAACTTCCATGGAAAACTTCTTTATGACCTTAAAACTACTGATATATTTGAGAGAAACAGTGCAGAGTTCTGATGTGGAGTCCTGCAAATCAATAAAACAACATGACAATACAACAGCACACAATGCTGGTTTGCTGCCACAAAGAGATTCTTGGAGGTGAGAGTGAGGAGGGGGTACATGTCACATGAATATCCAATGAGAAGTGTCTCTCACTGCGATCACTGGGAAGGCCTTGAGTGGGTGGTAATCTCAGAGTTGCCCTGGCCCCAACCTTACAGCTGCATTACCCAAGAGAGCATAATATGTGAGATGCATCATTCTAGGGTGGTAATAGTGGGACAAGAGCTCAAGGCCTGCAAATAAAGCACACTAAAACAATCTACAGTAAAGGGCTGATCTGGTGTAATCCAAACCTTGAAATTGTTCTCCTTGGGTTTGCGTCTCATGATGATGTTGAAAGTCTCATAGGGGTCTTCAGTGCCACTCTGAATGCTGCTCGTCATATCTTGTTGGTACTGGTTTGGGTCCAGCCACACGCGGAAGGTTCTGACATCTCCTCGCAGCTTCGGCTTTGGTTCAGGTCCTGGACAGGAGCGTTTGGGAAAATGGTTGTTATTAAAAAGATGTAATTATGACGGCATCTCAAGTTCAGTAACATTTCAACTTCTTTCCGACAAAGTTTTTACAATTTTGAGAAAAGTTTCAAACAAAAAGCTTCGGAGGAACAGATCATCTACTTAAACAGATTTTGCTCATAATGCTCCTTGCTTATCTTGCCACTCTACTCTTAGGAATAATACGTAGATGCTTGACTGACAGGCGGTGGTGAAGCTCTGACAGATGTCTAAATAGATCCTTGTATGGACCTGCATGGCACAGACCATAGGAGTGAAACTCAATCCTGTTGGCCTATATTGTGTGTGCCCACCCATGTCTGTCGTCTGTGGGTTCTTGTCTACAGCTATGTGGGGATCAACAAATCCCCCCATGCTAAAATGAGTGTGGTGGAAGCTTTAGATTGAAGGCTCTACTCCGAGCACCATGACATTGAAATGTGAACAGCTGGGTAAGGTGTGTGAGTTGTCAAAATAGCTGCCATTGTATTAAACTGTTAATTATATGAAGGTAGAGATAAATCATTACATGATTTAGAAATAAGAGATGAGATAAACCTTTATACATCACATGGTGTGAAAATTTGGAGTATTAATAGCATGCGAAGGATCAGCAAAGCAAACATGAAAGAATAAGTACAGTGAAACTGAGTTGCAATGCATTTGTCCATTAAACTCTCAAATGATTCATCTCTTAATCAGAATTTATATAAATATTCAGTACCTAGTGGAGAAACTACCAGTATAATACAAGTCAATTCCACTTAAAACAAGATTTTACTGTGTGGAACAGCAACACTACTGTCTCAAAATCCACCCCTCAGCTTGTGTATCCTCTCACCTCCACCAAGTGCCGGGTGATTTATGCGACATCACCCCCTCACCCAGTCAACTAGGGTACCACTAAGCCCCTGTTGGCAATCTGAAATTTTAACCAAGCCGACATTGGCAGAGCATGTTCCCTGGCAGCATGTTTATTTAGTATGACCTGCCCCCTTTAAATTTAATCTGACCAGACGAAGGAGGGGAGGGGAGTGGGTGCTTCAGAGCATAGACAGAGGGAACCACTTACTACAATGACTACAAGCTAACCCAGGTGAACTCATCCCTCTGAGGGGATACTACTGGCTGTGGGAGAAACATGACACAGATGAGGAGGACATCCTGTTACTGTTTAAGCGTATCAAATTTTCAGGGAAAACACCAGAGATTTGAATTTTGTCCAGGAGGAATTCCTCCGTGCAGACATATAATAAAAAGAAGCTCTGAAAGTCTGTTTTTTGGACCACAACAAATCTGTTCAGTTCTTTTACCAATAAAAAACAACTTACAAATATAAGCCGAGGTTATATCTGTTAAATGGTACAAAGGATTGTTGCTTTCAATGCCATCTTTTGGAGAAAGAAGAGAACAATTCTTGCATACTCAGAGGTTTCTCCTGCAGAGAGAAACTTCGTACAACTCTCTATAGCTTGGATTGTTTTGCTTTTAAATGTGACAACATTGAGAGCACTTGGACATTTGCATTCTAGTTTTGTTGTCTTGATACAGTTTTTTTCTCTTAATCTACTCATCCGCTTTCTCACCCACTGCTGCACCCCCTGTTTCTCGTTATACGGGAATCCGCTTTAAACCAAAAGATCGATAACGTTTTATTTGTCCCATGAAATATTTTACAGACACGCAGTTGATAGAGGACAAACCACTAGGTGATATGGACTACTGTCAATAAAAGAGACACATGATTTTGACTGGACATGGGGAGCACAGATTTGGTTTTGCCTCCCATTTCTTTTCCTGCATTCTGGTTATTACTGGTTCCTTGATTCAAGCCTTTTCTACATTATCTTACAAATATGATTTAGACTTTGGTTGTGTCTTATTTAGTGTCTCTATTTGAGGTTATTTACTGTGTTCACTTGCTGCTAATGTGTTAAAATTTCAACTTTACAGTCAAACATGAAACTGAAGTGAAATGTAACTTTGTCATTCCCTCAGTTTATCAGTTTAAGAGTTTAAACACATGAGTAATAGTGACACAAATAAGACTATGACACCTCTGTATAAATTGAGAGCATTCATTTGAATAGTTCCTTAATTAATCCAACTAACTGTTAAGTCTCAATTAATTATGCTCTGTTGGGTACTCTTATTGTGAAAAACCCTAAAGAGGAAGCTGCGAATGTAAGCAGGGGTATGCAGTTCTTTATGGAAGCTGTTGTATTTCTTGTGTGCTTTTGGTGGACTGAAGTAAAAGTGTTGCTGTCAACCAGAAGAAGTCGTTTTCATTTTAGTTTAACATAAACTACCCCGTTAAATGAAAGATTTTATTTCAAGGTATTCTCAGCAAGATAACACTGTCAAATCATTTATAATAAAATGACGTGCTTGACATTATTGTACAGTGTTTGTACTGTTCGTGCTTACTATTGTATATTGTCACATCCAAGCGTCTCAATCTTAGTCAGGACAAACCCTGATGATGCATGACTTTATCCTGCAGGACAGGCACATTGGGTGTTCTCTTACAGAAGCTCATCTATCCAATTCTAGCCGAGGCAGCCCTCCAGTTATATCCGATAAATAAAGCAGGGGGCAGGGCCCACAGCTCCCAGGTGCTGCTGCTGGCCTCAGGTTAATGGAATGTTAATGTGAACAGGTCAGGTCTCACTATGACTATCACTATGACAACCCTCACCTGACCCTCCTCTGCAGGCCTGTCTTCGGGGATGATTGTGTGTAGGAGTTATGACGGGTGGATGGATGTCATGTTTCACTGGTGTGTGCGAGCCTACCTTCTTCAATGACACGTCCCTTATCATCCAGCATGCCCTGCACCTCGCAGCCTCTCACGTACACCAGGCCAGTTTGCTCCACGAAAGGCTGGCGGCGGTCAAAACGTGTGCCATAGGGCAGGTTGGGCCGCACCGTGATCAGAAAGCAAACGTCGTGTTTCCGCAGCCCTGAAAGGGGTAGAGAGAGGGATTAGAGCGGAAGAGAAGAAAAGAAAGGTTTCACGAGACAGGAAAGAGAGGGAAACAGAAAAAGAGGGACAGAGCATGATAGAGGAAAGCACAGGGATTAGGAGAGGTGACGGAGGAGTGAGACAGAGAAGTAGTGTGCCGGGATTTGGAGATGTGAGCAAAACCGCTCTGTCAGCTTTTGCCTGATCTTTAAAACATGAGGCTCTAATTACACTTTGGGGAAACGGCTAGTGGATGGAAGGAAGTAATACTTCATATCTCTGCTGAATTACAAGGAAAAAAGGAAAACCATAAAAGTGGATATGAAAGAAAAAGTGAGGACATCAATTTGGGATATATTAAATTTTCTTTTTACAAAACCCAGTGATCATTCCTCTGGTTCTACATCTCTGCAGCTGAAAGAGCCCATTCATTTCTATATTAATAAGCCCATTACACCAATGGCATACATTGGCATGTGAGTGTGTCCTGTATGTTCCTCTTGAGAGCTACAGCATTCAGCCTGCCGAGGGCTTCATTGTGCGTTCTGTGTTCCCAGTGAATCAATGTCTTCCAGGGCTGACGAGCTTCTGTTAACATTATCTACTGCGCTCTTATCACTCCCAGCATCTGACAAGAGCGACAGAAAGAAAAATGAACAGAGAATTTCAGAAGAAGGAATCCAGTGGTAGATACACAGACAAAGCATGTCTTTTAAACATGAAGCGGGTCATGAGTCAAGGCTCAGTGGGATGGAAGCGATCAGGGAAGACTTTATGGAGGTTATAAACCACTTACTCGGAGGAGACACAAAAAGAGGAGACTAAGGAAAAAATAAAGGGTATTACAGCTAAACAGAGAGGGGAGTAGGAAAACTCAATTGGCGATAATTCAATTTCTCAAAATGTTACGATGCACAGAAACAAACATTACCTTCCCATTCATGCTTGATATGGTCTTGTACATTGAGGTTAACAGTGACGTCAGCTCGGACACGGGCAGGCCAGCTCTCTCCGATGTTTGGCTTGGCAACTTCAACAATGGAAAAAGAGGTGATGGTCTGAGCCATCCTGGCCCAGCCCCCAAACACCACACCCCCGTACTCGGACTGCCTGTGCAGACAGACACACAGCAATAAGTCAGACAAGCGCTGCTGGCTGTTGTCAAGATTGAAATCAGTTGGGTTTTGGGCGGCACATGGCACTACTGCTTACTTATTTACATTTTCACAAAACAACAAGCAAGCTGCAACATCACTTGACATAATGGGAGCACTTATTATGTTAAGGAATGGGTTTCCAAATGTGGTGTGCCAAATGTCACAGTCTTTGAATAAAAGATTATCATAGTGCTATGCTATCATCTGAGTGCTACACAGAGGATGAGAATCTTCATTTATTGAAGTAAAAAGACAAAGTTAGCCGAGAGCTAACTCAACTCTAGAAATTGCTTCTACTTTGGCGGAAAAGTAAATCAGGGACTAGGTGTGGGGGTTTCCTTCACAACTCAGAATCGGTTGAGTTTATTGGATAAAATGGACTGATCAGAGAAACAGAAACTTTTACAGAGCGTGCAAAACAAATAATAAAGTCTGTGATGATGTACAAACTGTGTCACATAAGAAGATTGTGGTCAGCACAAGATCCTGTTTATAAACTTGTTTATTCAAGATAGCAATCAAATACCGTATTTTTCGCACTATAAGGCCCATTTAAAATCCTTTTGGGTTGTCGGATCTCTGCAGCTACCGTAGCCTTGCGGAGTTATTAAATGAGTTCAATAGAGTTTGACTTATGTGACTGTTTTGTTTGGCTTAATGCGCTTTATAATCCGGTGCGGCTTATATATGAAAATAGATGCGTTCATTGATGGTGTGCATTATAATCAAGTGCGTCTTATAGTGCGAAAAATACGGTAAATACTTAATGGGGTTAATCTAAAGCAGAAACAGTTAAATACTCGTATTTGTTGTTATTCCTGCCAGTAAAGTTTTGATCAGTACAGGGGTGGTCTCAGAAATTTTCATACCAGGAAAGAAAAGAAAGATTCTGAATCAAGTTTCTTTAAATTTTGCAGAATTGTAGACATCTCACCATGGTTTCATACGCCACACCACATCCTCGATGTCCTGTCTGATCTCATAGGTGGACTCCAAACGGAAAAGATTGAAGTTCCTCAACAGGTAGTCGTGAAGTGTCAGGAATTGGAGGTTTAGCTTGGGTAAAGCCAGGCAGCCTGAAAAAAGACAAACAAGTGTGCACTGTGTTGGTAAATATGTTACACAAAACAGTTATTATCACAACATGATTTGAAAAGGTTAGCGAGGACAAAGCTACATAAGCTATCTGTTGTACCTCCTCTCTGCTTAATGTCTACCTGTTACAGCTTTAGTATAATTTGCTCAAAGGTTGTAGCTTGAATGAAAAGTGGTGTGAGAGCTGTTTAAGGTGTCCTTGCAAACTTAAGAGGATTCCCTCAGAGTGAGATGCCGCTGCAGCGCCAGATGAGTGCCCTCAGGGTAGCAGATAACAGGTGAGAGTGTATATACTTATGAGGCTAAGACAAGTCTAGACACAGAAATTAGAATTAAAATCTGCTCCAGCGCACATTAACTCACACAGAGAGAGACAATCACAATTCGCTCATGCAACACGCACCTTCCCCTGAGTAGTACTCTGTCGGGACGATGTTCTCATCCCAGATTATCTTCTCTGTCGGGTAAAGGGGCATCTGGTTAAGTTGCTCAATCTGAGAGATTCTGCGCTCGTGGCGAGACACCTGTGTGTGTGAGCGAAGAGGGAAAGTGAGGACAAGGCACAAGAGATGAGAGAAGTGTTTGAGTGGAAAAAAAAGGAACTCCTTATCAAAGAAGACAAAGAGGCAAACAAAGGAAAAGAATACCAATCCAGGACACTCATCAAACCTTTCATAACACTCACAACGACAGCTTCAAAGTGAGACATCATATTGTTTACGTATATTAATCTGTAGGGACTGAATATCCATCAAAAATCCCCCTCATTAGTACTGTTTTATGGTAAATCAGTAAGTTGGAGTCTATGTGCAGAAGAAAAACTGTCCACTGCTAAGTCTTGTCATTCTCATTTCATAGAGTTCCTATCAAGATGCTCCTCCTATGCTGGTTGCCAGAGAGTCCAGTGCTGCATATGCCGCTGACCCAGCAAACCTAGGTAAAGTCACCAAAGCCTCCACCCAAACAGCCAAGGCTCAACTGGTCTGCTACTAGGGGTGGGAATCAGTAGTGACCCCATGATACGATATTATCATGATACATGGGCCATGATACAATATTATTGCGAGTTTTAACATTTTGCAATACAGTGAGTGTTGCGATACAATATATTGCGATTTATACATTTGTCTTTCCTTTATGTTTGCCTTATTTATGTATTTTATTTTCCTGTAGCACATCTTGCAAATCTTATATATATTTGTTCTCCTGCCCTATGATGTCACCTCTGCCAACCTCACTGGACAAACAGTTGATTTTATTTTCCTATGATCATACATTCGACTTCATATTAACAATTAATTTGAAAAATTGGTACTTTGTTAACGAGACGAAATGATATATCACCAGACAGAATATTGTGATACTATGCTGAATCGATTTTTCTCTCACCCCTACCAGCTACATGGGTAAAACAGGTAGGCCTGAAAGTACGATTGCGACGTACATATTGTTGAAGACATGCTTCCCATATCAACTGTAGAGTCTGCTGTTTCCAAAGACTTTCTAGGTAAAATACAAGTGAGACGAGAGGCAGGGGACACTGGAGTATTCAAGAAAAGACGCAGTCGCTCTATACTTCAGTTGTTTTTCACATGCAGATGTTTATTTCTCTGATCAACTGTCTAAAAATATTTGTATTCATACATGCTTTATCGAAATGGAGCATCAAGTCCACTCTTCAGAATCTCTATGATATAATGCACTGATCTGTGATGCTTGTTCCTGTAAGCTAAGATTTTGGGGACATTAACTAAACCATTGTGAGATTGTATTTTGAGTGCTCTGGAAAAAAAAAAGAGGTAGAAAATTTAGTATTTCAAGAAATGTGATATCTACCCAGGAGTACAAACCACCTCACATGCTCTGCCAAAGGTAGTAAACAACTCAAACTTACCTTGTTTACACTGATATAGCAGCATAATAGCCCCCTAAAAGTATTGTTCCCCATCCCGCAGCATATTTATGAGAAGGTTCTCTACAGCAACATGATTATTTTGCTACCATGTGGTAGATTTTAGTCCTGGGGGCCTATCCCATTAACTTTACATGGTCAGACATGTTGGTTGTTGGGGGCAACCTCAGGCGCAAACAAATGAGTCCCCTGACATTGTCTCCTGCATTCAGCTAATCAGATGATTATGAAACAGCTCTTCTCCATCGCTTCTTGCAGAGGACCTGGGGAGGGTCTGAGTGGGTAATTATGAATAACCATTGGACGGCCTTGAAACACCCACTTTGATGAAGAGGTCTACAGCATATGTGTGAGTGTGTATGGGGGTGGCTAGTAAGACAAGGGTCCAGTCATTGGCTGGAGGAGTTTAAAGAAAGAAAATTGTGAAATTGCTGGAAAGGGGCATTTGGGGGCACAATCAAACAAGCCGTAGCCTTTTTGAAGACACCAGAAAAAAGGGGGGAAATGGCAGATTTATCTCATCAACAATGTGTTCGATTTACTCTTAGTCGCAGTAATTGGATTAGAAGGCAAATTCAGGGGGGACGGGTAGTGACGAGAGGAAACTGTGTTTAAACCAAGGTCAAGGTCCAGTAAATGACTTTAAAATGAGGAAACACAAAGCATGAAGTGTGGAACAGCTGACCTGACAGTAAATGTCCCACAAAACGGTTTATGGAGGTGAAACAATACCTTAACACATCTTCTCTAGAGTGACATTTTTCCCTCGTACAGCTTAATATGTTTTATCCAATCAATCTAAATGTGTCAAACTTTGTGTACTGTCTGGTATGGAATCACATTTAATTGAATATATATTAATTATGTTGCTAATTTTAAGAAATGAATCCACTTAACCTGTCTGGATTTCTGTTCAAAATTCTATCATGAGATGAAACTTTGATTTTCATGAAAAGCTCTCACTGAGTCCACAGTCTTAAATGATGTAAGAGGATAACAAAAGCCATGGCTGTGCTTACCAGCAGCTCAAGCAGAACCTGCTTCTCATAGGTGGTATCTTGGCCTTCAGGCAGCTCTGGCAGCAGACACAGGTACGAGGCCACCCGGTGGAGCGTGTTAGGACTGCAGAGAAGATGAGAACAGTGGTTAGTCAGCTAAAAAATTGGTTTTGCTAAAAACACATTATCTTATTTAGAGCATGGATGAAAATCAGCTGAGAATAATTAAACCCAATAATTAGTAAGAACTATGACAGTTAAGATTCTGATATTATAAAGGACAAGCTGATGTCTACTACTATCATAGAGATAAAAGGGCATAGCCATATCATTACTCAGGTGCATTGCATCTGCAAAAAGAAATAACATGCAGGTCCAGCTTCTTTTCTGGGACACAACCTTTCTTCTGAGAGGATTTTTCAAATAACAACGGCACACCACTTTATGTGTGAAGATACACAGCCTTGTCAAATTCTCTGTGCTTGTTAGCACTGCAGCACAAAGCAATAGCTCTGTTTGCTTTGACACTGCACTCCTGCGCTGTCAGCATGTGTGTGTTAAGGGGCCGGGATGCACTGATGCGACAGGATTATGAAAATCAAAGCACATCTTCGTCTCAGAGAGCTGAGGCATGGCTCTGTGCATACAGACCTGTTTTAATCAGGTTGACACACTGTGACAAAGGCAGGGTCCTGTACACAGCGAAGGACAGGGCCTGGACACATTGTGACAAGCATGGACAGCCACACGTGGTGCTGACTGACTGTAACCGTGTCTATGCATGCAATTTGCTTCTCGTGACGCCCCTGCTTGGGCAGTGGGGTGGCAATTCTGCCAATGTTGCAGTCTGGTAGCCCGGTGGATGACCTGGCACTGGTCATGTGGGCATTTCTTCCCTTAGCAACAAAATAAACACAGCACAGCAACTCACTCTGAGTAATAACGATGACTGGACCAGGTCATGACTGACAGCTGAGCTCCTGGCAGAGTAAGGTAAGGATAAGGATTGAAGAGGAACTGGTTTGCTGTAAGTTGACTTCAGTCTTTCTTGTCCACTTACATAATCAGTTTTTAAAGATAACATGTCACCAAATCTTCAACAAATATGTTTACTTGTATTTTGCAAGCTAGTTAGACACAATCACAAAATAAGACAACAAAAAAGTCACATTTCAGGTTAAAATGTAACAAAAAGGATATCAAACTAAAACAGTCTAAACCTCTTAAAAGTTGGATTTCGCTTCAGTTTTTTAAGTATCTTTTCACCCATAGTCATTTATTATTCTGAAAACATTCAAAAGGAAGCGAAATTGATAAAATCTTAACATCCTTTGCGATGACAAGCGCACGCTAAGAAACTAATCCGCAGAGCTAATTACACCAATTATTTTGACATCTCCAGTAGTGATGCTTTCCTTCAGTTTTTGCGAGAATTTCTTGCACACCTTTTTATCTTTTAGTCAGCTCATTACTTGTCCTGAAATGACACCCTGCACGTTTTATGTAACTGAGAGGAGTCTGAGTGTGTGTGTGTGTGTGAGTGTGTGTGTGTGTGAGTGAGGAAGAATGGGTGCGTATATGTGCGGGCAGGCTATGCAATAATGCTGCGTTCGTGTGTTTTGGGGACTTAGCGGATAAATTCAGAGCGGCGGGTGACTGGGAGCTTAGCCTGTGGGTAGCACAGCTGGAATAAACTGGCATTAGCGTGAGTTGTTTGGATGAAAAGTGCCTCGTTAAATCTGATCGGCATATTCAGAGTTACCCAGGAGCTGCTCCGATGACAGTTCAGAGCAGGGAACAATGCGGTTGCCGCTATATTCAAAACCCTAATTCTGAGGGAAAGAGCAGAGCTTCTAGAAAAACATGAAATGGTTCAGCTAAGTCTGTACCTGATTCAGCTCAGCTCGGCTCATAACCCTCTGCCTGACTCAAAGAAACTCAGAGTGGGTTTTAAGCATTTATAATCCACTTCAGAAGTTAAAAAGAGGTGATGATGAATATACAAAAATCTACTGCAATGAGGAAATTCATGTTTTCCCAACATGGCACCTTAAAGCAATCATGGTGGACAAAGAATCTTCCAACAGGTGATGAGTTCAAGGGTGAAAAACAACAATGTTTAATGACCTCCTCCAAGCTTGGGTCAACGATTTCAACATTTTTATTCGGATGTCAAATGCCAAGTAAGGTTATAAACCCTGGAGTAATTACAAATCGCAAACAAATCAATGCTTTCCCTCTGTCTCCGTACATGTGTACAAGCTAAAAAAACCACACACAGGCCATTCGTCAAAGCGTGGGTGCTTTTGGCTCTTTGGCAAGCTAATATGATCTGACAAACACAGCTGTTCAAAGAGTTTATTCTCAAGCCACTGCAAATCGATTAAATTAATGAGGCGTGCCTCTCTCTCTGGCTGGTACCAGCTGCCTGTTTCAAGGGCTCGCTAGCTGCCATTTAGCAGGGAAGTCAGGCAGCAACGGTGCTGCTGAGGCTATACTAAAACAAAGAGAGTCTGCATGAGAGCTTGTGCTGGAAGTGGAGAAAATACTGTAAGCACTAGTCCGTGAGACAGAAGGGTTAAGCCATCTCCACGCAGTTGGTACATCGACACTGAAGTCATAGAGGGGTAGCCTGGATAACGCAATGGTGCAAGAGCATCTGAGAATGAACCGTTCACATTCAATATACTCAAGTCCAGCCATGCTTGCCCTCCTGCAGCACCCCTCCATCTGTGCACCAAAACTTGCAAGAGCACCGATTCATTCTGGATGTTTTGATTTACCTGAGATGCCCAAAGTGTTTGGTGAGAGACTCTCGAGTGTCCACCGCTGCTACATTGGACAGAGCAAAGTCTTGTAACTCTGGGAAATGAGCGAAAGCTGCTCTCTGCAAGACAGAAACAACAATGAGGACGACTCAGACTGATGTCAAAATTCATACAGTGTGAAGTACTTACATGCAACTCAAAAATTCTGAAAAATAATAAAATAATAAGAGAAATACACCAGATGCACAATAATACCTAAAAAAATGTCTATGAAGAAGAAACTACGTCTCTGACCGCCTGCATGTCGAGTCTTTACCTGCAGGGAGGTGATTCTGTCATAGTGCAGAGTTGTCATCTCCTTCTCAGTCAGGGCATTTCCTGTCTGGTCACTGATCTCAAAGCCTGTGTAGAACTTCAGCATGTCCAGCAACTGCAGTGATGAGATGGGATGGGATAGAGTATAAACAGAACTGAGACCAGTTGGATCATTTGAATTGTGCGTGCATACTCCTGTTCTCGAGTTTGGTACCTGGCAGAAGAGGTGACCCTCCTTCTCCCTTGCGGTGAGGCTGGACAGGTGGCAGCTGACCACCAGATGAGAGTCGTCTAACACGGTGTTGAACCAACGCCTGGTGGGCAGAAGGGCCTAGACACACAAAGCAACATGTTTAGCCACCTTCATAGCTACATCACAACCTTCAACTTCTCTCAAAACATGTTTACTCCTCCTTCTTGTTCATAAAAAGAACGTGATCAAACACCCCTCAAGGGTCACAAGAATCAATTCACTCATGAATAGCTGCATTTCCCAGCATCTGGACCACAACTGTCTATACATAATATTGATCGGTGGTCTTTTTATGTCTTTGGGTTGTTTTGAAACACATGCTCAGGCAGCAACAGAAAACTGACAGCGAAATGAGGGTAAGAAAGGGAACGAAATTGGGCTTGTCTTCTACTGCTCTTGATAATTTGCTTGTTGCAGCACCTAAACATGACATGACGGCAGCACAGAGAAAACCTGTCAAAACCAGATAGCAGGGCTGCTTTGGTAGAACTATGGAAAAGCAATCCTGAACATGTTTATAATCTGACAGCCTGCAAGACACAATGGGTTGTGTATAGAAGAAAAAAAAAACAAGAGTTCAATCATATTTTAAAGGCTGAAAGAGAAAATCTTCCTGCAGAAAAGGTTGCATTGTTAATATGAAATGGAATACTAAATTGCAAAACACCAACGTGATGAAATATGTATTATTCTATTCACAGGAAACTGCTCTTCAAAGACAGCAGGTGCAGCAAGTGGTTCCTATATAGGGATAACAGATTCCTTTATATCCAGCAGCCATCTTTGATCTCAACACAGTTCTGACAGGCAGCGTGAAACAGGCATGAAAATCAGGGATCTTTTTCTCCCTGCATTAATTTTCTGGTTGTCAACAGAGAGGGAGAAGTATGGATTTCAGGAGTATGAGACTCTGTAAAAGGATAGGGATGGAGAACAGGAGATGTCTCCAGAGACCATCAGCTGGCCGGCCACTGGCCGCTGCCAGGAACAGCAAGGCCGGCCTGTCAGCAGGCAGCCAGATGAAATCTATTGAACTTCCTCGCTAGTAACAGGAGATCTGCACAGGCAGCAAGAGGGGGTCTCTAATGTGACATTGTGTCTTCACTCAGATGGACAACCTCATTGGCAAGTGTGCCTATCTGAAAGTCCTGAGTCAAATACTATTTGTCTTTAACGATTTCCTTAAAATTAACCTCGATGATGATCATCAACAAAGTAGCAAAGTGATGGAACACTTTCGCTTTTTAACACATTCATTACAGGACCCTTGATTTATGGAGAAGCCTTTTGACATTGACTACTTGCAGAAACATAAAAACAAAACAAGCTCCGGTTGTACACCAGTTTTTTTCCACCAATTGTTGTAAGTCGGTTCAGTACGCTAGTCTCGGTGGACAGCTGTTACAGTTAAATTTGCCTTAACTAAGTAGTCTTCCAGGACAATAAGGATGGTCACACAGGAAAATAGCTTGTCAATGAAGATTTGAACCATGCCATTCATCTTATATGAATATAAAATATGATTGGCATATATTGACGATTAATGATACTAAGATATAACTGCACTCTGGTTGAAGCATGTAGTATTTATTCCTCCTAAAATGTGTCCTCACATGTGCATTAGAGTCAGTTTGTGTTTGCTGCCTTCATACTGAAAGCTGCAGTCTTATCACCAGCCTGGATTAACTCTGTGGTATTTAACCGTCTCTCTCATTCTCTTGAAATTTTGGATTGCATGACTTTTTACAGTAAAAATGACTGGGTTGCATGTTAAACTGTAGCCGCAAATGCTTTCTTAGCTTTAATTTTCCCTGCTGTGCCCCCAAAACTGTATTAATCTGTGATCCCCAAATCCATTCAGACCATGACTTCTGACAAAAACTACAACACCAAAATCTGATTTTATTCAGATTATAAAAACATCCACTTAACCTCTGATACTGAGCATTCCTCCTTTGACATATTTAGCTCACATTTAAAAGCATTTACACACAGCAGATTGACAGAGAACTAAATATGAGACATCTGAAAATTCATTCAAAACATTATTATAGGTGAAATAAAAAGGTGGATGATAATACAACGGGTCTCAGATCACCACTTTTTCACTTCTATACATCGACGTAGGCCTGAGAATGACTCTCCATCTCCTTATCAAAGGCTACTGTTTCAAAAAGTGCACTGCTCTGCACACAGCAGTGACAGAGATGCACTGGAGGGAGCTGAGACTCAACATTTAACTGCTGTCTGCTGACCTGAGCTGGCTATAAATGTGAAGGACAAAAGGCAAATGAGGTCTGCAGAAACAGATGTCTACACTGCTCCCTTCTTTAGGACATCATGGGTAGGAAAGTGAAAATTAAAATACTGCTATCCTTTCTTCAAAAAACCACAGGGAATATAAAGGACTGGTTAAAGATTGTATTGTTTTGAATGAGATTTGTCTTACTTCCAAATCGATCATAAGTTCGATGAATCTCTCGCAGTAATGTACCTTGTCCATGGACACAGACTCTGTGGGAAAGAAAGAAAGTAATGAATGAGGTGCACTCCATCCTTCAGATTAGGAAAGTTTGAGAATGAAAACTCAAATTTAATAGTCATTGTATAATCTATGTTACATACATAAACAAAAATAGTCTGGAAACAATGAGATATATCAGGGAAGGAGGCTCATTAGTTATCACCGTGGATAAGAGGACAGCAAACACATACGGACAACGCCAAGGTGCCATGCTGAGTATGTGCGAGTCATGGTGAGACACTGCATCGCCAGCACGGCGGCATGCTGGGTCCTCAGCCATCATTAAGTATCTAAGTGTGTATGGGTGCGTGCGAGTGTGTGTGCGCACTAAAAGTTGAAGACTGCAGCACGTATTAAAGTGATGTTGATCCTGCTGGGCTTTAGAGCGTAATCTATTCTGTCAGGTTTGAATTCTACCTAAACACACAAATACACATGTTCTGTTTTTAGCATTCAGGTGGGGGGCCTCCGTGTCGGCCTGCATTACAACACAGTAGTCAGTGCCGGTGGCTGTATGGCAGCTGGAGCACATGCTCCTTCGGCATCTGCACAACTCAGGGAAAAAAAAGAGGAGGGAGAGATGTGCAAGTGGAAAAGTGAAAAGGGGTAAAAGCCCTTTTTCATTCAAGCATATGGCCCAAGACTTCACATAAGTGATATTTGATACTCTGCATGCTCGGGAAAGGTCCAAGGACATTAACTATGCATGGGAACACAGGAGCCACATGCAAAGACATCCTTTTGGAGCCAAAGTCACAGAAACAGTCATACTAGCTCATAAATTTGCTCAATATTTCAAGTAGCAATCCATACAAGAGATATGCTTTTTGAATGAAAAAGGGACCAAGATCAAATGATTATTTCTTTCAAAGGAGTTTCATGTTGAACACAACAACATTGGGAAATCCCTAAAGACATAGTTTTCCCCCACTGTTTACCTGATGGTGGGATCGACACGAGAACTCCAAGGAACTTTTTAATGAGAGCTGAGAGAAAAGTCCTTTCTTTTTTTGCCCTGAGGAAAAGAAAAATGAAAGAAAACAAATCAAGCAGGCTAAGAAACTTGTGAAATGCAGAACTTAATTTTCTTGTCTATATAGATCTGAACACGCAAGCATAGAAAATGTTATTACTGCTCAGCCGCGTCAGCATCCATCTTATCAAATTTCTTCTTGATTAGATTCCAGAACTTCTGCAGCTTTGGGACTTTTTTCAGCTCGTGTTGGAGTCTGGACTGTAAACGTGACAGAAAATGGAAGAAAAAAAAAAAAGACAGTTCTTTTTTCAAGCATTACAGTCACATCAAGGAGTGAAAAGAGGGAGAAATTATCAGACAATGTTCTTATGTAAGGAGGTACCAATAATCAACAGAGAAACTTAGTGAGGATAACAGGATGGTATCTTACTGGTAGGAGGCACATCCACATTGGAAGAGAGATGAGCTGCTGCACCTGCTCTCTGATCAAATCTACCTCCTAGGAGGGAGGTGTGAAGAGAGGGGGAGAGAGAGTTGTCAAAAGGCACTGTGTATGACAGATTTTTATTACACTTCCCCCATAATAAAAGTCTGCAGCTAAAATATTTAGAGGCCTTTATAGGATACAATCAAAGTGCAGCGCGCTATCACAGCAGATTTTTAAGTGAGACATCTGCAGTGCTTCCCTGTGGTTTAATGCGGCTGTGGATGTTACAGATGGGCGGGAACTGACCCAAGGTGCAGTGCCTAGTCTGCTACTGCCACCTGGTGGTCATGAGAAATCAATGACTTTTTCATTGGTTAACATGCAACATGGTATTTAAACACATACTGCATTAAAAGAAAAGAGCCAGATTAAAACACTGTTGATCACTGTTGAGCAGAGGAGGATTAATGTTAAAGCAAAATCCTTCAGATTATATTTAGAGACAGAAATGTCGAACTGTGGCTCCCAGGCGCGGAAATTGGTTAACCTTAGTGTTAATTTGTATATTTTTCCAAAACTTTTATACTTTTTTCATCGATGAGTACACAGCATAAATGCAAAGTTTTGTTTTTGCTGGTTTAAATGCGTTTACTATTCTTAATATGTCCAGTTTGTTGTGCTATTACCTGCAGACAAAATTAACAAATGGTCCTGTTGTGTATAACATGCATTACAGATAAGCATATTTTGAAGTTGAGCAATATATCGATCATGAATATCGACACAGATCAATATATAAAAAAAACAAGAAAATTTATACATATGATATACAACGTTCTCTGTTTAGCTTGATACGTCTTGAAAAGGCTCCAAATAGACTTGGCGTGCATCTTTAGCAGAGCAGGGAGACACTTCTAGGACGGAGCTGAAACACCCCCAGGTGCTCCCTGTGGAAACACGCTTCCTGTCGAATTTTAAGATCACATACACACACACACACACAGTTTTTCTCCACTGAGTCAAGACAGTGAAAATCAGTAAATCTGTACTTACCAGACTGTTGAAACAGTGGTCTAGGAAAACCAACAGCACAGTTTGCTCCTTTAGAGTGAGGCCAGCGTCCTCACCTGCCAACACAGCCTCCATCACACATTTGAAGAAGAATGGAAAGTGGGTGGGCTCCTTCTTGAACACCTAATAAACAGCAAATAAAGAAAAAGATAATAATTTGTATGGTTATAGGGGAGAAAGGGAAATTACATTCTCTGAGCTACTCATACTAATATTGTGTTGCTACCATACAGAAACAAATAAGTTTAACTTAGATAAGCTGATGTATCTCTTACCTCCCACGCTGGAACATTTTCTCTAAACTTCTCGTTGACGATGCAACAAATGGACATGAGGTAGGCATTGCTGGACACCTCCGGAGTGTAGTTTACCCACAGGTAGTTTTCAAGATACTGGCTGAGAGGTGAGATAGCAACATACAGATAAGCTCAAAGTTGTTTATCTACTCGAGGTACAAATAAATAAAAAGAAGGAGTGGGGCTTCCTACCTGAACTCAAGCAGCATAATTTTTCTGATGGCGAATCTAATAACATGATAGAGAGACAACAGTGAAACAAGAGGTGTAAAAAGAGTTGAGTGTATCCAGTTGAGGAAAAAGCACTTTTTAGTTTAAGATGTTTTATATTAGCCTACTTACTTTGACTTGAGAATCTCTTTGTCGTAAATATCTTCCATCACCTAAACAAGCAACAAAAACATATCCTCATCCAATTTTTAAGTACCTAACAAAAGCGGTGTAACATTGCATGTTATATTTATATTACAAATAATATTCAGCTACAAATACTACTCACCTTGGGGTCAAAGGGAAGTTTATTCTTCACATGAGGAGCCCAATATTTATTAGCCAACTGAAAGAATAAAAGAGAAAAGCATATTGGTAAACATGACAGAATGATCATACAACAAGAAAACTGGTTAACAACATGTACTGACAGAAGATGCCAGAGACTTGGGTGGTTTTTTGGTCAGTATTTACATTATCAGGTTTTAATAACACCAAAGCAAGGATTAAGTTTTTGTTTCTCCTCTACATGTGATTTAATGCCTTCCACACTAACAGCCATGAATAGCAGTTACAGTTTTCTCCATAACACACACTGATAAGTTGTATGTATAAAGTAGGGCTGGGCAAGAAAACAATAACAATATATATCGAAAATTAATTTCCTTCAATATCAATATAAAACATGGTCAATATGCTTTTCCATAGTCGGCATTCTGCCATGTTTTGGTAGACTATACGAACAGCCAATGAAAAGGGGAGTTGCTTTGGTTCGCTTTAAGCTGAACCAATCATGTGCTGAATAAGAACCAAGTAGTAAACAACTGTGTAGTAGCAGGCTGCAGCTACACGCAACCATAGCATTTTAACACGTGAAGCCGACAGCACTGTCGTTGAGAAATCAGGAAAATGAGTGCTACCCCTGGCAGAAATGCAGATGACGGCTTAAAAGATGACGACATCGTCAACAACATTGTCACGAAAACGTCGGTGGTGTGGAGGTTTTTTGGTTTTATGAGGTCAGACATGAAGCAGAGTAATGTGCACTGCAAATTATGTCGAGTACATGTTCTTGCAAAGTCGGGGGATACCTCAAATCTTTTTCACCACCTGAAGGAGAGCAACATGGCAGAGCATGAGCAATGCAAAAGGTTACAAACCCTGAGCGGAGCAAGGAGCCCGTGGCACCTGTGCAGCCAAAACAGCCAAAACAGCTGACCATTCAGTCGGCTTTCTCTAACAACGCCTTACGACAACACGTCGCAAAGACACAAAGATGCAGTCGCTTATTGTACTGCTAAAGACATTTGACCAATAAGCACTGTTAAATTTCATTTTTTGTATCGTGATATATTTCGATATTTACTGATATAAAAAAATATATACCATGATAAACTTTTTCCCATATCCCTCAGCCTTAGTATAAAGTATATTACAATGACACACAGTTTATACAATCTAGGTTCCAATAACAGCCTTATAACTGTATAATAAGTAAATATACAATAATGGCTGCAGATTAGGCAGTCTGTCTATTTTCTGGATAAAAGCTAAATTGAAAAAGAGCTGAAAACGTGAGTTTGGTAGAGGCTTTACCTGAGTGACATATTCTGCGTTGATCTGAGACACAGAAGGAGCTGCAGCTTTCTTAGCCGGGGTTTCTTTCTCCGTGGTAGCCATCTCAAGCAGCTACAAGTGATACCTGCACAGACAGGACAAAGATTTATGTTATCGGTTTGATAGTTGAAGGGGACTTATATACTTTAAGGTTTTTAAAAGGCAAGCCTCGTCAAAAACTTAAGAAAAGTTTCAGGGGGAAAGTGTCGAATTGCGAGCAATAGATTAAATCAAACTTTATCCAATTTTCACCTGCGACTTATGTGTAAATATAGGTTTCTGGGTTTATCTTTAGGTTCTCAAAGATGTACCATTCAAAAATTGTGACATTATTAGCAAGTCGTCAACGTTAGCTGGTTGTATCAGTAACTCAGCTCATAAAATATCACTAAGATGTGAGATATTAATCTACTTTTTGTGCTGCCGTTACTGTTGGTGCCATAATTTATACAAACGTTTAAAGAAATAAGCCCACTAACCTCAAATGTTCAGTTCGGCATGAGTTTCACTGCTAATAAACCGCGGTTACGCATGTACACAACGAAGAACGCGATGTTCGCGACTGACTTCCTGGATGGGTCCGTCCCCCAAATCGTCCCCGGAAACGTGAACGTTTGTTCCGTTCCTAATGTGGACTCAAGTTACCGTGATGGACTTTATGCACAGTTCCACGACTTCCCAAACCTAAGGCAGCTCCATTATTTCCTGTCTTACATTACCGGACAAACGGATTAATCCAGATGTGACTGATCATTGTGACTAGTCAGTCACACTTGGATTAATCAGTTTGTCCAATAATGTAACACAGGAAACAAAGGAGCTGCCTTGAGTTCTGGAAGTAGTTGATCGGTTCATAGAGCCCATCAAGTCCTTAATGGAAAGTTAAAGGCTATTGGTAAGTGCTCCTGTTATAGTGTTTTATGGTTTGTTTTTAGTTATTTGTTTCTCTGTTTTTAAATTAGTTTTTAAAAACATTGAAACTATATTTTACTTTTTGATATCTGCTTTTATTTTATCCATTGTTTTAAAAAATTTTTAGATTGTTTTTTATGTTTCAGCTGTGGTTGTTTTAAAGTGCTTTACAAATAAAGTTGAGTTGCGTTTTCTTTTGATCGATTATCCTTCTACTACACAAACAGCCTGGAATTAACATTAGGGGCCACAGGATGCATCATATTTAACAAATAAAAAATAGAAATCAAGGTATTTGTCGCGGAAAGTGCAGTCTCATGAACAAAAGGAGTTATAATGTTTTAAACGGCTCATGACCGACAGGGGGTCTTCCAAAGTTACAGCATGAGAAGTGAAGAGGTTGAGCTCAGTGTGAAATTTTTCTACAAAAGGCCCACAATCCCGGGTAACACCCCTGATTGTAGATGTCAAAAGTAACAAACAGCCTAATACTTGCTCAACATCTGTATTTGACTCTCAACCAGGGAATTACGGTGTCCATCACCTACCTGCTTGTTGCTAGCCACAACTCCTCAAAGCTGACCCAGTTAATCAGCGTTATCTGCATTACCATGGAGCTACCATGATAAATTGGCATGAGATTGGCCCTCAAGATTTTAGTTTGGACAAACTTGCCCTGTTTGACTGCAAATTCAGGGGGAAGGTATGTGTTACAATGGTTGGTTCTTGTTGTCTGTTACTTAATCGCATTTTACTCTGCTTTTTCTTGGACTCATAGTTCACTTCTTGTAAACCAAGTGCAGGGAGTTCAAGCCATTCAGTGTGTAGCCATTTTTGCCCCGAAATAAGGTAAAGCTTCATCTGTTCATAAGACTTGACCAACTCTGTAATAATTTTACTGTAGGAGATCTTTTCTTAAATCCACAGAAAAGCTCTTTCATTATTTTTATGATGTGTACTTTACCAGGATGCTTTTCAACATAAAACACCGAACTGGGCAGAAACCTGTGTACCATCTTATGCTTTGGATGTTAAAAACTGAGAAAACATAACAATCATTAGAGAAACTTGGCTTATATGTTCCCTGTAGTCAGAACTAATCAGTCTGAGCCCCTTCAATGGTCACTTTAGAAATCTTTCTCAAGTTAAACGACCATATGCATGTGGAGGCAATTTTCTTTCATATCTGTGTTGTCAATATGAAGACAGCCTGCATATCTGTGTTGTCAATATGAAGACAGCCTGCCATGCTAGAAGGTGATATGATAACTTAGCAGACTTTGTATTTCCCAGAGGTGAGGTTTTCATTTACAGTGAGGTCAATGAATGCAGACTCCATGAAAACAACACAACTTTGACCAAAATCAAACAAAATGATTCTCAAATCAGATCAAACTAGGACACGTTTAAGTCAACTAGGCCTCACCTCCCTTTCTTGAAAGCAACTCTTCTCTGCTTTTATAGGCTTCTCAGACAACAACCCAACTGCAGGAGAATATACCAAAGTACCACAAGGGGAGTTCAAGATCTGTCTAAGTCCAAGAAATCAAATAAAACTCCTACATTAACTGTCTGTATTTAACTAAACTACACTCCAACCAAATAAAGCATATACTTACATTCCCCTAAAAAGCCAAGAATGAACAAAGAAAAACATTTCACAAAAGGATAAAAACCCACAATATTCCTTTACATATTATATCTAAATTATTAATTTATTTTGCTCTAATGAACTTTTAACTGTTATTTAGCTGTTTCAGCACATGATATCCCAGGTTTGTCTGTGTTATCAGTGAGTTACAGTTCACAACAAAGTCAAAGTAAGTTAAAGCAAACACATAGTCTTCAGTTTTAGTTACTTCTATTAGGTTTCAGGATTCAATACTCTAATTGTTTCTTTATCCAATTTCACTTTGTTTGTTCTTTGTTTCACTCACCATGTGGTCTTTCAGTTGGAAAGAGGCTGGCCCTGTATTTATGTTTATACTTTCACACGAGCTCTGTCCTTAAATCTCACAGCCAGTAAATATGTCTGGTATGAGTCAGCACGCAGGGACACTGAAGGTTCGGTACAGAGAGACATTGAAGTTTTTTTCTTTTCTTTTTTATGTAAAATAATAGGGATCATCTATTCTGCTGCTTTCTTGTGAGATGTAAGGTTTCCCTCTGCTGTTCTGCTGGTATAATTACAGTCACTCTCACTCTGGATAGAAAGTCCACACTGTTAGGACTGAGAAGTTGTCTCAACTTAAAATCAAAAGTGAATGAGTTGCATGGATTATTTTGAGTAATGACCACTCTTCTGGTTTAGCAGTTCCAACATACAGGGCACAAAGCTCACTAGTCCCTTCAACCAAGACCAAGTTGTCTTAGCAAATTAAAGTTTTCCTGACGATTATGCCGATTATGACAACTAATAGTATATTTTTTCAACAAATCATATTAAAATTTCCCAACAAAATATCACATTTTTATCAATACATACAGTATGTATACATGCGAATGTACATATATGAGTTGTAATTACTTTATCCTATCATCTCAACTACTGTCATGCCGTTGTACAGTCGAATACTGTCTTTTTACCAATGTGTCCCAGTCATACGTTAAATGATGGTTTCCTTAAGTACACCGATAATAAACACATCATACTATATGACCAAAGAAAGCAGGGTAAGTGCCTGATTCCTGATAGGAAAAAAAACCTTGAAAACAATCAAAATTAAAGAAATATCATTTGTTATATTTGGCCTTGATTAAATTTAGTTACATTTGCTTCACTAAGAATGGACAAATTATACCTGTAGCTGACATTAAAAAACATAAGCCTAGGTGTTAACAGCAACAACAACCTATTAAAAGTATACTTTTCTTACAATGTTGAACAAATGCAGCAGTTGTCTGCATTAACCCTTTCTAGTATGTAATAAATAGCACCTGGAAAAGCAAATATTAGCAGGTTAGCTGCTAGTGTAGTGGTTGATGCTGCTGCCTCCTTATCAAAGGGTTCTTGGTTCACGGCCAGGATAAAGACCCTTTATGTCAGCCAGGAACAATTGCTTTCCTTACATGCAGTTTGAGCTCTGGTTTAAGTTTTTATTTTGAACTTCCGCAAAAAAAGGAAAAGATAATAAGGACCTACAAAATAGAGCCCTGCCGGTCAAACTTGTAGTTTGATGCTGAAGGCTGCTGTCCCTCTATGAAAGGATTCTGGGTTGTAATTAGGACAGCAGTGCTCCATGGAGAAAATTGCTGTTCTCACATATAACTTTTGCAACTGTGCCCAATGAAAGGTGAAATCAAAAGACCTTAAAACAACCAGGACTAGCTGTACTTGTGGTGTAGTGGTGAAGGTCCGTGCCTTTCAATCAAAGATCCTGTGTTCAAATTAATCTTCAAATGTTGTTTGAGAGGTGCTTTTAAAGAAGCAAAATGAAATGGTGAAATGAAAAATTCAAAAACGGGAAGCACATTTAGCCGGGGTGTAGCACAAAATTCTGGGCCCTGTACACTCGCAATGTTGGTGGGCCCCTGTCCATGCTAGTCTGTCCTCCTTCTCCCAAGCCCATGACTATCTGGCAGTCTAATGGTAAAGCGTATAAGCCTGCTGACTGTCAATGAAATGGGTTTGGGTTTGATTCCAGTGCAAGGATAGAGGAGGGTAAGAAGAGTACGGAGACAAATCATGAGCATTTATGAAAAAAAGAGAAAACCAATTGAACAGGTAAAGACAGTCCCAACCAGAAGGCTACCTCTTTCATTCAATCAGAAGGCTCCTTATTTTGGCCAATGGCTGCTTTAATTCGGCCAATGAGTTGGCTCCTTTTATTTGCCCAATCAGAAGGCTGCTTTTATTCAACTCAACTTAACTCAAACTTTATTTGTTGAGCACATTTAAGTCTAGCTGAGGTTAGACTGTATTTTAACAGTAAATATAAATGTCATCAGCACAACAGCAGGTTCTAACAGCAACAGAAAAGTCTCTTTTAAACAGAAAGAAATGTAATAAAATCACTTATGCCTTTTAGCCTATTGCATACTCTATAAAGTCTTATCACACTTACAACATTGTCATGCCCACATCAACTGTGGAGTACACATCACATGTGCAATTTTAGATTAGCATACAGTGCTGGATGGCAAAGTTTCAGGAGCAGCACTACACCTCAACCATGCCTCATCAAACTTTCCTGATAATTCAAACCAACTCCCCACCTCCTTTTTGTTATAATTTTCAACATAATTGTCAAAATGAATTTATAAAAATTCCTAGAATTCACCTGTTCAGGCTCTCAGAAAAGAGCATTTGGAGCTTTTTTGTTTGATATCAAAGTAAAAAAATAAAGAAGTGTATTTCTGGGTTTTTATTCATTATGACTATCACAGAACTTTATCTATGCTCATTAAAAGTTTGATTATAAACTTTTGTGTGAACTTCAAATGGCACATATAAAGCACCTTGAATAAATTAAGTATGAAAAAGGTTTTTGCTGGGAGAAATTATGCTCTGCATTTTTTTAGAATAATTTCCAATAACCAACTCAGGGGGCTGGATGGAATTCAAGCATCTTTCACAGTAATGTACTGTGAAATGTCAAAGTATTTCCTTGGAAAGGGTCCATGTTAGAGTGCTTTTACATCAGTCTCACTGAAAACTCTGCACTGATGGAATTGAATGCTTGTATGCCTTGTGTTTAAATGCACCATTTATGATGGTCAGTAGAGGGCAGCAGACACCACTCAATAGCTTGAGAAGGCTCACTAGTTCAGGAGCTAAAACAAGTTGCATATAATCAGTGCTGCAACCATAAAGACATGCTTTCACTGACTGAAGGGGTAAGAAAACAATAAATTATAAAACAAAAAGGGTTCAAACATGAACACAAACCAAGCCACAGTCACAGAGGCAAGCAGACCACAATGTCAGGAATCGTCTCTTGCAGCATGGCTGCTCCTGAGCTTGGGTCCCCTACAGTAGCTCACTGCTACAGGAAAAGAGAGAGTCACACACACACATCAGCCTAGTTAGCCTGGAGGAAGAAACACACAGTTAAAGTCCATGTGCAAGGCCACAATGACAAGGGCCGCGGGCTGGTACACTGCACACAAAGGACAATGTTAGCCACAACAGCCAGTTTTGTTTGCAGAGTGGTTGCAGGTCAGCTTGGTGGAAAATGTACATTTGACGAAACACACAAGAAAACTAAATGTCACCCTGTCTTTATTCATTTTGTAGAGGAAACACAGCCGTAAAGACACAAAGAAATGTGTCTGCCATAGGCCATCACATTGCCTATGATTAGAGTGTGATGATATAAGTGTGGCTTTGTCTGTGAGTATGAAAACATGCCCGCTGAAAGACTGAATGTTATGTTTACAGTGATGATCGACAAGTGTTGTGCTCCGAATCTTAGTGGCAGAGCTGCTGTGTATTTACTGTAATGGGGGTTTTTGTATTTTGATGTAATGTTACACATGAATTCACTGTAATTTAACTGTTTGTCCAAAAAGAAAACAAACCCAATGCAGAAATGTCGTGTGAATATGAAACTTTGATAACAAAGTTATACCAAGTGCTTGTATACAATGGAAAACATTTCAAAAGAGGGTGCATGTTGGTATGGCTCAATTTTGGACTCCACAATTTATCATCATTGTTGTAAAAGATTATTTTTCAGCTTAAATTGTATACTCTGAAAGAGCTTTACTTACTGCTGCAATTATTTCTAACTATTGCCAAATTTGGACTTTTTAACACTCTGAAAACACTTAACAAAATGTAACTATACGTACAGCACACTTGTCATCTTCACCTTAGGCACTGAAGTATCTAATTAAAAGTAATCCACTTATTGATAGCACCGACTCAAAACTTGTAGCATTCGCACAACTGTATATTCATCCAGTAGTGGCTTGCTCGCTCTCATAAATAATTGCTTGTTTGTGTTTTTCAAACCCCAATAAAACTCTTCAGGCTCTATTGGCTGCCTCTATTGTTCAATTTTTGATAACAACAATCATAACAACATTGTGGTGGGTGAAGATCAATAGCCCTCTCCATCGAGAGCGCGATCAAGAGAATAGCCGGAGTGAAGATGCATCCCGACTCAGATCATCAATACGGTTCATGATCTTTGAGAAAAGAAATGTTCCAGGAGCAATGGTTAATAGCCTTATTTTCTTCCCACATTGTTACACTGTGTCCATTGACACCTCTGATACACACACACATGTACCGCACACACACCTGCCCTGCAGCTAGCGTCCTTCTTCTATTAACCAGTTTGCCTTAGAATCAATAAAAAACATAAAGAGGCTTAATCTTTTCAGGTGCTCTGTACTGATTGCCTATTACACAATAATAACACACCTTGAGTTCCATGGAGCACAAGGGGGAGACACTTACACACATTACACACAAACAACACACCAGTCACACAGTAAATCTATAGGTTTACAACTGAGCAGATGGTGTCAGTGGTGACACTAGGCCTTTATGAGGGGTGTTAGCTAGTGCGCTAAGAGAAATTCCAGTAGAAACAGCAGGACATCAGGGGATACAGTTTATCGCCCTGTGGGACGAAACACTGCTGGTGTCTCCTTTTGTGGACTACGGTCTCCAGTCCTCTGGTATGCAGCTTTAGCTAACAGAAGTTCCACAAGACTCATCTCAAAGCTAGAATAACAGCTGCTACAGCAAACAACTCCAGTGGAGGACAAAGTGAATTATGGACCCAAGTTCTGGGATATGAAGTGGAATAAACACATCCTCACATCCGCACGTCATCAAAACCACATGGAGACAGGCACGGCTTTGCTTTTCAACAACCGGCAGTGATAAACAGTCAAAATTAATGAGCAGTTATGCAGTTTTGCGTTTCCACATTCACTGATGTCCTGTTGTAAGTCATTAGGTGTTGGACTGTCAGGGCCGCTCCTCCAGAGAAGCCCCGCTGAATTCCAGTGCTGTGGGTGACTGCAGTCTGGTTGTTGACTCTGGCTGTGTTTCTATAAACTAAGCCAGCAGGACAGGTGGAAGATCTGAGAATCAGGCAAGTCCAGGACTGGAACCAGGGAGACGGACGGACTGGACTCCCCCAGAGAGCTTCTCAGACTGTCTTCGAGTCCTGGCAGGTAGAGGAAAAGGAAGAGGTGAAGGAAAAAGAGAAGGGGAGGAGTTATTTTCATGTGAGAACTTTGGCTGGTGTTGGACATGAGACTCTATCACAGCTGTCCTGCTGAGGGTGTCCCTGGAGAGAGGCCGCACTTAACTCTTCCACCAGGGAACACGGGCCTATTTATAAATTATTGGCATTTTTTGAATCTTTGGCAGCTTGTAGAGCTCCCTACTTCAACTCCCTGTAGTGCAACATATGGTCAGCAAGGACTCGAGCCATATACAACTAACATATACCCACTAGGAACCGGGGGGAGGGGGCATGGCCTTTTGGACAATTGAGCAGCTTGTTAGGGGGATCTAGTGGAATGGATCCCCTGCTCCTGTTGTGTTGGGATGTCAGGAAGCTGTGTTGAGACTACCCCTCAGTGTAACTGCAGCTGAGAGAAGCTGTAATTGTATGTGTGTATATGTGTGTGTGTGTGTGTAAGTACATGTGTGCGCATGTGTATGTGTACGGCTGGACTACAGACAGGGAGTGGACATGTGAGAATTCATTGCGCGTCTCAGAGCTCGGTCTTGATGACAGCCTGTCTATTTAGCAGCAACCCACTGGGACGCTGGCCTGTCCCTCTTCTGTTCTGTGCACTAATTGGTCACAAGTGTTCCTGTCGCATGGTTGAGTGTCCGGGCTTATTCCTTCTGATTTAACAGCATGTTGGTTGGGACTTGGGTGTGGTCAATCTGATCTGGCAGGGTCATTAAAGCATCATGGTGTTTTTTGTCTTTTGTATTTTATGCAGAATATGCACCATGAGGGTAATGTGCAATACTTTTAAAAAGCATTTTTCATACATATGTGCTCCATAAGTACTGTTTGTTTTTTATATATTTCATTTTTACCACTGGGAAGGTGGTTTGATGTGTGCAGCACATGATTCCTAACTATCACATAAAGTCCATCATATCATATTGTATCAAATAACATAACACAGTGTATAATACTAATATAATATATCACATTAAAGCATATCACATCATACTGTGATATGTCAAGTTGTGTCATATTGTGTTGTCATATCGAATTTTACCGTATCAGATTGTATGAAATCATACAACACATCACAGCATATCACATCATACCGTAACGTATCATGGCATGTCATATTGTATGGCATCATATCATAATGTCACATCGTGTAGTATTCTATTGTATCATACCGTTTCATATCATATCGTATCATAATGTATCTGATTGTATCATTTTATTTCAGATTGTAACATACATCATACTTTGAGCTTGTCTGTGATAATATCAACTTTTTTGTCAAAATGCTGTCATCTAAAAGCGGCTGTGAGGAATTTTCTGAGTTGTGGTGTGATTTTGGCACCCCCTGTGGGCGAAGTTGTAACCCTTGTATGGTGTTGATTTTGTCTAGTCCTTAAGAAAAAAAATGCTTATTTACAATAAATAAATAACTGACCCTGCTGTCATTTTACAGAGAAGTTTATCACTATCCATACATAAATTTGTTTTGGGTCAAGTAACGAAGGCTATTTCTTTGGCTTACCTACCACGGCAAAAAAAATCATAATAAAGAAATTATTAATCTTGACATCAATAGTCTTTCAGTCTGTTTCATAACTTATCGAAAGTTCCTCTCGGGAGCATTAAGACTCCTGTGAGATGCTTTCACTTCATTTGAATTTTAGCCCTCTGAGTGGACAAAACACTTTCTCTTCATTATTTGCAAATTTTAGCATGAATAAGGAGTGTTTTCTGACTCTAATCTAGCTTTTTCTTTTTCAAAACTAACTGTAACACTCACTGTAAATCCTAAAGATGGAAAGGCTGTTCCTGCAGTGCACTCCTCTTGCCTTTGACACCTATCCTGTGCCAGCGGCCACAGACATTTAAAGTAATCACAAGGACATAATCAACCTTATCCCTGATGGTTTTGTTTGTTTTTGCAGGTCATATACAGGCATGAAATTATTAAATAAGCAGCTCAAAAGTCACAGAAAGAGCTTTAAGTCTCTGCAGACAAACACAAACTAAGCTGCAGAACAAAAATTGGTAACTTTTCTGTGAACTTGTAGAGAGACAAATCAGGACAGAGAGGTTACCAGAGCTGTTCTCGGTACTATTTAATAAGCCTAGCTCTCTTTCATTCGAGGCACACGCAGCATGCCAAACATCCTTACAAAGAGCCCACAAACCCTAATTAGCTAATATGCACTACAGCTTAAAATACCCCCACTGAATAGCGGGCTTTTTCAGAGGGCATTAAAAGCCTAAATATGTATTATCAGAGCATGTGGTGCACCCTGGAAAGCAGCATCCTCTGGAGATGGCTAGCTGACAACTGAACAAGTTGGGGAAGATCACAGACAGAGGATGGTTTCATTAAGAGAAGAAACACACCCTTCATCATACCTTGCACACTAAGCCTGTTTTATGTCGGGATGTTTTAATCTTTGTTCGAACAGATAGGAAATAATTGCGCTCTCTCTTTGAGGGTCCCTTTCAGAGTGTGTGAACACAGTCGAGCCTGCTAATGCATGAATTAAGAGACACGAGGGGGGTGAAGGTGACTTGTGTGACCATGCAATTTAGTGTTTCGATTTTGAGTGAATGCCCCAGTAAAATCGCACAAATTTTGTATGAAAGCTTCCGATCACACACTAAACCCATCCCCTGGATTCTCAGCCCCCCCTTTGGGCTACACAGGGAGTCCCATTGAGAGGCCTGTGGACGGAGGCTGTAGGATTCAAAAAGCCATCACATTAGCAATGAGATGGAACTAAACCATCTACCCAAGAGGACTGGCAATTATTCTGCTTCACAGTGAGCACACAGGGAGCTGAAAAGGCTGCTGTTAAATCTCTGTGTTTGCGAAATCAAACCATTTCTAATGCCTTCCTACAACCCTCTTTTATTCCAATCTTAATCAGCGGTTTTTGTTTGAGCGGATTAATATATAAATATTGTGAGCCATGGTTTAATAGAGTGATGGGTGTCAATGAAGGCAGTCGTAGACAAAGAGAGGAAAAATGGGTTTTTCATGTGAAATGGTTGATGCCTGCTGGGCTTGTGGGGCTCATGTGGCCGAGGCCCAGAGCCAGTGGTTTTTTAGTTGTGCTACAGTGACTTTCAAACTGGTTAAATTATCCAGTAAACAAGGTGGTAATTAGCGAGTGTTGGCTTGTGAAAATTGTTCATTAAGTCCAAGAAGACTGAGCAAAAGGCTGAGGGGCTGGGTGTGTGCAGTGAAGCCCTCAAAGAAAGATAATGTACATTTCTACTTGTAGTATTGTCCCTATTAAGTAATACCACCTGACCCTGCAGTTCCAAGAGACTTCTAACCTTTTTTTTTTTAACTTAATTATTTGATTTCTGGTGATTTTAAGTTTCGGTTCTTTCTTGTTAGTCAGGTTGGTGCCACTTTTTCTTGCAATAGACGAGCCTTACAGATAAAAAGTACCAATACCACTATGACCAAACAGACTTATAGGGCAAATTTCAGAATCCATCACACTTTGTTTAACTTCTATTGGATGGACAATTGTTGCTTCCTGACATCCCTGTCAGAAATATTATATTTGCTATCGATACATGAACTTTTTTTGACTGCCCCTTTCAAAGTCTATCATTGTAGGTTTATAGGACATACTGTTAGGGTTAGTCTAGATGTTAACCTAGATTTGCAAGTCTCTCGAGTCTCCTCTTTACCTTATCAAAGTTAATTTTGTCTATGAGGTAAAAAGTTGGTTAAGCGAAAAGTCTCCAAACCTACTTTTACATATCATTTAGAACCGCTCATAACCTTGTATTTTATGTTTCTAGTTTTTATACGTCTCCTGTATTTTGTATATAAAACATAAAAAGCAGATTCAGCTCTGTTTTGAAGAGGTTGACGTTTTAGTTGTGTATTCATAGGGGGCCCATCTTTGTGAGAACCTTTCTACTGTAAGTAACAAGTTGAGACAAGATGTTTAAAGGTTTCATTTGGAGCATATGTCATGTCTATCAGCTGTGAATCCTAACGCAAGTAACCGAAGGGGTGGGGGGCAGTGCGGTCACATTTTTTGCTCCAGTGTTGTTGTCTGTCTGCGCGCTGACAGCAGCAGTTGCGAGGCTGTGACTGCTAGCGCCAGAGGTGTTACTTTTCCTCCTTTGACTTTTTGGATTCATCACCCGATGAGCAGAGGCTTTGACCCATAAAAACGCCCATGGGTGAGCTTCCAGGGTTCGAATGTGCATGCAGGATAAGGTAACAAATTCCAGCTCAATGATGAGTCAGTAAATGGTTTGGGGGAAGCAGTCAACGTAGGAGATAATTAAAGAAACACACAATTCAACGGTGAAGATACAGGTTGATGTAAGTCCAGTAAACCTATGACCCAACAGCGTGGGGCTTTTAAGCAATAAAAAAAAAGAAGAAATTAAAGAGGAAAGACAGATTTTTTGACTGCCTTTCTTTAAATCAATATTTTATAATTAATCTAGAAGTTTTTCAAATTAAAAAAATATATAAATTTGAAATATTTGAACATGATTTCCTCTCATCCTGTCGTTTGTGCGCAGCAAAAAGATTCAATGGCATGCATCATATGTTGAGCAGCAATTATATGATTAGGTAATAAAACAAATAGTAGTGTTAGTCTGTCATGCACACGGAGAAATATTCAAAATGGATAGACCTTTTTTGCCCCATTCATCACGGCTAACCATAATTTCACATCCTCGGAAAGATGACTTATGTCAAAGCTAAAAATGACAGAAAGATGGCTGGTTTGGCTCAGACTCAAAAATGTTAATTGACTGCTTCAGCGATGACTTGACAAGTGAGCGCGTGTGATCGATGTGCCCGTCGCCCTTTTTCCCTCCAAGAGAACGTCTCTCTGGATAAAACAAATACGGCTCCACATTTGCCTTGACGAGAACCCGAGAGCAGAAGACGGTGCCGTATAAAAGTGTAATGATGACAAAAGAGTGTGCCAGCTGCTCGGGTTACTGTACACAGAGCAGACACAACAAATGACTTATAATAATTAAACACAGGAAGGAGCGGGGATCCTCTGGAGAGACTTCTGCTTCCTAGAATACTTTATGGAGTTTACTTAACCGATGTCATGTCAAACTTTCTTTGAAAAGAGGGTGCACAGAGAGACTGGCTGTCACTTTGTTTCCATTAATACAGTGATGTGGAGCTGAACTTGCAAAAGCGGTTTCTCTCAGGAGCGCTGATTTCAAAAGAACCGCTCATTTACGATAAGTCTTCCAAATGAGGGCAAATACCGGATCAATTTAAAGCATATGTTTTGTGTTCTCACAGACGTACCTTTGACTATTTGCTGCGCCAGTAAGTCACCGCACTTGTAGAACACTCTGGCACAAAGAGGCACCAGCTCAGCATCCATCTTCTTCACGGCTTTATTAAATGTAGCTCCAACCTCATCTGTTATATCCTTTCCATCAGTGACCTCCGGGTTATCGCCGGGCACAGAGAGGGAAAGTGAAAGTGAGGCGCTACACCTGTCAGCGGACATGACAGTGAGGCACTCCATGGACCCACATGTAAACTTCCTACTGATGTGAGAGGAAGTCCTTTTGGTGGGGTCATCTTGAATTGCAGTGACGTGGAGCTCAACTGCTGCACCCCTGGGTAAGGCAGGCACCACGACCACCAACAATGGAGGAGGTTTGATCTCAGGCTCCAACAACAAGTCCTGAAACACAGACAGATTTTATTCAAATTAACTGGTATGAAATTATACACCATGTAGTGCCAAACATTGCAATCAAACATATATGGACCTCCTGCTGAGAGACATGCTGTGCTCCATACATATTAAACATTATTGTAAAGCACAGCATAGAGCTACCACACAGCTCTAAGACAGGCTTTTTACTTGACGGACTGACAGAGCATCAATTAAAACAAGATTGGGAGCTGACCCTCGGTAATGATAGTGTGCGAACACTTCAGAAAGAATCCATACCGCTTGAATCAACCACATAAATGCACAAATGCATTCACTTTCAGCAAACATGACAGGTCCTATCTTAGCTGACCTCCCTAAGAAGATCACTCACACAGTGTTACGGCAGTTTCACCACAAACATTAAGTGGAAAACTGCCTCAATTTTATCCACAATGCTGAAATCTCTGTGTGTGTTTTTTCTTCTTCTTTGGTCTCAGGGCTATTAGCAGTAACAAAATGTCTTGGAGCAGTGCTACAATGTGGCCCTCTAATAATACTTGGCTGTGGCTTCATCTGCTAATGGGAGAGAAATGAGTGTTTTATATAACCGTCATTTCAGTTAGAGTCGATAGGGCAAAAACACTTAACCCCCTTTTCAATTTGCTGGATCAATTTTCATCCACTTACAACCCCACTTCGTAAGTGCAGAATAATAACAGGTTACTTACATTTTATTTTGATATTCACTCAGACACACAAAAAAGAGAGAAATCCATGACAAGAGCAGTGGACGGCCTCTTTGTCCCTTCAACAGAAGAGCCCATCATGACCCAATCAGCCAGATTCACTGAGGCAGCACTTACCTTCAGATTAAACTTTAGCAAACGCTTAATTGTGTATCAACAACTAACCTCTCGCCTCGGAGAGTGGAGACAGAAAAGCAAGTGTCCTGACTGAGAGTGAGTGCAAGAGTTAGGTGAACATTTCTTTACTCTGCTGGATCTGAAGAGAGCCCTGTACGCTGTGATCAACAATAACAACCTCGAGAGCTGAGAACAATAGCCGTGTCAGCACGGACGCCTTAGCATGTCAGACAAAGTGACAGCACACATACGTGTCCCATGCTTTGATAAATGTTATATTAGCACTTCTGGCGCTGACTAGGTATTCTCCTAGAGGGGAGTGCTCCTCGACTTGTCAATAGTGATTGAACATGCAACAGAGAGTGGGAACTGTGGAGAGAAGTGACAGGACAGGGGGTCCTGCTCAGCCAGGCTTAAAGGCCACCCTGCAGGCCTTGTGTGCTGAGGTACTCTACCCAACCGACCATCCACAAAGGAGATCAGGGGACTTCGGCACTGCAGCTCCAGCCTCTGGCAGGACTTTACTGTCACGGCACAGTTGCTGACTTTTTGTCAGAGCTGTCGGACGAGGTTACATCAACCCCTATTTGTTTCTTTATTAATGTAACCACCGAAATGTAGCGTTAGGTGGAAAGTTTGTTCAGCAGTTCTGTGGAACTAAATGTGCAAATGGTGCATTTGTGTGAATGTATTTCTGCTTGTGCATGTGCCGTGCATGTGTGTATGTTTCAGCTTCAACCGTGTGTGTGTGTGTGTGTGTGTGTCCCTTTCAGAGGAGAGTGGGAAAAATGTCTGACATCCCCACCTGACCAGAGATCAATTATTAAATTAATCCAATAAAATTCAAACTTTGATATATAGTGGAGCTGAGTGCTAGAGTGGCATGTTAGGAGGGCAGGCAGGTGGCAGAGCAAGTGTGTGTGTGAGTGAGTGTGTGTGTGAGGGGCTCTGTTCCACTCTCCACCAGCCACTTAACACAATCCATCTCATTACTTCATCCCACTTCAGTTGCAGGGCATGCAGCCATTCCCCTGCGCTCTCCGGCTCTGTAGGCAGCAGGTAAATGCATGAAGTCTGGATCAGCAGCACACAGCTCTCCACACTGATGGGGTGTGACCTGCCTCTGCTCATGTTTGTTTTCCTTCTCCCCACTTTCCTCCCTCTAAACCCCGTCCATGCGCCTGGAGCGTGCGGCGGGTCGGAGGGCCGAGAGGCGTGAAAGCCGAACGGTAAACACGGTAATAAGGAAGTGGTGTAAAGGCGGGGAACAGCAGGGAGCTGATGGGACTGCTCTGCTTAGCCAGTTCCCCTACATTTCCTGCCCAGCGGGACGCCTTCAGCATGTGGCTCTATGTCTCAGCACTTACTGTAGTGCTGTCAGTCTGCAATAATATCCCTGCCCATTCACTCCGCTCTGTCGTTCTCTTCTCTCAAGACTCTGCTCTGAAATCAAGAGACATTTTTTGTGTAAATGAAACACACAGGGTCGTGACAGTGGGGTGAGTACAAGTTTAAGGGTAGGATGTTTTTAAAAACCATACAAAAGCCATGAAGTGCTTCAAAAGTCAAAAGTTAGATTGAAAAATTAAATAAAATAGTTCTCTTTGGTACGCAGAGCTCAGTCCTATCAAATTCAATTAATGATCAATCCCAATTTGACTCATTTCTTTAAAAGTCTTCCTCTTGGTTCAAAAATAACCTCTTGTTTATTATTAGAGCATGTTGAAATATAGACATATTTTTAGCTAAAATAGCAAAATAAATATTTAAACCTGCTGGATAATTATTAGTTTTGTATTTTCTGACATGTTCTTAGAACCTGTTATTGCCACACCAAGAGACGTCTGTTTAACATTTATTGACTTATCACATCAAAATCTTCCTGTTCATCAAAGCCTCTGACACGGGCAGACAAACAGGCTCTTTGTGGTTTAATGCACCGTAAATACAATTTCACACTTGTAGCGACTCCAGTATGCTCCCAATTAACCCTGCAAGCTTCCTCATCCACCTGATTAGAGAAATTATCAGCGCACAACAACAACATGGCCCTGTGGCTTCGCAGACATGCTCGGCAGTCGTGTTTCTGTCATTTCCTTACGTAGGTTGCAGGGTCTAACAATACAGTGAGAGTATTTTTTTTATCTTTTTAACATTAATCTAATAGTTCATAACGCTTTTCAGGATAAATCAATAGCTTTTCTGTGCAGTGCCGTAACCAAATATGAAAAGCTGTGCATTACAATAACAACTGACTCCAAATTACCCACAATGTGATCTTTTAGTCTAGTTAAACAGAAAATAAAACCACTCCTATCATGTTTGTGCAATAGGCATAAAAATTTCAATAATTATCAGCAGTTATACTTGTGTTAGTTTTCCTGTGCACACTCCACTTTCTTGATTTTTTGCTGTTTTCACTGTTTTAAGTTCTTCATATTATTTGAGTAATTAAGTTTTAGACTACCAATAAAGGAGGTTTAGAAATGTGATAATATTTGTGATTGATTATGATAAGTTATTCAAATTCACAAATTACTTAAAATTCAAATAACATCACTTGTTGGGCTTAGTAACAACTTTTTTCCTTGAATTAACGGTAAAACTAATAATACGCTTGACTTTCACAGTTGAATTTGAATTTAAGTTAAAGCTTCTGTGAGGAAACTTCAGTTTGTGTCAATTATTGACAAAGAAATCCTTCCTGAATTGTGACTTTTGACTGCTGCTCAAAGTACACCTACCTCCTAGCACTGGTTCCAGGTGTTTGAAATTATGAAGATAAATCATCAATCTTGCTGCTGATGGCCTTGTTTGTTTTTGGATATCATAAAAAGGCACCAGTGTGATTTTCACTCTATTTCATAAAAGGAAAAAAAAAACTCCTCACAGAAGCTTTAAGATAAATCAGTCTTATAGTCAACGTAAATGACAATAAATCAAATCAGATCAAATAAGATTTGATCAGGTCAGAGTGCAGCAAGTATGGCATTGTTTGCTTTCCTTAATTTGTGTGTTTATGTTATTATGTCAAATTTGTCTCGCCTATAGTCTTTCTATTTCTCTTTTTCTTTTTGAATATCACTTTGCAAAAGAAAAAGCTAGCATCAGTGATTGAGAGGAGGTTATTCTGCTCTGCACTGTGTGGGAGCTGTGTTATCAGTGTTTGACCTGTGTTAAACATTCTAATTACAGTCCATTTAAATGAGCGCTGGTGCTTAGTGTAATCCCCACCCCAGGGCATTGCACCAAGTTTAGGATAAGACAATTGCTGCTCTCTCATGTACATCTGTGCTTGAGGTGGAAAAGAGGGGAAAGAGTGAGGACTTGAAGATTTGCCTCAGAGGGAGAAGAGACCGGGGTCAGGCTGGTAACCTACCACCTCTGCCGCCCTGTTCTTTGGGGTTGCATTTATCTGTTTATAGATAAGCTGTCAATTACAGCTGCTTAATGTGAGACACTGTAAAAAAATAAAACATGGTCTCCTGGGTTGGCTCATTTAATGTATTTTGATTGTTCTGACATACCTCGTAGAGGGACAACAGATGGAGGATGTTGTCCATCTCCAGTGACCTCTGACATCAGGTTAGTCCTGTCATTTCCCACAGCTTTGGCCTCGGTCACCCTTAATATTTAAACAAGCCAATTTGCATGCTTGATTTATGTTACTTTTTTAATGCATTCACGATTACTATCTCAGTTTGATTTACTTTATACTCAGACCTAAGTACCAAATCATACGTACGATTGAACAGGCACTTGTTTTGAGAGACATCAGCAGCATTTTAGCATAAATTTTGATTGCAATTCAAAAATTCTCCCTTAAAAGCTTAAAAGCTAAGATTGCTGGCCTTGATTTACATTTATATACTCCTATACTGAAATGGCATTAACACAAAGTAGACATCTCCTCTCCAGTCTAATACTGTTTGCCACTGAATAGAGCCACATGTTGGAGGTGGGCTCCCGCCTCTCCCAAAGGCCCAATTCCCATGGCTAGACAGATTACAGTGGGAGGAGAAGGGCTGCCAAGGGAAACCGGTGCCCCTATTAGACGTACGGAGCAGGGGTTGTAAGCTGGGGCGGTGGGATGGAGGGAGGAATGGAGGGAGGTGGCAGGAAAGAGGGGAGGTTGGGTTGGGGTGGGGGGATAAGCTGCTCTGAGAGTTGAACGGAGCTCCAAAATGGTGTGTGGGGGCAAAGGATTAGGGAAGCTCTGAGGAAGACATCTGCTTCTGTGCCAAGCTCGGCATTATCAAAGACACCAGCGTTTCCCACATCATCAACTTTTCATGAGCGCGCTCACTGGTAAATATCAGTCGCAGAGACTAGGGTCTCGAGGGGGGCAGAGAGGGGTGAGGAACTTTCGCTTATTTCACAACTATAAAATGTAATTCCGAAAGGCCCCTCTGAAAAACTTGGAGAACATATCAAGTTTCTTCTCTTTTACTTATTTATCGACTCGGTCTTTTCATCCATTAAACATGTAGCCATTCTATGTGGTTGCAGTATCATATGAGTATGATCAATATTTCCTCTGCATCTATAATAAAACAGCTAGTCACAGCTCTTCCTCTTAAACACTGGTATATATTTCATAAACACCAGTTTTACTCCACAGTGGCTGACCTGCTCTTCCTCTGCGGCCCTCAGCATGGTCTCCCACACGGTCCTGATGATCGGTATATCTTGGTGTCTTGTGGTGTAGCAGTGAGCCTGGAGAGAGTTAGCTAGAGTCAGACCACCGATCACCGCCTCCAGAACTTTCTTCACGTAGCTGAAGGACAAGCGGGCCTGCGTCCTGGCGCCAGCTTTTACCAGCTGCATGGTGCAGGGGACTAAAGCGATTTGGCCGGCGCAGAAAACAGACTGATCCACCTGAAGATAGAGAATAAAGAAAACCAAAACGTTGTTATTCATAATAGTAAAAAACAGCTATATTTTGGCACACTGCTGCTTTGAGGTAAATGTGGCTTTAAAAACACTACAGATAACCTCTGACACCTCACACACACACACACACACACACTCTATAACCAGTGTAGCCACCTACTGTTTTGTTTAAAGCAAAATGTGCCATGCAAGGTTATTAAAATTATTAATACAGGGTTTGTTTTTAACAAAAGCAGCATGCTTACCGCTGGGTGTCAGAGTATTAGATTTAAGTTGGTGGGTAAATAAAAAGCTGTCTTGGGATTTGCAGCAAGCTTTTTTAAAATTGCTTGTACAATATACAGTGCTCAGCATAAATAAGTTTCCTTTTTGAAAGTTTCCTTTCAAAATCAACATTTTCTATGTCAGACTATACAACAAAATACTCCCCCAAATGTAAGCCATTGATTGCTAACAAGATTTTTTAAGTTGCATACAAAAAAGTATTTTTTTTCCCAATTTAAAATCAGGATGCAAACATGAGTACACCCGAATCAAAGTCCTGGAAGCAAAGCAAAATTGTAGTTATCATATCACCCTTATTTTCGTCCTATGGTAAATAAAATGTTATGTTAAACTTAGCTTTATCAAAACTTTGGAAATTGTACTTTTGCTCATCTAGATATTGAGTAATACATTACTTTTAACAGGGGTGTACTGACTTATGCTGGGCACTGTAAATTAGCAAGGAGGAGGGGTTTTTATTCCTGCTGTTAAGAGGTCTAACCAACACTAAACTGCAAGTGCTACTTCTGAGACAGACCATAATAAACTATGTCAAGTCAGGGTCCATGTGACAAAGAGGAAAACAAAGGATATCCTTTATTTTTCCTTTAATTTCAACAAACTATAAAACTTGCCACTGGGATGTGTCTTCAAAAGTGAAAAAACTACAACTGTATTCAGATCGTAGGTTTTTTTTTTTCGAATTCAAGAAAAGTGTGTAAGAATCACGTCATGAAACTCCAAAGTGATTTCTACGAAAATATTCATTAAAAAAATAAGTGCTACAATCAAATTAACATTAATTAAAAGCCTATGTTTAAAAAGCACTGCATTAATTATCAAGTCCACCTCTGCCTTTTTTAGCATCTTATCACCAACCAGGTATTCTGTGAGAAGCCAATCTCTGTGGTGTTATTTAAAGGCACAATTAACCATGTGATAATAAGCTCAGTTTGCTGTTAAATACCCCACTTACAAATCAGCTTCTTGTATAATGCATACCTGGAAAAATCTATCTGCTTAATGCAGGGAGATGAGTGGGATGAGAAGCAGCATTAAAGGGGTCAGGTCTTTAGAGACCCTGTGGCTTGCCCATGTTTGAGGTTGGACAGCATTAGTGCTGGTCACTTGCCTATGGTCAATGCAAATAGCTGTTGGTGACATGTTGATAATTGCTGGCCTATTCAGAGACGCTGAAGAACATGCAGATCTCCAGGGAGGACCAAGAAGGCTTGAATCGATGGTTACATGGCCTAAGACAAGGTCCTCTGCTTATTTACAAAGACACAGCCTGGGGTGTGAATGGACCAGCAGGATAACCTATGACCCAGCACCCTGTAAACCAAAATTCACCTACAAATTAATAGTCACGAGCTCTTTGTTAATCTTAGACAACCTTTCCAAAGGAGAACTACAAAAGAATATCATGATATTGATGTTTTTCATTCTGGCAAAGGATGATACTGTTGGCATGATCATTGCTATTTCCATAATCAGATGGGTTTTCCATGATTTCCAGCTTCAGGGTTGACTTGTCAACTTTGATGAATCCTCACTTATGTCTCTTCAGCTCCAAATTACCGGGAAAGTGCGTGAGATGAAAGGGGGGAGATTGGTAGAGGAGGAAGAAAGGTAGAAGATAAAGCCCTCGCTGCTTACTCGCCGCCGTTGGATCAATCACAGGATTATTTACCTGCGAGCAAAACCTGCCCCAGTGCTTGCATTCCTATGCCTGATGAACATAAAAGCCTGAATCCCACACATCAACAACAAATTGTCATTGGCATTCCATTTATGAGCCATCAAATGCCATCATATCCCCTCCAACAAGAAAGGGCTCCATCAGGTTGTACGAGGAGGCCAGATTCTCTTTAACAAGCTCGTCCTCCTGAAGTAAAGCTCGCTCCATTTTGGATTCATAAAGGCCGGATACCGTTTGTCGATTTGAATATCAAAAGGGGATAGCATGGGGCCCCTTGACTGTTAAAGGCAGACTCCCTTCGCTTCCACCAAGCAGGTGTGTGAAGATCAATTATTAAGGATCTCACTCTGGTTGCTCTTAGTGGGAGGTGGAATTGGGGATCTGGGGGGTTTGTATTGACGGGGGCACATCTCTCTGTGCTGAACCTGGCTGGGGGAGAGAGACAGTGGAGATGGGAGAGCGAATACTATTTACATAAAATTAACAGTTCAAAAGAATGAGTTCACACACCAATCAAACTTGTTAATTGACTGTCAATGGTGTGTCCCTGAATATACAACACAACTACATTATTCATCTTAGGCCCTGACAGAGAAGACAGTCCAATTTGCATGGGCGTTCTAAACGTGATCAACAACCACAATGCCGCATGCATTTTTAATAGGCTAGAGATGGCGGTCCTTTAATATTCATAAGGGTCAAACAATTGCGTATGACATTAAACTTTCTATAACAAGGTAAGTATTTTTCAAATGTAAGCCTTAGTGGTCTAAATGGCCCACAGAGAAAAGAGCCTGCGAATCAACACTTTGAATCCTAGTGTGTTTTTTTTTAGGTTTTTGATACAGTGGACATTTGCTGTCATAGTTTTACAGGTTTTACATAAACACAACAGTTAGAAAAGAACACCTAAAATTCTTATCGTTAAAACCCGGGCGGTTATCAATTTTTGATATTTGATTTTAGAAAACAAACACTGATGAGTTGAGGCCCCTTTTCTCCTGTGTGGTCAAGTATTCAAATGTTTCTTTCTCAAAATTAAAAGATTTGTAAACTAGATATGCAGGACATACAGCATTCTGATAAATCAATATCCAGTATTTTACTAATGAACACAAACGTCGAACAAAAACAACCAATAAAAGCTGTTTTCATTTACTCACTCATGAGCTTCTGATACAATAGGTGGCTGTATTTGATCAGCCTTTACATACAGAGAAGTACAACAACCAGCTTAGCTAGAACAAGCTGATTAGAGAGTAAAAGTGGCATTATGAGTGTGGAAGATTTTTACTTCTTCAGAGGAGAATAACTCACATCTGCAACATGCAGAACACATGACCCAAGAATTCCATGAGGGGGAAAGTTTTAACACAAAAATGCTCACTAGTCATCTGAAAAGTAATCTAAAGTTGTACAGGCATTTGAGAAGCTGCGAGTTTTCCAGAGACGAACCAAAAGATGATGCAGTTGATGACAAAATCACTGAATTTACAGCGCGTGAAGACCAACCTTTTTCCGTTGTAGAAGATCAAGAATTTCTCCAGCTAATTTGGTATTTCAAACCATATTTGGAGTCACTGATACTTTTCAGATGCACCCCTGCCTGCCCTGAGTGATGTGATCTTTACAAACAGTGAATTCAGTGAAAATGTGTAAAGATAGTAACTAAAATAGAACATATTGCAAACAAATATGTAAAAAGACAAAGGCATGAAACTGTGAATTATGACACAGATTTAAGAATTTACTTCAAAAAGCCAAATAATGGATCACAACTCTATCCTGAATTTTTCCTCATTCGACCTTTTACTTTATCGTTACAATAACCCCCGAAAAACCAAATGACATGTCAAAAGGTCAACCCATTCAAAGACACTGTCTCTGTCCATCCCTGTGTAGACACCACATACATGTTAATGTACCCAGGTAGCGCCTAGCAGTGTCCGCTTCCAACCAGTTAATGGTGTCTTGTTTCAGGATGGAGTGTCTTAGGTGTTTCTAATTGCACTTTTTTTGTCAAAGAGCTTCCAGAGATGACCAGACAGTGCCAGACTATATTCACATTGGTGTTAAAGGTGTCTCCAAGTGTCATTAGCTTCGCTCTGGAGTGGTATGGATGAACAGAGCCCGCCTGGATAAAATAACCTGGTATCGACGAACAGTCAGGTTTTTCAGTCTGGTTCCAAGGACAGAGAGAGGTGGAAAACTGCTCCTATCAGATATGCTAATGGTCACATTTCTCCCCATTGAGACCTCATGCATAATTTAAGCAGGAAAATGAGGATACAAAATGTGTAAAATAGGTTGGATTCATATGGTGCAACTTTTCCCTCATGAAAGGACACATGTAGCCAAAGTGAAAGGATGATGGTGGTGTCAGATACAGAGCAATTAATTAGATGAAAAATGTAATAATTAATTATTCTGGCTCATCTTTTTACAGAGACGTCTCTGTATCTTTTGGGTGTTGTTTATTGGCCCGCCATAGACAAAGGCATAGACAAACAAGTGTATTTTCAGAGCTGTAGGGAAAATCTCTTCAACTCAACAGATTAAAAGTTGAATTTAAGGTAAGCTACTTGTATGGTGACCAATAATAAAAAAAAACAACACTACAATGCATGAGCGTATTACACCTTTGTTCTATACCCAATAAGTGGCATAAATTGATAAATTAAACTTCTAACTTTTCTAAAAATGGGTCTGTCTTTTGATCACTTTAATCCCTCATGAAACATTCTTAAAACATGTGACGAATTTCCAGAATTCCGTCTCGACTCCTCTTTCCTTTTGGTAATTTTCTTTTTTCTTGAATATTTTAGACTTGGCAAATAGCTCAAAATAGTTCAAAATGTGAGGATCAAAAAACCTGATGTTGAAGTTTTGTTCAATGTATTTAAGTGAATATATTATTCCTGCTTTTTGGCAGGGATTTGATATGCAACGACTGTTTAATCCTTGTGTGGTGGATGGCAGTTTGTCAGGGACGTGTGCTGTGATTTCATCTTGAACTGGCTTCAAGTCAGTGCGGCTCTTTCAGCATTAGCACATTCAAAGCAGATCACGTCTGGGAGTGGGAAATGATAAGAGATGGGCTCATGTTGTGCTGCGCCCTGAGGAAGTCCTGCCTCTTCTGACACCTCATTTCTACAAATACAAACCTTTCAGGAGAACCACAACCAATCCTCCCTCCGCAGACTCTTGCTCCATGTTTGGGCTTCTCATTTGAGGCTTCATGGGAAGGGGGAGGGAGATATTTGCCCTTTTTTTTATTTCTCTCTTTTCTTTTCTTCTCTCCTATCTCTATTTTTCGCTTCCTGTTTGTGCTCCAGTTTGAGCCTAACCCCTGTATGCTCAACTGTCACACAAAATCAGTGTTACTTAAACGGCGACATAAATAGCCGTATGGAGTGCACAAAGAAAGGCAAGCATACAGAATTTCTGGATGCAATCTTTCAGGTCTGAAACTGTACACTCATAGGAAGGAAAACACGAGCAAACGCTTAAAACCAAAGATTATTATGATAAATTTAATAGAATTTCATAAACTACACAACGATAATGAGCCATTGTTGAGGCAATGTGTGGTCAGTCTGAGTGGGGGACACTGGCCTTTCCCCAACCCCCACCTTCTCCAAGCTTATGTGTATTTTTTGTTGTGCCTGGATGTCTGCCCTCGACATGCCCACTGCATAGACACTGAACCGTGTGGAAGAGTAACACTGTCATGTCAGCTCTGGTCAACTTTATGCTGGTCAGGAGCTGCCGCTCAGTGGTACAGCCAAGGTCAGGGGAGGCTGACTGCCGGGTGCTCTGGGAGACACATCTGAACGCCAACAGGCATGAATAAACGAATAAATAAATAAACCCCTTCCTCGGACAGAAAAAAAGAAAACCACGAGCAAAAGAAATAAACCTTGATCAAACTTGTTTTGTGTTCGATTCATGTGTTAGTGTACTGTTTCAGAAAATAAAGAAGACAACATCCGATCAAAGCTCATGTAAAACAATGTCTGCTGTGTGAGTACTGTAGAGCTGTAGAGTTGGGCTGTGGATAAAGAGTGATGGAGAGGCATGCTTTTTCATTGCGGTAGGCAAAATGCCCTGCTCCCTTCAACTGTCCCGACCTCACATTTTTTGACAAATTGGTTGTGAGGCTTTTACGACTGATGCACATATCGCAAAAATCATTTCTGCCAAGCTTCCTCTATGACCTGCCCGTGGGACATGACAAGCCCCTCCATGCATCGCTCTATCAAACCAAATCTTTCCAGGACAATGCAAATTATGACAAATTCCATCATCCTGCATTATGCGCTTTCCTGCTAATCTGCCTAATTCGAGAGAATCAGGGAGGGTCTCGCTGTTTCAGCTGAGGGGCATGTTGTCTGATTGAATGATGCTGAAACTGCAACCCTCAACCCCCGTATCATCCTCCCTTCCCAGCTGTGACCACCTCGTCTCTTCTGTCTTTTCATATTTTTCCTCATTTTAGAGCTCCGTCTCTCTGTCTAGCAGGTCATTGAAGCACTAACTTAACCTGGGCACAAAAGAATTATGTCAAGACTCTGTGCTGCGGCACAACCATTTAAGTGTAACTGTCACAAGGAGTGAAGTTTAGTGAGTCTGTGTTTGAGTACGACACGAACAATCTGACCACAGTGTATATTATATATTCAGGGCCAGACAGTGTGAATGTCAAAAACAAATCAGCCTTCGACCCGGCAACATGAAGCTGCTGAAACACCCTCAGCATCCAAATCATCCAGTTAAACTCAAACACATACTCTCTCTTCCTTTTCCTGTCTTGTTGCTACTCTGCTGCTGCGTTTCAGTATTCAGAAATTAAAGATTGACAAGAGACGAACAAAGAAAAGAAAGGACAGAATGAACAAGAAACTGATGTACATGTAAAGACAGAGGTGCAGTCCCTCCTCGTCTCAACAGATGGCAGTATGACTGCATTTAAAAAGGCAGCTGGAGCCTCAACACGGCTGTTCATACCAAGTCCACCCAATTCAAAAACAAGCAGGCGAGACAGCATTGCAACTCTTCATGGATTCTCCTTTTTTTCCCTTTTTCACAAAGTCAAGCAATATGATAAATAAGCCCTAAAATTCCACCAGCACTAAACAGACACATGAATGGATGAAAAATAAAAGGAAAACACACAAAAAGGAGGAAATATTTCAGTTATTATTCTGAACAAATACTGATTTTGCTTTAAAAGATTCCATTAGAATTAAAAATAAAATCCAAGCAGAAATACCTCCATGAAATTAATGTGTATATACCTTCAAATTATGCAACATTTACATTAGAGGAAATAGAAACAATATATTACAGTTATATTTCTATGCTAAAGATATTAAATGCAATGACTTGAATTTCTAAAAACAATCACAAAAACAAACCCCTACTCAAAAAAATAAACATGGACATATTAACAATCGTGTCAGAGCATCAAATTCAACTCCATAAATCCTGGCATGGTCAAAAAAAGGTTTTCTCTAAATAGTGTTGAAAGAAGCATCTCAACTTTATTATATTATCTACACTCACCAGGCCAGACATCCTCTTACATAATAAATCCACAGTGTTAATAAATAATATATTCTAAAAGTGAACACGCTGAAACGTCCACCGAGAAGCCCAGGGAGCTGTATATTATCTAACCGTAGCAGTTTTCACTCGTGTAAAGCATGTTTTGATGAAAACTGCATTTGAAAAATAAATGACCCCGGTCAAAAGCTACAGCTTAGAAAAACTGCTCTGTTTTAAATGTTTGACGAAGTAAGTAGCCGAAAAGAAAACAGAGTGGAAATGCTGACTCTTGTCTGAGTCTGAGAATGTGGCACTGCTGAAAAATTCCTTTGACAAATGAAGATAAAATGGCAACAGCGCGGCACAGCTGTTGCATGTGTACATAAGAATCACTTTTACAAGAGGCATGTGCAACATGTAATAGACCATAGTAAAAATTTAAAGACAAAGATGGAGTGTAAAAGATACTCACATCACGATTTGTCTACCCTCTGCTAAAAAAATCACACTTACAGTGACAGCAGTGCAAAATAAAAATACTAAAAGCCGAGAATTTCATGTTTTACGGCGTTATCATAAATGTCATATTTCCATGTCTGCTGTTTAGGGTAATTATTTCTGCTAGGACTTAAATGTATGTAAAAGTATTGGGTTACTTTCTCCCCAACATTGTTCCTCATTACAGCTTCTATGCCTCTGCATTAGTATGTGTGGGACTGGCCTCTGTATTGTTTTGTCTGTGTTTGCTACAAATGTGTATATTTCTCAAGGAGCATCCTTTAGACTGTGAGTGCATGTGTGTGTGTGTGTGTGTGTGTGTGAGTGTGTAAGTGTGCAGACCCTGTCAGCTATGCCCTCTCGTCACTGCAGGGGGAAGAAACACACCCGGGCAGCTCTGAATATAGTGGCTAGTTACCATAGTAATGGGATGGTCATACGTCTCTCCTCTCTCAGACAGTGATGGGAGTGGACAGGACACGCCGCTATGCTTTTTATCTATGCATTTGCTATTCAGTTATTTCATTCCACAAATAAAAAAAAAAGTCAAGGCACCCCACTTCTCCTTTCTCCCTATTCAAATAGAGGGGTGAAATGGGAAGTAAATAGTTGGATATGGGGTGATAATTCACACATGGGACTACAAATAATGATGTGTTTTGACTGAGTGCTTGTGATTGCAATTGTAATAGCGTGAGTGTCTTGGCAGATATCTGCGGTGGTGGGATCTGTGCATGACGCTTTTCAGATGCCTTCTTGTTGTCTATGAACCATTCACCCCTCCAACGCTCATCAGCAGTGACAAAGTGGGAAACAAACAAGCACACACACACATATGTAGAGCTAGTGGTTCTTTTGAACTAAATATCGGTCTACTATTAATCAAAAAATGATACGAATGATCACATAAATTTTAATTACAGTTAACTTTTAGATATATTTTCTATAGTAAGAGACTCCTGTTAAAAAGGATGCTAACCTCCGCTTCTTAAGACTTTCAGGTAATCAGAAAATACTTTATATCTTTTGCATATTGAGTGTATTTGTATTTCCTCCATCATTCAGCATGTAAAAAAAGACTCTGGGCGATGGCTGTGGCTAACCCTGTCCCTGCTTCCCATTGCTTGTTGACATGAGCCAAGGCAGTCAGGCACCAATAATACATGAAGAGCTGTTCAAAGGCAATTAGGATCAGTTGTCACGACCGGGCCCATTAATGAGTGGGAGTGTGGCAGGGGCCAGGGCAGAGGCGCAGCGCCGGCGTACGTGGCCGCCTGAGAGTCGATACACTCTGACAGATCCAGTCCTTCCCCTGTCCTCGCCTGGTACAAGCTGATACCAGCCTCGTTCCCACGTGGTGCTACAGCAGCAGTGGCACAAGATAATGTAGAGAAGAATGCACTGACTCCTGAAAATGACCGCTGCCATGGTGGGTCAGACTCTGCAGGGTCACAGCAGGAGGGAAGAGGAGGGGGACACGAGGCGTGTGGCAGAGGGTTCAGCGGGACATAATTACCTTCACTGCCTTCTGCATGTCCAAAAACTGCACCCTCATCACACTTGCAAGGTGATGTGATTTGACCTCTCACATGCATGTGCACAGATACAGGAGGACAAGTGTCTAATCCACGTTAAAAAGCGCAAGCATTGTTGCAAGACAGAGCTATGACAATATGCCAGTGCTGATGAACTTCTAAGGGGGAGCAGTTTCACTGACAGAAATGAGGGATGTGCCAATTTTTGCATAAAGGACAGTGTCGTCTGCATATGGTCAGATTGAAGAAAAAACTCATGCAGAGGTGAACGTTTTTTTTCATAGATCTTTACCAAGTACAGACCCAATTAATAAAGATCAGAGAAAAAAGACATCATCATTAAGTTTAGATGAATTTACTTTAGTTACTTAAGTTATAATTGTTGTCTGTTGGCTAACCATAGAATAAGTAGAATAAACACACTGAATACTTGCTGTACTTAACAAAACACATAACAACAAAGTTTTACCTCACCAGAACACTATCATCAAAAAACTGTAACTCATGGCAACAAAGTACATCATTGTAATATTCAGCATGATGCAAAAAGTCCAACACTGCATCATTATCGTATCGTGACTACAGCGTATTTTACATTGGTTGTTTGCACTTTTCAGCTCTGACGGTTTTGATATGATTTATTGATGCTTGATTGCCCACTTAGTTTGTGTCTGTAAACACATCTCTGTGTGTTTGCATGTCACTGAATGCACCTTAAAAGCTGTGTACATGTCCTGTCATTCATAACAAGTGTGTCAAAGTGAGTCACCCATGACTCATTTTAAAGACCAAACCAGTTTACCTTGTCATACAGCCATGGTCCATCACAAAGAGCACACAGGTGTATGTGTGTGTCTTTGTGTGTGTCTGTGTAAGGCCTGGCCTCAGGGCATACAGCGCACATGCCATTGAGCTAAGGCCTTGCCGGGTTTGATCAGCGTGTTTTGTGTGTGTGTCCGGTTCATGTGCAGACAGTTGACCCAGTGTTTGGGGTAGGATGAGTAAAGCCTACAGAGACACACTCAGGTGATGTTCAAAGACAGGAACTGAATCGATGCTCGCTGGGGAAAGGTTGTGAGATGAAGCCGGACTGTCAGTCAAAAGCCCCTCTGACTCTCTCCAGACAAAAGTACACAACTCTGGCATTCAGGAGAGGAAACAACCAGGGGATTCCACTTTTGCCTTCAGTCAAATGAGAAGAAAAACAAATCTATGTTAACATCCTCTGCTGAACTGGCAGCAAGTAAGTACATGTTCTGGGGGAAACAGTAGTTTTAAGTATCCTTCAATCTCCTGCCTGCTAAAACCGCTGAGCCTTCAAGACCTCATTTTTCATCGACTCAATTACTCGACAACTGTTCCCCCCCCTCCTGGCCCCACCTCTTCCTCCCGGCCTCATCTCCCCTCCTTCCTCGGCTGAAAGTGATCATTTGTTCTTTTATTAAAGTTGATAACATCCCTTGCATTGTCTGAGTGTGCACGCCGGAGAGAGCCGCCCCTACTGTTCTAGCCTCCAGCGCTTCGTATTATTGGTGCATTATTTCACGCATGCCCTCCTCTTTTATCAGGCGCTTTTGAAGTAATGTTAATAGACTAGAAAATTGAGACATTTATGAAGTATGGGCCGTGTTTATGAAAAAATCCATAAAATATGACAGGGGGGAGAGGTGAGATAAAAGCAAGGTTTTAATAGATTATGGCAAACAGGGGAGAGGCGTCAGATGCTGACAAGCACCTCCTACGAGATCCCTCATTTTTTATGGGATTAATTTTGTTATATTAGAAATGAAGTTAAATGTCCTAATTAATCTGTTCGTGCTGCATGAATACCTCCCTGAACGCAGATGCATACACACACACACACTTACACACACACTGTTTTTGGGCTAATTACTCTTCTGTGGTAATTGAGGTGGATGGAGTCTCTAGATGTAAGCAGAGGAAGTTTGGGGAGGTGGGGGCATGTTTGATGTGATGGGGGGGATGCTGAATTGTGCATTGTTGGCTTTTTACAGTGGTTTAACGGTCTGGGTGAGAATAACAAACCATAAAACTGGAGCACTTAGCTTAATTTCTGCTATTCATCACTAAAATTTTCGCTTTCCCACTTACCACATCGGCTCATTTTTAGCTGTCAACCTTTTGATTTTTTACCATAAAGCAGAGCGGCTGTCCACACAAACTTTTTCTGCTACATTTCTGACTAGAAATACGGTGGGACATTGGTGACTTTTTAAAAACACAGAAAGAGTTGACTTGAAACATGAGTTGGTAACGCTTTCACAGTAACAGCATGTTAACAACAGTTGTTTTTATAGTTATTACAGTTTTAATGTCTGATGACGATCAAAAATAGAAGACTGAAGTAATTCATCACATTATTCCTTCCACTTTTCGGCTTGCATGAACACTCTTTATAAGCTTGCCATAAAGCTAAAGAAGCAGAGGAAACTTATGTTCCTCTTTTAGTTCCTCTTACAGCCTTTTCTTGGCCCCTTATGGGTGGCCCAACTTTGCCGTGACTCAGCCTGACCTCTGAACTTTTCATCAAGAGGGTCAGACAAAGTTGATCTCGCTGTTTTTAGACGTTAAGACTCCCGCGAGAAGATTATTCAAATTTAACCGCCTGCCACAGCGCGCTCCCATCTTTGATACTAATTGGCAGTGTCAGATCCACTTCCCTCCTGATGCCTCACAGTCCACTTTGACAATTTTCAAAATCCAATGCAAATCCTATCGCGGTGCTTGTGCTAGACAGCCTTTCACAATATTGACTGTCACTCACAATTAGGGGAATAAGGCAAGAGGTTAGTGTTCACCAGCAACCTGAGGCTAGCGCAGCCAGCTCCCAAAACACACCCCGCAGAATCTGATCAGTGAGTATAATTTCCTGGCAAATATCCCAGGGGTGAGCCACTTACCTTAACGGGAAAGAGAAGATGTTTAACAACCATACAACTGATAGTCTTTCCATTCAGACCTGGGTTAGCTATTGTGTTTGCCTCTGTAAATGTGGCTCCAAAGGGAATGGAAGCATTAATCTAAATAGATGTGGAAAAAATCCTGCAGTTTGAGACTCCTGTTGTTAACTCTGACTCTGGTAAATCATAGGTCAATTTTCCTGGAGCTAAGCGTAATCATCTGTTATAAGCACAAATGGATTTCTGTGTTAAAAAAAAAAAAAAAAAATCAGAGCATTGCTGGCTGAAGACACAGGCTCTTGCTCTTTTTTTCTCCCTGCCATTACGTTAATGCCAGAAAATTGTTTAAAAGCTCTCACTAAGAAATAACAGACAGAAAATGCAGACATAACTTTTATTCCTCTTAAAAGCATGCCACTGCTTTTGATTTTTTTCTTTTTTTTTTGTTGGTAATAAAAACGGGATGTCTGAGAGCATCCTTTGTTTGTAATGAATTGAGTGATGAAATGAAAGAGTGCAATTTCTTATATCTTAATTGGATTATGCAAATTATGTTTAAAACAAATGAAAGTGAAATTTGCATTAGATCTCTGATACAAAAGGCAGCAAAACAAACAATTAGAAACATGAACTTTGATACCATCACACTTGCAAATGATGTTTTATACCACGGATACAACATATTACAGTGACGGCAACATCTAAAAACATGTCAATTAGATAAGGATGGAATGAAAAAACAAAGCATAAATCACTGTTTTTGTCTGTATGGCTCGGGGCTCTTACCTAAACTACTGGCATATCAAGCATTATCATACAACCCACAGAGTGGGCCCCAGCTTTGACATGATAAAGGTTAACTAATTCTTTAAATCAAGTCAGATCTGAATCTGTCAGCTCGCCAGGCTGAGCCGACATTCAGTCAGCTTGCCATTCCCGAGAGCTGAGGCTGAGAGACATGACACGCCACGCAGACAGATGCAAAGATGGATGGAGTTTGAAGGTCCAGCATCCATCACATGCCAATCCATAATGCCATTCCTTTCCACCTCCACCAGCACCACCCTTTGCTGTGGAGTGTGGTTGCAGTCAGATCCTGCAGGGCTGGATTGCCATGTTCTGTCAGTAGCCATGTGCTGGCTCTCAAATCTCTGAACACTTGTTAAATGGACACAGTAGTCCTCAAAGAGCAGGACACTGGACTGCTTACAGCTCACTTTGTCTTCGTCACATTTACAGTGATCTCTTTTTGCAGATTCTACATGAAGCCATATAAGGAGTTGAAAGCAGAGTATAATCTGGGTGGAATTGACCTCATATCAGCAGACTTTAGCATTTGCAATCAAACAGTCTGCACAAAAGCAGGCAGATCACAATCTAATGTGCGATCATTCTGGCTCTCACAGACAGTTTTCAGCCCCATAAACAAATGTGCAAAAATTTCAATTAGAGCAACAAATCAGCTTAATGCAGTGCCATGAAAGCCAATCAGGGTTTTGATTTTCACGAAATGCACCAGAAATTACTAATCAGACTTCTATTAAATGCTTTCAGTTTCATCTTTCCTTGAAAACAAGCTTGAAATTTTACTTTGTACAAGTCTTCATTATGATGTTATTATTAAAAAAGGATAATCAAAGACCTTTTTACTGCAATACAATCACAACAGAACCATTTTTTTGTTTGGGGTCATGCCACTGAGGTTAGCCAGAGTGAAGCCTCTGTGTGACTTACTATTAACAGTGAAACTGAGACTCATCAGAAACAGATTAAAGGGTGCTACTCTAAGGGTGTTAAATAACTGATAAACGACAACAAGTTTTTTGCAGACATAGTTTTAGGGGGAAATTTTGCTTTCTTTCTACTTATGGTCACTTTTTCGGTTTTTGGATAAGACAATAAAAAAGGAAAGTATTGCTTGAAGACGATTATCGCTTGGTCGTGACTCGACCAGAATTCCTTAACGGTTGGGTATCATTTCTAACATCATGAATAGCCTACAGGAAAGATCCATGGGGATTGCATCATTTATCAGAGGCTACTGTCCATTTCTTCTCTTAAGTCTTAATGCACTGACTCCTAAAGAGCTGATCGGACAAACACTTCTGCTGTGCAAAAACTGACCATGCCCAGACGATTTAAAACAACATTAATTCCTTAAACTACATTCCTTTTTTTTAATCAATGGGTTTTCTTCATGCAAAGCAAAATTAAGAAGCTTCAGGTTATTTGGTCTCAGACAGCAGATTTTCTGTCACCGAGGAAAACCGTCATTAAGATGGAGTCAACATGGTAGTCGTGAGAGGAGGGGTTGGCACTGCATGCTCGCTCACAGCAAGGGGGTAATTGTATCAATATGTAAAAACCCTGCGCTGTATTGAGGAGTTGTTAATACATTTTTGATCAAATTAAGCCATTGTAGCGTAGAGGAGGAGCAGACACACTGAGAGGCAACGCAGGGGTCGTGTGAAGTGCCTTGCACCGCTCTGAGCGAGCAAACTCCTCTCATTGTTTTCTCAAATTGCTTTGGATTTGAACGATCATTAGAGAAATGAGAGATTAGACTGTTTTCCAGAGGCAACGGCACATGCCCACAGCTGACTTCGATTTCATGTTTCAATGAGACTCCATTGAGAAAATCAAACACTACTGGCATGTTAAAAGAAACTGACTCTGTAGGTTACATCTCAGGAATTCAAACAGCACAAGATCCTCTGAGCTTCAGTGACACACTGGTGAGATATGCCGTCAGGCTCGAAACGAACGGCTAATCCACACATGTTCTCACTCATAGACGGATTTGGCTGTAGGATCAAGGACAGTGTGGAGGAGATGGACACTATCCTTGTTGACAGTACCTTGACAAGTGTAATCCCATATAATACACACTAGGTAAACAAAACACCAAGCCAACCGTGCAACCGCGGCCCACACTTCCTCTGCTCTGCCTTTGAATACGACATTCTTTCTCCGTTTGAAACAATATGAAAGAAGTTTAACTTGTAGCTTTACAAACAAGTGCAAAAATGAATACACACCAGCAAATATAAGAAGGAGACATATTTACATGTATACATAAAAGCAGTAATGAGGACAAACTATCGCACAAAGCAACAATCACATGCATCTGCACGCATGCATCTATACATAAACACAGACAACAAAGACACACTGGAAGTATTTTAGGTAATCTGAGACTCTTGAATTGCTTGTAAAAGTAAAGACCAACAAAGCTTCATAGGAATCAGCAGCGAGATTCATCATTCACCAAATAAATCCTCAGGTATTCCTCCATTAATCCATCGCTATCCTTGCAGAAGTTTTAACTGCTCAGCTAACATCACACAAGGATAATGATGTCTGTGTTTAGTGGCTTAGCCAGCAGACAAGGATCAAAGATATTAATGGATGATTCTTTAACATTTGCAAACAGGTTATTAGACCAACTTTGTTAAAGTGAGCAGAAAATAATTCCAATTACTCAACTGCAACTATAAATGACCCACTAACCTGTAAAGCTCATTTCCAAAGGAAAGATTAATGCTAAAATGATAACCTGAAGAGCAAAGCCTTTGTGGCCTCGAGCGAATTTTAACTCTCAGAACTCTAAGCCACCAGTTGAAGCACAAATCTTTCTGTTTTGGACTTTTTAGACTTACCCTGAGGGCCTGGCTGTAGGGCCCGATGTTAGCTGGGGCCCAGTGGGACAGACTCTGGACATGCAGGGCATCTTTCTGATGGAAGCAGCCTTCCTCGAGGGGTTCAGTCCAGTCATGAAGCAGGCAGTCTATCTGCAGCAGCTGGCCAGCAGGTAAAGAAGCCTGAACACAAACCCTGCAAGAAACATTAGAAATAAAAACATGTAAAAAGAGCAGAAACTACTTTTTAAAAAACTTTAATGACTTTTATGAAAGAGTTTGAATCATAAGAAACTTAATGAAAGGTGTGTGTATGTGTGTGTGGTGTGTGTGTGTGTGTATGTGTGTGTGTGTGTGTGTGTGTGTGTGTGTTTGAACCCGACCTGGCTGGAGGGTTTATGTCAAAGTGTTGCTTGTAAACAGCGTTGAGTGGACCAAAGTCGTCCATGCTCCTTACATACAGGTGAACCAGGATGATGTCCTTCATCCTCCAGCCCCTGCTGTCCAACTCACCTGGATGCAGTCAAAACATTATACTGTGAGTCACTGCTGTGTGACACCTCCTGAACGTTACAGCCATAAAACTACTCTCCTTCTCATTCATATTTATGTTGTTCGATGTTTTTTTAAAACAGCCTGAGGGATACGAAGGGCATTCCAGTTAAAAAGCAACACATTTCAAAATAAAACCCACTTTGAAAAGGTAAAACACACAAATGTTGTGCAACTTAAAATGAACTGCCACATTTTGCTGCGATACACACTTGTTTTTCTCCGGTCAAATTGCGTGCAAATGTTTTCTGAGACTTGTGGTTTCGCTGGACTTCTCCTAACTTACTCAGGACTGTGTATTTTTCTTGTTTCTTTTTCCTCTTCTTTTTTTTTTCTGTACCACAATGTCAACGTTGCCCCAAATTCATGAAGTCTGTGTCAGTGTAGAGGCATTTGCTTGCGTGCTTACAGAGTTTACAAACCTAGGATCAGCTCAGTCTGTTGAAATAGTCATTTTTAATAATATCACTGCTGTCTGTTAAGAGATGAGTAATTTCAAAGCCTTTCCTCTGACACTGTCCCCATCCCTTAAGTGCATAAAAGTCTTTCACAGTATGTGTACACATTGTAGGCTTTGGATACAAATGCCGGCGCAGCGGCTCAAAGCAAAGCCTTTCTCCCTACAACCATCTGAAAGAGCTTCAAGTTTGTTTTTCCTTTGCCAACACTGGCGTCTCAGACTACTTCGCCCTCATACAAAGAGGTTGTTCATTAAATATTAACTTGTTTAATATTGTCTCTGCACTGTGAAGGCTGTTCAGCCGAGCACCACGATAAACATTAAATATGCTTTTCATCTTTCGCTCCCTTTACTCCATCAAAAAAGAGAAGAAGAGGGGAAAAAAGACCCAGATTCAATGTAAAGCATACACTTTTAAACTTCTGCGGGGCAAAAGAGATAACCCACCCAACACGGCTGTACTGTCTGTGTGCGTGTGCATGTGTGTGTGTGTTTAGAGATGCTTGCTTTTGTTTAATTTGAAATGCTTGTCCTTGTTTGATGGCCAGCACGCTATCCCGTACTTGTGACGGTCGGAGTCTGTGACACGCAGGATTTTGCCTGCTGGGTTGACAAGCACTCTTGAATAAGGAACGACTTCTCAAGCTTTCGCCACACCTCCTCCTCCTCCTCCTGCGTCTTTAGCAAACACAGCAAGGAGAAAGAAAGAAAGACACCCAAGGGACGAAGAAGTTCTCCCCCATATGTTTCTCTCTATCGGATCTTTACGGGTTAGTTGTGCAGATTTTTGAACAGAAAGCCCCTGAAGAATCCATTTGACTGAGCTGCTTCAATCACCCCTGGACAAAGGAATTCTGTATCATCTCCCCTTGATCATATCAAAGATGCAATCTTTTTTTTGATCGGAGAAAAGCATGACTTATTAAAGGTTAGTTTACTTGTGAGTGTCGTTTTGTGTGCCTTGTGTGAGTGAGGCTAAAAAGAATTCTCTAGCTGACTCTTATTCAAAAGCACACACACCATGTTCTTCAAAAAGCATTCACTCTATTGCTCAATATTTTCTCTCCATTACCTTGCAGCTGGGTGAAAGCGGCCCAAGTTTGGCCCTGGATCCCGGGTTCTTGGCTCTGAAGACCGTTGATGCCGGAGATCCACTGGTAGCCTTTGGAGCTTTTGGGTGAGACAGACGGAAGAAGACCTGCAGGAAAATATAAGGAACGAGGATCAGGGTTATCCAAGTACGGCGGAGTATTAGGGCCACATTAAGACAAAAGATAGGAGACTTTGAGATTAAAGTCGTTGATTTACGAGAATTAACTCATTACTTAAGAGAATAAAGTCATAATAAAGCAATTATTTATGAGAATAAAGTCGTACTAAAACCATTACTTATGAGAATAAAGTCATAATAAAATAATTACGAGAATATCGTAATGAAGCAATTATTTACGAGAATAAAGTCGTAATAAAATCATTTCTTACGAGAATACAGTCGAAATAAAGTAATTACGTATTTAAGTAATTACTTACCAGAATAAAGTCGTAATAAATTCATTTCTTACGCGAATAGAATCGTAATAGAGTAATTACTTACGAGGATAAAGTCGTAGTAAAATCATTATGATACCTATGATAACGTGGTGCTGATGTGCAAAAGATTAAGTATCTTCTTGTTTGAGAAATCTATATTGACGTACATTTCATGATTTTCTCTCATTTCAACAACTGTCATCTTAAAAAGCAGGTTAGAATATAAGGACTTGATTCTGACTTTACTCTCTTAAGTAATTACTTTATCACAACTTTATTCTCATTAGTAATGACTTTATTCTTATAAGTTAATGACTTTAATATCAAAGTCTTATTTTTTTTTTCTTAATGTGGCCCTAATACTCCGTCATATCCAAGTGACCACTGAAGTTTTTGATTTTTATCCTCATTTAGAAACAGGAAGGATGCTGCGTAGGAGATCCAGCTGTAATCCATGCATAGGTGGTCCATGTCAGAGAAGAAATGAATTCACAAACTGTCACAAACACACTGCTGAAATGACACCCTCTTGTCAAACAGTCACTCAGAAATACTAGCATCATGATGCCGGCCGTATGACACAGATTCAATGAGCAAACACAGCACACAGACATCATCTGACACACACAGACACACACAGACACACACACTCAGGCACGCATGTCAGCGTGTGCATGTTTCACCATAAATGAGTCTCACCCTGGCCCCGCTGACAACTAAGGTCACAATTTGATGTAAATTCTTGCCGGTTGTCTTCAGCTTGATCAGCATATTCCACCTCCTCAGTCATCTTGTCAATGGCGCTCTGGCAAGGACAACTACCACGGGGCAAAGCGCTCGCCACCACATCCTGCAATAAAGCACCGCAGGGAATACATCAGGCCAAACGCCCACCAAAAAGCACTCAGCCTTTTTCAAAGACAGACAAAACGCTGTATAATTAGTCAGTCCCTTTTTTTATATATATATACAAATACTGTGTGTCAGTCTTTCATGACAAGGGCTCAGACAGACATAACTTCAAGGTGAATGAATATGAAACAACCAACTAACATATTCACAGTTCAGGCGAATAGGGAACGGTGTTTTCTGATACTGTAGATTCAATCATGCCAGCTGTCAGTCAAAACTCATGACTGGATGGCTGAGATGTGTTTTAGATTTCATCCTCTTTTTTTCCCCTTCTTCTGTTTATTTATACTTTGCTTGTACTTATTTAAATAACCATCATAACCATTCTCTAAGGCGTACATATTACCTGCCAAATTCTGCTGGGCCATCATGCATTTAAATACATATTTCATATCTTTGTAACGGGTCTTCCTCGCCCTGCCCGACACTCATTCAGCCCCCCTTCATCTGCTGTCAACTGCATTAGGCCATATGATAATCAAATTAATTATACTTCAGCCCCTCTCTTCTGGCCAGCATGAAAAATAGCTTGACTAGCATTAACGGAGGGCAAATGATGGTGGTCCTTCCCCACCCCCTGAGCCCGGTAAGGTTTCCTCTAGTGCTGGTGTCACCGCCGATCTGTCACCCTGACGAGAAGAGTTTCAGAAGGCTGAACCAGGGCAGGTTCTCCCCTGGTTGCCCCCGCCCCTCCTCCCCTCCTCATAGGCTCTGGATCTCCCTGCTTTCTCTCTTGCAACCTAGGGGGGGCTACAGGGTCTGTGTGAGCGTGCGTGCATGCGTGTCTGTGTTTGTGTGATTGGGGGGTGGGTGGGAGCGGGGCGGCGTGGGGAGTGAAAAAATATATAGCTGTAGGGGTGCAGTGAGGCTGCAGGGTCATAGAGGTTGTGGGATGGGGGTATGTTTTCTGTCCATAACAGCCCCAGCCCCCCACACAACATGCAGATAAACACACACATACACACACAAGCAAGTCTACAAATAGGAGCAGATCTGCACTCAAAAAAAAGTCAGATATATACATTATCACGTGTGCATAAACACACGTGCGAATCACACGCTTTACCGAGAAGACACATCAAGTTACAGGCGAGAATTAACCTCCGGTGTAACTTTTAGACTCTCGGCTCGCTGCAGCAAATATAACAGGGTTCAAGTAGCACTTTTTGTTGGCAGGAAAACTCATCAGTAAGGAGGTGTCTTATCCAACCAGACAGTGGAAACCACAGTAATTAAAAACACACACAAAGGAGTCTCTATTACAGAATTTCAGACAATAATTTAAGGATTATAAGCTGCCTGGTCTTGTAGGGAAAGTACAACATTTCATGTGTCACACTTCTTTTCTCTGATGCCCTGATTAACTCCTTCCAATACACCAAAAGCTAATTTCAACTAAACCACCCCGCAACCCCCCTCTGTCTGCGTCTGCTTAGCCAGCTACCTGAATGCAAAGCGCCTTAATGTGAGCGGACATGTTTATTAAGCTGGGCCTAGTTTCAGGCTGCAGTGAATATTGCAGACGTCAAAGTAGGCCATGTGGAGCTAGAGGAGAGAGGGAGAGCGAGCGATGTAGGGAGAGACCGTGAGCGAGAGTGTGTGCAGAGAAAAGGGAGGCCCCTCTGGAGGTCGATCTGAACCGTGCCCTGCAGGGCCGTGTTTCTCTTCTTCTTCATCTTCTGCTTGACAAACTTATCAGACATTGAAAGGTTTTGTTTTTGCCACTGTTTTTTAGTGTTAAAGTAATCTACCCCACAGCCATTCAAACTTTTGGGATGAAAATGATTGTTTCACGATTAGGCGGCATTGTTCTTAATTGCTGAACAAGATCCACTCATGCATTCTTCCAGAAGTTTCACTCACGCCGTCTTTGCTCTCCGTGTGCATCCCGTTGAAGCGAAGGTAGCCAACTGGAGCAAAAGCATCTGCTGAGTGGATCACTGTCTCCGCTGCATCACTGCGCATGAACACACCCAATAAAACTTTTGCTCATAAAATAAACTTCTTTCAAACTTGAATGGTCGAGAAAAAAAATATAGAGTTTTAAAACATTGAGATTATTTCAAGTTTATTTCTTTACTCACATGACGATCTTCTTTTTGAAGAGGGGGCAATCAAGGGTGAAGGTTTCATATTCACCTCCTTCTCCACAAATATGAACTCCGTACTTCTGGGAGAGCTGATCAGTAGAAACAAACACCACATTAAAGCCTCGGCGAAGGTTTTTTGGCTGAAACAGACTGAAATCAATACAGATGCCTTTATGTGACCCAGAAAAAAACAAGAGACCGTCAGCAAAAAGACTGATTGTTTATGTTGTTATTTTGAATGCATGCAACTGCTTTCATGGTAGGTGTAAGACAGAGCGGTAAAAAGCACCCTGCCAAAACACGTGTACAGGATGGGCTTTTGTCCACAGGGGGCGCCAAAATTAAAACAAACCAAAAGTTCTTTACAGGAGCTTTAAGAAAATTTTAAATGAAGCTCACTCTGCTCTCTCCTGACAGTCAAATGAATCATTCAACGTGAATTATTGTTGTGGAAAATGTGAAAATAGGGCTGTTTCTCCAACTTGCTGCTTAAATGTAACTTTTTACAAAGAGTCAGTTTGTTTTTGATAGTCTTGTTTGTTTTTCAAGCTCATACAAAAGGCATCAATGTCAATTTTACCCGACTAAAACCCTTTGGAAGACGCTATTGCTTGTCATCCAAATCAATACAAAGGAAACATCCAGTTAGTCATCTATCTGTGGTTTATTGATTCTTACTTCTTTACTTCACTTCTTAATCATGTAACATTTTTAATATGGAAAAACGAAACATGATATAGAAATATGGGGAACTTGAGTGCAAACAGTACGGTAGGGTGTCTTTTTTGTCTGTGACCTGTTTCAGATAGGGCTCCATTTCGGCCAGAGGTTTCCCAAGGTGTTTCTCTGGATCCAGGCCTGGCACCCACATGGGAAACACACACACAGACATACACAAACAGGCAACACAAAACAGAAAGTTAGAGATACACACACACACACACAAACACCATTTTCCACCGACACAAGTATGGAAAGAGAGGGGAGAGAGGTCTGATCAGGAACAGAAAACAGTGATTGAAGATGACAGGCAGGGAGGTTTACGGGCAGTCGCACAAACACACACGTAAACCTGCACCCTGGATCTATTTGTTTGACTTTGCGAGTAGTGTACACAGATCTCTTCGGGTAAGGGCAACAGTTTTCAATTGCTGGCCGCAGAGTCCCCCCCCCCCGCTCTAGCCCCCTTGCCCCCCCTCCTCAATCTAGTTCCCTTTGAGAACATAAACTCTGGAAAGAGATTGTGTTTATTTGCCTTTTTTCCCTCCCCTTCCCTTGAAATGGTGCGTGGAAGTGACTCATGAGCATGGGAGAGAAAAGAAAGAGTGGAGTGAATACCTAATATTGCTATTCTCCTAGAATACAACCTCACGACCATTTATGACACTTTAGAAAGTAACACAGCGACTATTTAAAACAAATCACCTAGTTCACGCTAAAAAGGTGTTTAACAGACACTTTCAATTTTGCTTTGTATTCATAAAGGTAGGATGTTTATGAGCGAACAACAAAGAATAGGTTGACCATACGTCCTCTTTTACCCGGACATGTCCTCTTTTTCGGGGGCTGTCCGGGTCTGTCTGGCTCTGTCCAGGGAAGTTTATAAAATCCTTCAAATGTCTGCGGTTTTGTATAAGTTTCTATTTTGTGTCACGTGAACTCACCAAGTTAGAAGCGCGTAAAAGACACTCGATCCGAATCAAAAACTCTCAAAATTAACTTTGTGCAACTCCGTGACTCCGCCCCCCGTAGTCATGTCCTCTTTTTTGGGAAGTGAGAATATGGTCACCTTAACAAAGGAGTCTATGTCTGAACTGTCTGTGATCAATTGCTTTTGTCTTTGCGCACATAGTTAAGAGAATTAACCTTCAATATTCATATCCGGATAATATCCTCACTTCGAGAGCTGCACTTTGGTTATTGTTTTGTTTGAGTCAGGGATACTTAAACCAGAATTATTACCAAATACATTAAAGACCCACTTTGATGAAAATCATGTTTTTCTGTTTTTTTACATGTTCATATGGCATTTTTCTGATGATACAGGACATATCATAAGAAAACTAAAAGCGAAATTGCTTTTCTGAATATTTCTTCATTCAAATCGCTGTGAATCTCTGGCAGACCCAAACGGCAGGTTCAGAAACAGTGAGATTTCATACGTAACCAATCAAAGCTCCGCCCCCGGAGCCCCGCTATACAGGCCACACTCTGCATATAGAAGAGAAATACAGCGGACGATCGCGGAACAAGCCTGTGCATTTGCAGATTGCAATACTTGTACGAAAGCTAATTATGATATTAATTTTCATGCCCCTAAAGGCATTAGTGTCTGAGAGCTGAATAGCTCCTATGTTACCTGCCACTTCTACTACAGTGACAACGTTAGGCTGCAAGCTAACGCAAAGACGAGTCTGCAGAGCAGGGCTGTCTCTGCCCACGACTCAGAGGTGAATTGCTAATGATCTACTGGAGCTGTGCAGAGGAAAAGCCCTTGAAAATGATACAGGTAATGTGATTTTTAGTAAAAACTTCAAAATCACAGTTTAAAGACCACTGAGAACACTTAAAGTAGTAAAAAAAGACTGAAGTGGGACTCTAAAAAGTGAATGTTTGAGCTTTTGGATTTTTGTGACACTAAATCCACACTCTGTGCTCTGGATGCCTGCTGCTCTGAACTCTATCTCACCCTGTAAACAGCTCCCTCCACAATAAAAGCGCTGCCTACGTCTTCCTTCTGTTCTGCAAAAAAATAAAAGCCTGGAATACCAGGTGCTTTTAACAAACAATGGAGCACTAACAACATAACAGGAAATGAGTGTAAAAGGCTTAATTTTAGGAAATTCCAAGCCAGATTGTTATCCACAAATATGTGGGCAGAGATACAAAGAGAATCAACAGTAATAGCTGTCCAACACCATCCATTTCTTTTTTTAATGACGATTCAGAACAAGCAGGTGATGACCTACACTGAGTGACACGTTGTTGTGACACTAATGCCACCACAGTAGAGAAAACACTGATTCGTCTGCACTAAAAAAAAAAACCAACATAGTTCCTCTGGTCCAGAGTATCAGATGGATCTGTTCATCAGCACGTTCATGTGTTTAATTAAAGGACCAAAGTTAATCCTAATGTGAGAATCTCTCCTCTCTCATGGCCTGACAACCTCAAAGGTTAACGTGTCATCAGCGATGGCCCCATGGGGAGCGAAGGATGGGAGACAATCGGAAGAAAAGGGAGAGGAGATGTGAAGGAAGGACGTCGCATCCCATCCCTGGTTTCATCTTAATCCCAGCTGTGCCTCTCCTGCGGGCCCCAGTTGTCCAGCACTGCAGGGGGGGGAAAGGGAGGATGGAGGGAGAGCGGAGGGGGAGAATGAGGAGGCCCTCACTCTCTTCCCAGGGGATCCTTGGTCTTAATTAGTGTGAGAATATCTAATCTCAACATCCTCTCATCTTAACCCTGCCACAAAGGTAATAAGGAGGGAGAAAAAAAAAGCATTAAAATTCAATCCCATTTAAATATCCTCTTTAATTAGTCATGCCTTTTAACAAATTTTAATAATTGGCTCCAAATTGCTGAGGGGATGCCGCCTTTTTTTTAATATGTTCATTAACTTCCCTGCTCTTAAATAATATATGATACATGATTTGATATTTACAAGGAGGGATGGGGATGATGGGAATCTAAGAGGACAGACGTGAGTGATGAAATGATACAGAGATGGCATTAACATGGCGGCATTCCTCCTAAGACCACTTAGCACTTGTAGGAGTGTTTTCTTAATTGATGCTCCTGAATGACTTAAGGTTGCGGAGACCGTTTGGAAAAAGCCGGAATGAGCTCGGGCTTGTGCGATACACGCTTTGAGAAGTCTTTGAGTAGCCGCTGGTGTGAGCCGTCAGCGATCTAACACCACTCATTTACATGATCTTCACATCTCTGTCTCCTCTGAACCTGTTTTACAACTTGACCTAAACCCAATTACCTAACCTCATTATGCCACATTAAACCCAAATAAGCCCACTAGAAGCTGCCATTAGTCTGCCGCCAGAGACAGTGAGAGCGCACTTTGGAAGGAGAGGAGCTTCCCTGAGAGAGACCGAGAGGAATGGTTCTCCTTTAAAAGGGCTTTTTACCTCGTATTATCCTATAAAACTCCAATTAAATGCAGTGAACTTTAAAACCTGGGAGTCCAGTAATGAGGAGGAGCATTTTTTAAGAAGCTTGTTGACATTTAGTGGGTTTAAATTAGCAAAGAGTGAAAAGTTTACCAGCAATCTAGGAGCCATTCAGACACGTTGGTTAGTTTTTATTTTACAAAATGAAAAATTTCAAAATATGTAGTTAAAGAGTCAACTTTTAGACCAAAAGTCAAAGCTCTCAGATAAGATATATTCTCCTTTAAAACTCTTTCTTATCGACGTCAATGACACACTTCTGCACTGCTTCTTTTTAACAACTCTGATTGGCCTTTTCCCGCTCCGAAGAGGTTGATTCATATAAACCCACAGCAGTTAGTTACTTATCTAATTGAAACTGCATGTGATTTTGCTTACTGAGCCTAATGCTAAATTAGAAGCTGAGAGATTCTAGATACTGCCTGAGCCGAGCTGAGCACAGTATCGCACACATCCGCGGGTTGACTTAAGATCTGGCGTGCCAGCTGACAGCTCGGCTTTAATCCCTGCCTTCAGAGAGAAAAGGCAGAGAAAATTGGATTCATGATGTGTAACATTTTAGCCTTTAAATGGATGAAATAGGCATCTCCTCCCTAGTAGGTGAGCTGCATCAGCCTTTAAGCAACGCTCTCAAAGACTCCGCCAAAACAATAGCTGTTCACTATCACCTAATCTTCGCAGGGGAGTGAGAGAAATACAGAACAGAGGAGAAGAAAGAGAAAGGGAGGGAGGTGGTGCCGTACAAAGGATGATAAGATTAAGGTTATATGTGAAATTTGTCAGGCTCTTATCTGAAATTCAGCGTCTGTGAAGTGAATAATAGGCAGCAGGAAGTGTGGAGCAATCACATCAAACAGGAAATCTTTTCAGTCCAACAAATCAAAAAGAAACAGGGAGGACCTACAACCATACGGAGCGAAATGGGACAACACTGACCTGGGAAAATTTGTTTTAAATATTTCAAAGGAAAACAGTGTGGTAGAAAGCTGGCTATAAGATCTAAACAGTTTAAGGCTGCACAGCTGAACCTTGACCTCTGCACTGACTGTTAATCATCCTGAGTGACAGTGAAGGAAAGGTCATGGTCAGGGGTTCACAGGGCAGGCGGACAGAATACCTGACGAGAATCTAAACTTAAACATCCTTCTGTATATTTCTCTTTGTCTTGGGTTTGCTTCAGGACGTTTGATTTATGTGGATGTAATTAAATTCAGTATACACACAAGCATAATCACAACTTTGTTCCAGGTAATCACTCCACCAGTATGTCCCATACATCTCATCTTTGTCTCACATTAAATTCAATAAAAAGGCAAAAACACTCTCAGAATAATGAATAAAAAAGTGAATAGACTAATTAACAAAGAGAACAACTGATTTGTTGTGACAAGGTTTGAATTAATGACTCTATAAACTGATCTTCAGAACAGAAAGATGATGACCGATACGCTTTAGGGTATTTCCAAGTACAAGTATGCGATAGTGTCCACTTTCTCCTCTGCAGATAAGAAACTCACAGTTTTCTTTGTCTCCAGTGAAGGTAAACTGACTATATTTAGGTCCTGGAAGCTTAAGTGGACAGAAAATGAGCTACAGAGACAACATTTTGACATTAGAAGATGTCATTTACCAGATTTTGACATAATAAGCCAGAATCTATTGCAGCTCATTGAGTGGAATGACTTAATTTGTATAACACTGTTTGATTTCAGGGGCGTAAGGTCTTTCGGCTGGAACTTCTTATCATGCTTCCATCTTGTCAAAAACGCCTCTGTCTAGTATTGTTTCCATAGAAACGTATTTCTATGGCTTTGGTTCAGCACTGTAGTTAGATTACATGCCTCATATACAGAAAATATAGTCCTAATAGTGCGCGGCGCAGGCTTGATTGCTACATGCGTCTCCGGCTGTCCACTGAAGTATCACTCAACAAAAGGCCTTGAGACTAAGGATGGGCGATAAATTATCGTTCATGATTTATCGTCAGAATATTCTTTCATGATAAATATTTGCCATCTCAGGATAAACGCAAAAAATGCAAGTTGATGATGCAAGTGCAAGCGACGGACTTGCAGCCGTAGCCCACACGGAGCAGAATAACAAACAAACATGGCCGAAGGTGGTTAGGAAGACATCTCTGAGCAGCTTGTTGCTAAATAATGCTCCATATGAGGTATTTCCTTCAAGATTTGGGTTTACACAAGGATCTGGTGCTATTCACTCTGTGTAATATGAGTTTTCAACAAATGTAGAAAGTGTTAATATATTTCAGACTCGTTTGATGTCACTAGATTTCTCTATAACCTACCACTTAAACTTGTAGTTAAGTATCTTATTTGACTTTGCCAACTGGTGTCCTCAAGACAGAAAGAGTCAAAAACATAGAAATGAATTTTAATATTTTTTATCGGGACTTATCGTGATAGATTTTTTAGCCCATATCGCCCATCCCTTCTTGAGACTACAAAATATTTCACTTCTTCTACGTGCAAAACTAAAACAAAAAACTGTGCTTCTAATTTAAGTAGGTTACTGGGAAAAAAAATGTTACATTTTGCACCATTATTATGGATAAAAGACAGAAAGCTACTGACGTCCATATGGAAAAATGAAACGGTGCATTATCTTCAACGCACTGAGAGCTAACTGTCCTTTATGTATATATAAAACTATATTTATACCTGTGAGTAAGATGATGAATGAAAGTGAATCTCTGACACAAAGGCTACAGTCATGTGAAGGGTAAAAGATCATGCAGTGATGAAAGGTTTTCCAGCAGATAGACCTCGATTTCACACGTGCCAATTATCTGTGGAGCAGAGGACCAATTAACTGCTGAACCTGTGCCCTCGCACACACCTGCACTAATCAATCAATTAACTAATTACATGAATTTTTAATCCTGGCTTTTGGGATTGCCAATTAGCACAGTTAGCTTAGTAGATAGTGAATTTTAAAGTGACAGTTTCCAAACAAAATATGCATTTCCCTTGAAGAAGAAAAAAAATACCCACTGTGGTGCTAATTAGAAGCCTTTTCTTGACATTCATAGGCTTAGACGGAGATAGTTGAACTTACTTCACTACATGCAATTTGGCATCTTCAAAAATTTAAATCCTCTTTCTCTCTTTTGTGGTTTTAGGCTGCCATCAGCGTGGAAAACGAACACTTCTGGAGAATTCACTTAGAGGATCATCCTGCGTTTGGACAGCTGTCTTTTCACAGCAGGGATTTGTCATCAAGGAATATATCCTCTCTGAAAAAAATACTTTTTTTATCCATTCACTGCTAATTTTCACCTGTCTTTTTGAGTGTTTAATGAAGGAATATTAATCTTGAATGACTCCTCACTCTTCAGAGCTCAAAAAAGAAAATCGTACTACTGCAAAGTATCATGAGCAGTTCAAGCCGTCGGTTCACATGCAGACTTAACCTTTGCCCTGCGAGAGTTGTTTTTATCATCCTGATGTCTGTGTGAGTAAATCCTGCTGAATCTCTCTTAGCGCGCACACACACACACAAACACACACACACACCTGAAAACACCAAAAGCCACCAGGTACGCCCTTCTGTCACCCAATCTCCCCTGAACAGCACACCTCGCTGCTCAGACCTGCTCCCACCAAAGCTGCAATTATAAGAGTGCTGCCTAAAACGCCTCAGGCGCTTGCACCCCTATTCAATTCTCTCCTTTCTAATTACCACCGCCTCAGGATGGGTGAGGAGTCAGAGCTGATAAGATCTTTCCTTTTTTACCTGTAGCCAAAACACACACGCACACACACACTCTCACAAACACTGACAGCAGGAGGCCAAGATACGCGCTCAAAGGCACCCAGGGCAATTTTCCTTTCTAATTATAATCTTCCGAAAAATGCTGAGAATTTGCTTTTAGACTAAGTTGTGTTTGGGGTATGAAGCTTGGCCAGGCTGGGTTATAAGGTGACTGAGGTCTTTAAGGTGTGGTTTTGTGTTATTCCAGAGGGGAAATTCAGCATTATAATTAATCACTTAATACAAACACAGACTAAGATCTTCTCTGGTTACAACTGCGGTAGAAAGAAAAACACACTTTTTCTGGGAAACTCTGATTAGAAGTAAGAAAAAAAGCACAGATTCTGACATCATCTTTAACCTGACGGACATCTGACAGGGACGTTCCTTATGGCCAAATCGTCCTCTATCATGACACTATTAAAAATGAGGAATGGGTCCAGAAAATAAAGTACCAGTGATAAATGGTGTGACACATACATGCTATGAGTCGTTACTGAGTGGCGTTGAAAGATTTGCAAAATAACTCCAACTCTCCTCTCGGCTCTGCGGGTCATCAGTCAGCCGTGGACCCCTTTTCGACTGATTGCTACCAAAGGTGACAACAAGCACTTAACAGCACGTAAACAGTGTCTCTGTGATGATCTATTACCGTGAGTAGTTTGAGAGTAAAAAGAACCATTTGTAGCTGTGATTATCATTTATCACTAGCACCGTCAAAGGGATCCAGCTGCATTGTCAAGTCGATACAGGTAGGGATCTTTAACATCATGTACCTGAGAAAAGAAAAGAAAACTTTTTTTCTCCGTCAAACTCTCTTGTTTTCCAGTAATCGGATCTTTCTTTCCTCAGGCTCTGAAACAGGCAAGCAGAGAGCAGGTGACACCACATTAACCTCTTCGCTCAGCGCCGAAGCAGTTGAGAAACGTAAATGAGAGATTTTAATCTTCGCTTCACGGACCGTGTATTCGCAGCTATGCATAAGCAGAGAGCAGTGTTTCTCTCGCACAATGGGGACATGCGCCGCTTATTGACAGGTTGCATTAATGTGCGAGGAAATCACCTGTGATTATTTCTCAACTGCCAGCCCTCCCTCCCTCCCAAAGCCACAGCACCCCTCCCTCCCGAACACCTCCTCCTCCTCCTCCCTCTGCGCTTCTTATCTTCTCATATTGTTGTCTGCTTCAATACCTCCGCCGCTGGCACAAGTCTCAACACCGCTGCTAAGCCGTGGATTAATGATTCGGGCATTAGTCTGCTTGTCTCTCTTTTTCCTCTCTGGTTCCACCTCCCCTTCTCCTCCTCCTGTCCCTCACCTATCCAAATTCGGTCCCTTCGATCCCTGTGCCAAAAACCGCTAAACCAACATGGCACCTTCAGAGAAAGTACAAATGAGAGTAAAAAAAAAAAAGCAGGACAAGGAGGGAGGGGACATCAGACTGCTCACCAGCTGCCAGAGACACAAAGGAGTGAGGCACAAACTCACCAAAGGCAGCAACTTTGATGAGGATAGCGTTGAGGTTAGATGATATCATCTCAGAGAGAAGGGACTCTTGGTCTTGGCGCCACAGGTAGGCCAGAGGCTGCAAACCTAGCCGCAAACATCTGGAGAACAGGTGAAAGGGAAGAGGGGTGGCAGTAGGTTGTAGAAAAAGAAAGCTGAGCAGATCATGTTTAATATTTGCCAATTTCAGGACGGCTTTAGAGCTGACTAAGCTGAGCACTGTTTCCTTTTTCAACAGGCCTGCGGGACATGCTCCCAACTTTATTTAGACTTTATTCAAAGACAAGCACAGGCACTCTGGTTTGAGCTCAGGTTTCTTGGGTCAGAAAATTAATCACTGCCTTACAAATCCCTGATATTTATGTGCTTGTGGTAATGGCATGTGTTTACTGAGACACAACAGCCACGAGTTGTTCATGAAAGGAAAGCTTAGTGCTGAGGTGTCTTCAATCTGTGAAAGTTTACAAGAAAGAATCAAAAATAAAAGAATATCCCAACACATAGATGTCTAAGGTTTAGGGTTATTGTTCACTAAAAGGTAAGTTCAGGGTCACTTCTTTATTGATTGTGCTGTCCTGCCATCATATTTCAGTGGAGACTAAAATCTCTTGGTATTATTTTGACATGACCATTTTAATAATAATCAGGAGTTTAATAAGTCTGTGGCTCAAACCCCTGCACATACAGACTGTGATAGTGCACACGTCAGAGTTTATTTATAAATGTATTATTCTGCAAGAGCTCCTTTTGTTCTATCCTACTCCAGAGAAAAAGATAAACTGTACAACCTGTGTCCATTTTTTTAATGAATTTAGCACAACAAACAGGTCTGGACTGTTCTCCTCCATCCAGCTCATCATATATGTGGACGCCATCAGTCACAATAAAACACAAAACTGGGGAAAACTGCACAGAGCTGCAGAATTTTAGAGCATTTTTGCAATTGAATATTTGCTTTGTGAATTAGACCTTGAGATGGGGCCGGAAGTGAATGTGCAACTCCAGCCACATTCTTATTCTTAGTAAACCAGGCCCTCTGTGTATATAAAGTTTATATTTAAACAAAAGTGGCACACGCAGTGAAGTAAAGACTTCAGAGGATGTTCCCTTTTTTTTTCAGTGGATCACAGAACGTGCGTCATTCGAGTTCAGAGGCCTTAAAGAAGTGGGTGTGTGCACCTCAAGTTAAACAGTGTGTCCTGACTCATGAGCGTGTTTTCGACTTACACATTTTCCACACGGACCCTCTGATAATCGGAAAGAATGGCCCCCACAGACACTGCCTCGACAGCCTCCTTTTCCTGTGGGGAGGGAAAAAATAGAGGAAACTTAACCTTGTAGATTTTCAACTCTTACAGAGTTCGTGCAGTGACAGTGTGACGTCACTGCTTCACGGGGGCCAAGTATTCCTTGACCAACCTATCAGGGTATCCAAAATGTGTTATTTGAACAAAACCACACAAACTGAAACAGACAATGAAAGCACAACTCTTTCCTCTGACTTTACTGCAGTCCTGTGGGGATGTTTACACTCTGGTCATATCAAGACCCCTTCTGGTCCAGCCCATATCCCCTGAAGGTTTGTGTACGTGAACGTGTATGTTTATGTATACATGCGAGTGTGTGGCTAAAAGCACAAACGCGGCAGATCCTGGACCTTATCAGCAGTCTAGTGCGAGCGGGAGATGAGTGCGTCTGGCCGCGGTTTCCCTTTTCAACACACCGCCAGGCTGCAACTTGCGGTGACAACTTGAAGTATCAGTGGAGCGGCGTGTCTGTGAGTGGCATGTATCTTTAATATCGCTGAGGGCTAATCTAATTGCTTTTCATATCATATTCATATTTCACAAACTGGGCGACAACTATGCGCTGGAGAGATACTGACGCGGCCTTGAGATGTGTTCAATTCTTCAACACACACAAACAAACACACACGTTTTTTACATGCACAACCCCCTCTGCTACCTTCATCTTGCACCCCCCCCCTCTACAGACACACCTGCAGATTCATTAGAACATTACATGGGCTGTAATTAGAATGAGAGGCAAGGGGTAGAAGCAGTGGAGGGATGCACAAGTCTCCAGTAAATTACCTTGTAGCCATTATCAATTTCCCAGGCTACTGGTCCTTAAGATAACCCCCCCACACACACACACATACACACACACACACGGCCCATCCCTCCACCCCTCCTTCTCCCTGTGGTCCCTTCCTGCAATTTTTCTCTGCCTGATAAACATGCTGATTAAAGCGAACAGCGTGTAAACCTTTGATACTTTCCTAAATGAAATCCATGCCCTGCCTGGGGCCTGACGCTGCTCTGTAACGCACCGTGCATCCCTCACACACTCACACACACACACACAGCTCCACGTAGGCGTGCTAGCTAATCAGATAAAGGATGTGCTTTGCTTGTGTGCGTGTGTCTGTGTGCTGTAGCCAAAGATGTGAGGTGCAAAACTACAAGCCCACCATTTAACTGTTTGACCCCTGAGTTGAGTCCCAAGAGATCTTAAGTTGTGCTCATGTTTTAATATCTCTCCAATGTTTCCAACACTGGGATATACATTACAGTCAATTTCACTGCCCAGTGACAGTAATTAAGTCGGACTGATAACATTTCAGCCCAGCACAGAGCGAAGGGGGCTGCAGGCAGTGCCATGTAATTCTAGGTAAGCCTCGGGGCCGGCACTCTATTCTAATGAAATGATAACCTTTTTCCCTAAATACAACTGTCACTTCCTAAAGAGGCGTATTAGGAGGCAAAGAATCAGATAAGGAGAGACGGAGAGAAAAAGGAAAAAGAGAAAAGAATGAGAGCGTTGAGGGAGTGTGAGCTCCATCAACACCAATTTGGTCCCTTGGCTTTAAACTTGGCAGGACCAGACTCAGCCTGACAGAATAACAGAGCGTCAGAGCAACAGCAAACAACATCCCGCTCTTGTAAGTCCGTCTCTCTGTCTTCACTTCTCTCTGGAGGCCCGGGCCGCTGAGGTTGGACCAATTAAATGGCTTCTCTTCTCCCTCGCTCTCATTAGATTACATCATGCAGCCTTGTAATACCCGAGCACGGTCGCCACCAACGATAACACGACGAAGACGGAATTTCTCACACGACTCAGTTGTTTTCAATGGAGACTCTAACTAGTAGACCTTTTGGCAAAGAGCACTGGGACATGCTTATTTTTGGACGCAGTTATGTTTTCCTCACAATTATAGCCATCACCATGAGACAGACAGGCAGGAATGAGGGGGCAGCTCTCACTACTCTGGATGTGATTTTATAAATTCCCCTCATACTTTCTCATCCTCTGTGGGAAAGGTAGGATAAATTATTGTGAAGAAGTGGTATATTTGTCTATAAATCAGAATTGATGGGTTTTATGGGAATTATTCTATGTGTATTCATAGCGTAATAAAAAAACGCAAACTTTGATTTTTATGTTTGGCTGAAAAATTTATCAAAATGGTTTATAGTGGGAATACCTGACAAAGCAACAAGGTAGCTCATGAAGCACAGTATAATAATAATAAATAATCATAAATTTTATGAGAGCTATCGGGGGTAAACGATGTTTAGACTGCCTAAGGGGTGGAGTCTAGCTGAGAGAAGCCAACATGACGATAAATTAAATCAGAGGTCATCAGGACTCTCGTGACCCATAAGCCACTTTTCTTTCTTCATGACTCTTGGCGCAAGATTTCAAGAAATAGCTCCTCCCGCCTGCCCTTGACTCTACGTCACATTTCTTTTTTCAACATGTAATGACCCCAGCTCATTAAAGGAAGCTTCACCTGATCCAGGACCCCGGGGCCCCCCTGCATTAACTCACGCCCAGAGCGGGACTAATTCTGGCGTGGCGTTGTGCAACAGTGCGACCCCTTCAGAGGCAGACTAAACAAAGGCCTGGCCCGGCTTCCCCTGTCCTCTCCAGCAAGCAGAAAAGCTATTAATGAGGATCTATGGCCCAGAGCAATGGAAGCCCTCAGCCTCCCCCCAGCAGCCATGTCCATCAGGGTACTTAGCCCCATGCAGTCATTAACTTCTGTTACTAATTGTCAAATTCATTAAACTAATCCTTCCCCAACATCCGGATGTCTCCCGTGGAAATGGATGGAGAGGGCTGAGTTATTAAGATGTCAGCTGTGGGGAAGATTAAGGCCAGCAGACATGCTCCACAAAGAAACGATACGGCCATTAAACTCTATATCAAGGTAGTGCGTGCGTGATATACTTTGTAATTATATATACATTCATCTTAGTAACAGAGTTAAAGAGTGGTTCGAATGTATTCACAGTCACGGGCATGCCTTCAGTCAAGATATGTATCTACCCCAGAGATACATATACACGGCACTCATAAAGCAAGGAAGTCTGCTGGAGAATGCAGCTTTTTTTTTTATTCAAACCCCTCGCTTCAAGGTACATTCACATGCCACACATCCAGCCGGGATAATATTCAACAGTCAAAGCCATTAACAGCAACCAAGGCAATTAGAAAGCCATAAAATATTAAAAATTCAATATTCAAATTCATATGGAATACATCAGAACCCTCATTAGCTCTCTCTCTCTCAATGGCTGTCACAATGAGGTCTTAATTATACACCCTAACAATACAAAGCTCCATTCTGCAAAATGGTGGGTTACCAGCATGCCTGCTTTAAACCATTCTGACAAATCGGAAGCCAGCTTTGGCAGAACCTGCCTATTATAGACACAAGTCTGCACATTTCCATTACAAAATCCCCTTTCTATCAAATCTTAAGTTGTTGACACATACTCTCTATTCACACTTCCTGTATGTAGAGCGCTTGATGGAGGGGAGAGGTAAGAAGACAAGAGTGTAGAGATTAATTAAAGTGGTGTGAATGACAGTTTGCTCAAGGGCAGCAAGGTACTATTACGGATGCTGCATCCGCACTGTCACATCAACACCCCTCTAACCCCGCAATCTCCTTTTCCATCCAACACGCCACCTCCTCCTCTTCATCCATCCGTCCTCCCCTCCCAGGATCCATCAAGTAAGTGACTGGACGCGACATGGTTTTAATGTTCCCTCCATTAGATCAGCTCCGGCCCAGCTGTAATGTAATGGGATCTCCTTGTACCCCTTTACATGGCGGGGACATGGTAAGAAGGAGAAGGGGAGGGGGTTAGACCTTGTTGTAGCAGCTCAAGTAGATGTGGTACAGGGGATAGGGCCAGTTAGGGTCAAGCGATAGCGTTTAATGTAATGCGGATGTAGTCCCGGGGCGTGTTGTTGGGCTGTCCTGACAACTCAGACACGGGAAACTGACAGGAACCTTAGGGTGAGCTCAGTAGGAGGAGACGCTTGTTATTTGTTTTGAATCAGCTCCCTCATTACTATTCTGGACTGACTGTGGTACTCCAAGGTGACTCTTCAAGTCAGTGAAGATGTGAAAGGATGTTTGCACAATGTGCGAAATTTGGTTTGGACCAGTTATAGTGTTTTTTGGAGTTACACCCAATTCCAAGATTATAAAGCGCTTGTATACACAGAAAGAAGCTAAAACACCATGTACACTGTCTGAGCCGTCATAACAAAGCAACAAATGGACATGCAAGATTAGCAAATGTCTTTGCAAAACAAACATTGGGCAAAACCTCGCTCTAAAAGGCTTTCAGAGACATGCCTGTTGGTAAATTGGTGGGGCTGTCTGTTTGAAGCAGCTGTTGAAAGACGTTCTCTTCCTTTGTGCTGGCGAGATGACTCACCACGTGTCAGTCCTCGGCCGTACAGAGTGGCGGAATAAGAAAAACAAAACGGCTTGCATATCCAGCTGCTCATGAGGCAGAATACCCCGACCGGTTTCTGAGATGGTGCAGGTCGGAGGTACGAGAAGGGGCAGAGAGGAAGCTGAACAGGGGAAAGTATTATCTGCCAATGAGGCCACAATGCAGGTGTGACCAGCCAACAGAGGATATGACACGGGGCATTGTCTCATCGGCGTGTTGAGTGAAGGGCGCATATCAGCCAACAGCTATGTGACAAGTGTCAGGGTGAGGTGTGATGATATCAGACCAGAGGAGAGTGACAAGAAACTGCAAATTCAATGCATGGAGTTTGTTTAGGAGCTTTTTTTTCATAGCTAAGTTTTTATTTGAACAGTTCGCTATACCAAAGTTTGCACACATGCACCCTTTAGTCTTGGAAAGTGATTCTTTTACAATGACAGAGCTGTTTTCAGCGATAGAGCCCGAGCATAAATATGCCATGCCGCACAGCTGGAAAATGTAGAAATTCATCAGGGTTAAAAAGTAGAGAGATTAACGTTTCACGAGTTTCCTCCTCAGATATATATGGTTACGTAAACACGGGGCCCAGCCAGACTACAGGCAGGGAGGGAGAGGGACTCGGCCAAAGCAAGCACAAAGCCCTGGTTTGAGCAGGCCAAGGACAGGGAGGCCTTCCATATCTACACGCATGGAAAACCAAATGTTGAGAAGCGGCGGGGAGACATAAGGTCGTTTCTCGATGTCTGTGAATACTTGCAATTCAAGCAAACAGGCTTAGTTATTGCTGGCTTTCAAAAAATGCAACATTTTAACGGCGGTTTCAACGTTTAAACTAGCTGTAATTCTCGGCCTCCGCTCCCAGACGATAAAACTCTATAAACCTTTTTTGAAAGATGACAGGAAATTCTCCCACTTCCTCCCTAAGTTCAAGGTCTCGCCTTTTACCATTAAAAGGATAAGGTGTTCCAATAAATAAGCCCCTGCAAAAGTTTTCTGCAGGGCATTAAACAAAGTCATAATCCCACTTGGCTGAGGTAAAAGTGTTTGAGAGTCTGAGACAGGAAGCTGTTTCCAGAAAGCGAGTTAAGTGTAGAATCAAAGCAGGAGTCTCATGCCACAAAGAGGTAAACTATGTCAGTTGCTTTTCATGGTCCGTAACAACCACCTAGTCCACAGAGTGTACGCATGCACAAGTACTGCAGCCCATGTGCAAAGACACAGTCACGCACTGGCCCTGCAAACACACACACTTGAAAATGTAAATGTTTTTCTGGTGAGGTCAGGTTCCAGGCTCTTTGTATCTTGGCTCTCCTGTCCTCCATCCTCCGCAGCGCCAATAGACATCATGAATCCCCACTCTCTCCAATCCTCCCCCAATTCCCTCCCCAGAGAGGGACCAGAGGAAAATATAGCTGTGATGCTGGTTTAACCCACTCTCCAGACTCCAGACTGTGTTTTTCTAAGGCTGGTTATGACTTTAGCTGCGGGAGGTGATGGGGCCTGCCACAAATATTTCTTGAGGGGAATGGTTCACAAAACAAAACATAAAAGCCCTCTTAATTTTGGAGTAGATGAATGGCAGAGAGTTGAAAGACTTAGCACTTTTCCTCAGCTGTCTGCTCTCAGACAGGCAATATTGGGCCTGACTAGCTGCTGGTACTGGTGAGTTTAAAAGGTTTTATTACATGTGCAGACTCCTCGGTGAGTGCTGTTTTTCTTAAACGGCCGTACTATCCCTCACACTTTGACAGCGGGCTGTAGAGTTAAGGGGAAATGACTGTAAAGCAATAACATAACCTGCTGAAGACAATTAAATCTGAGTCTGTTTTACACTTTTTCTCAATTTACACTTTTGTAAAAGACGACAAAGCAAGGAGGGGAAAATGTATTTTTATTGGAGGCATATTTACAGCCTAAAGTGGACATGCATACGTACTATTTATTTAATTGGTTTTCCAGTAACAACTAATTAGTTTAAGTTATTCTTTAAAGAATATTAAGTGGTCATAACTCATCCTCACAAATGCAAAAGCACAAAAAATCAGAGCAACATGTTTAAGTTAGTTTTTTAGTTAAACTGGTAAATCATCTCAATCACTACTGGCCCAACGATACGATAGTATCATGTTACTTGAGCCACAATACAATATTATTGCAATTTTTTACATTTTGCAATACAGTGAGTATTGCGATACGATATATTGGGATTTATAATTTTTTTTTCAACTGTTTAGCTAATTTAGCATGTGTCTTTCCTTTAAGTTTGTCTTATTTAGACTGTATTTTATTTTCATATAGCACATCTTCTAAACCTTATATATATATATATATATAGTACGAACTTTCTCCTGCGCCATGATGTCACCTCTGCTGACCTCACTGGACAAACAGTTGTTTTTATTTTTCCATTATCATAGATTTGACTTCATATTAACAATTTGAAAAAAAATCAATACCTGGTAAATGAGATGATACGATATATCACCAGACAAAATATCGCAATACTATGCTGTATTGTTTTTTTTCTCCCACCCCAAGTATCCAGAACAGGTATGTAAACATTAACCTGCAAGAAGTACTAAAGCCTATAGTGGTGTTTGCAGGTTTTTTGTGATAGATGAAAAGAGTTGAGGTGAATTGAAGTGAATTACATTGAAATGATTTAATGTATCATATTCAAATAACAAATAAATGTACAATTCATCCAGCACCCAAAAAAAATCTGTAAAAGGACCATTCACATGTACACGTTCTTCAAAGGAACAATGTTCAACCATGCAGTGGTAGTGGCTCATGCCCTTGGCAAGGCGAGATAAGGCTATCAGCTTCCATCATCGCTAAACAAGATTGAGCAAAGTACATTAAGCAGAAAAATACAAACAAATTACAAAGGCTTGGGGCAAGGCTCTTTATCTAATGTTTGTGGGGATTGTTAGCGTCAGTTGGAGGGAAATGGGCCTGCATCTAATAGATCCTGTCCCACCACTTCCACACGGCCAGCGAAACAATGCACGGTGCCATTATCTCACGGCTAATGCTATCCTTCCTCATGTGCAAAACAAGCCTGCAATCTCAACCCCAGTGCCACCACAGCAACCGGCGTGAATGTGAGCGGTCTCAGAGCAAAGAAGAAATAACAATGAGGATCACACAGGGAGGCGACACAGAGAGGCAGCTGTTTGAAGGAATCTGCGCTAACTCGTGCTTGTATTTTTTAAATTCTAGGCAACAAACCTTCAAGAAAATGCAATAAAAAGAAACTTTCTACAAAGTGATTATCCACTGGTTACAGACTGCTTGTAAGCTACTTCCAATAACACCATTTAGAGGTCTCTGTGCGCCACAGAGCAACTACAACAAGCTCACATTAGCTTTGTTATTGATCCAATCTAAACCCTCGCTGTGACCCCAGAGGTCATGATTTATGTATTAAGCAGCTTTTTAAAAGAAATCCATTTTCCTGTTGAGCCCCCGATGTATGTCTAATGCTGCACCGCGCCGGTAATCAGATAGGGGCTGTGTGTTTGATTTTGACCACCCCTCCCTTTTTTGGAGTTCGCACCCCTCCTCAACGACTTGTCTCACAACACCTCGCCTCCTTAATCAATACCTCAGAGCTCCTGGTTCAACTGGAGATTCCCCTGCCTGCCTCCCCCTCCTCCTCCTCTTCTCTGCTTTCCTTCTCCCTCCCTTCCTCGCAGCAGGTTTCACCTTCATCAGGGAACTGTGCTGACCCAGTGCCAGGCTTCTGAAGGGTCCGGATGAAAGTGCTACGACAATAAAATCAAGACCGAGAAGAAAAACAAAGAGTTTGAAAGAGGGAAGAAATTAAAAAAAAACATTTGGACTTCTGCGATCTCATAGGGCCCCACTCGTGTCTGCTGGTGTCAATAATAGAGTGGAGGTAGAATCTGGATTGGGGGGTTGTGTGTTTTTGTGTGTAATCCGGGTCAGGGGATGAGGGGAAAGATGTTGTGTAGGTTAAAGAAAATTATTATCTCATTTAAAATAAAGCGTTTTAATGCAAACACACCAACTTCAACTAATCTAAGTGGAGGTAGAAGGATGTTAACTGACTCCTGGTATCCCAAAAATAAGAGACCAAGAAATAAATGTTCCTCTGAAAAGTCCAGTGCATCACAGGGTAAGAAATTAGATCTGAAAGTAACATTTCCATCGTTCTCAGAGCTGGGTCTCAGTACGACAGAGATGTCACATTGTGGCTAATTAGAGCTGGCAGAAAGGAACGTGTGTGTAGATATCATCTATTGTTCCTCATCACTCTAATGAGCTTAAATGTCTTTGTCTTTATTCATCAGCTCAAAGGTTGCAGGGTTGCTGAAACCGAGTCACAATCTTTTTATGCGTTATCTCTTACTACATCAAGTGATTGAAGATTCAGTTGCATCTTCTCAAAACTTACTGCCACTCGTGCCCTGTAGGCGACGCTTCTTTCAAAGCTCAACACTTTTTTGTATGTAAAGTGTTGTATCTGCTGAAAAGACATCTTAAATTACTATTTATTTCATTTGGGCGCAATTGAGAAAATCAAGGCTGATACCAGTTTCGATTATAAAGTCAAAATCTGATTCAAATGTTGATTTTTTTTCATTCCTGTTGTTCGTTCTCCGTGTTCATTTTTTTCACTATCTTTCATTTGGTGTCAGATTGTGTTTCAAGGTTCTTGTGTCGCCTGGGTCCTTGAGTATGTTGGTGTTTTGTTTGTTTTTTTCATTTCTTTGGTTCTTCTGTTGTTAGGGTTCTTTTTCTCATGTTTGTTTTTGACTGAATGTCAAAGTCCTTTAAAGTTATTTCACAGGCTTTGTTTGTGCCTTTGTTACAGTCGTGAAAGAAAATGTGGGGCGCAGGAAAGGTTCATGGCCGGAAGTCAGACCAGCAACCACTGCGAGGAGGACTTTAGCCTTAATCAATGGGGTGCATGCTTAGACTGTTAGGCTAACCAGTGTCCTTAAAGCACTTTTTAAACGCCTGTTTTTCCATATGGTGCTACATAAATTCATTCATCATTATAATTCATTCAATTTAAGCCATAAAAGATTTCCTTTAAAAAACAAATCTGCTTCAAAAACTTATCTAGCTGTCTTTATAGTCACAAAATCAGACAAAAAGTTTCTGTAGTTACACAACCAAGAATCTGTTTTTGTTTTGTTTTTAGAAGAAAAACCCTTAGTGAAGGGTTTCACTGTACCTTCATTCAAATTAAATCCTAAAGCGTTTTTCTACTACTCTGGCACCAGTTAATCTGGCTTCACTTGACTGATTAAAAATGGTTTTAAAGGCATTTTAACACACTCCGTAAGAAAAAATTACTTTTTAATATAGAATTTATTGCTCTAAATTCAGACTTCTTGGCAAGCCTCAATTGCAAATACAAATACCACAATGAAATATGATTAAATGTACTACCTGTGCGATTTATCTGCTTCTGCATCTGTAAATGTTAGATAATTTGCAGATTGGTTGATATTGGTTAACTGATACTGATCAGCCATATCATTTGGTGGATCCTTAGAAGTTTTCCATGACGGCAGCTTTCAAATAACAGCAGCTAATACAGAAAAAAAAAGAGGAAAGAGAAAGACACAGTGAAAGGATGAGCAGTGAGGCACCTCTTTTACCACAGAGTGTTGAAAGAAGGAAAACTGGGGCAAAAAAAAAAAAGAGCCAGAGGTGTGCAAGGAGAACAGAGATAGACCTGTTATCATGTAACAGAGGCCCTGCTTTGACCTGACCTTGAACACACGAGCACATGAGAGCACACACACATGCAGGCAGGGTCACTGGGCATAAAGAGCCACTGTGTCAGGTCACAGAGCACAGAGAGAGGGATAAAGGACTTGAGGGATGTGATATGACTAATATGAGGGGTTCTGCAGGCCTTCGGGGGGACTGGCGTTACAGCCGGGGGTGACTGACACTGCTGATCTGTATCACACATCAGAGCGGATCACAGCAGAGGAAGGCAGAGCAAAACCACAATGAAATCCAGTTTCAGGATCCACACAAACATGGAAACATCAACACAAAAAAAACTGTTGAAATTACAAACTGAAAATCAAAATATTGAACTCCTATGCTGAGTTTTTTCAGGCGTTTACATATTTTGTTTCCCTTTGGGGTCACACTGAAGACACATGAGTCTCTATCTAGTCTGTGAAAATATACTCTTACAGTCATTGACGTCCAGAAGTGCACAATCCCCCCCGCTGCAGACAAAACTGTTATTCCTCCCCCCAACGAGTGGGTTCAAAGATCAGCACCTAGCAGGATGGGATGGGGTACGCTGTGGCCCACGTGTCTATCAGGTTACACACTTCAAAGACGCACAGCCATACTCAGCCAGCGATGAGAGCAAAGGAGCCAATGATAGGGCCACATTGTCATCCTGCTATTATCACCACTGCCAGGGGATGGATGGCTCATTTCTTCTGTCATAATTGGGCTTTTTTTCTCCCCCCCGCTCTATCAACAATGCGTCTGAAGAATATGATCTCTTCCTTTGACTCTTTTGAAAAAGGCTCCAAACATTTCTCCAAGAGGGCAAAGTGTAGAAAGTCTCTTTCAGCTTCTGGGAGTGATCTATAGATGGCACTGTTGGCTCATGCTATGAGTCTGTTTCCAGCTCTGAAAGGGAGGAGGAGGAGGAGGAGGAAAGAGTATCCACACTTAAACCTCATCAACTCCGGATCTGAGAAAAAAAATGTCTTTCATCTCTGCTTTAAGTGTCATTTGCCAAATATAATCTTGTAACTTCTAATTAATTCAAACTGCTAGAAAGAATCTTTCAAAATATCACACTTTTCACACTGATACATTTTTTCCATGCTTAAAAAAACTGTTCTTTTCCCAGCATATGTGATTTAACAGCTCATTATCAAAAGTGGTGTTTTTTTCTCATAGCTTCCTGCTCTAGCTATCATTTCTTTTTTCACCAATCACCACCAACAAACTGTGTGGAGTTTTTCCTGCCATGTAAACAACACATATATGTGAAACTAAAGTATATGCAACTATAATCCTTGACTTTTACAGAGTAGATTTGAAGTGTGATGATGAGCTTATATGAAAGACAGGAACTGATTTTTCTCCTTTGGAGCTCGTGAGAGTTAACAAGACCTATCAATGGATGAGAAAGAAAAGAAAGAAACTTCAGAGGCTTGAAATCCGAGTAAGGAAAAGTTGTGTCATTATGGTTGACATCACTCAGTGAGAGAGAGGAAGCCTGTTGTTTATGGTGCAGGTCTGTTGATGAAGGTGAGAGGGGTAAACACGGAGACGGCTGGAGGTCTGCTAGCCAGCGAGGGCCCCATGGGAGTCCAAATGCCCTGATCTATGGCCCGCCTGACTGGTGAGGTCAGACCAGAGAAACCCTGCAAATGTGAAATCAACAGCCTTTTGCAATTAGGCCTCTGACCACAGTGGAGATGCAACACTGCATCACCTACCAGAAAATATCAACAATTTGAGTGAGGGTGCTCGTAACAGGGAATTTCACTGTGTGGACGTGAAGGAGAAAATACACAATACACAAACAAGTGCTTTCTCAAGTGTAAATCCTGCGATTTTCACACAAGATGACAAAGAAAGTCAGGCAGAGGGCGCAAAATGCCCTGAGGCGAGCTGACTGGCCCTTGCCACCCAGGCGATGTGTGGACACGCAGGGGCCCTGGAGCAGCCCCAGCTCCGGATGAACATGTCTCCACACAGACCTACAGGAAGAACGAAGATCCCCCCATATACACACACACAAACACACACACACACATACACACACAGACCTTTCTTTCTCATTTACGCCACGTCAAGGCAACTCCCCTCTCTACAACAAACTCCAATCCAACATCCCATAAGAGGCTCTTAAATTTTGATGCTGCAAGCTAAAATGAGAGGTTGTGTTGGGTTGCAGAGGGGAAACAGTGTAACACAGGATCAATCCCACACCCTGTTTGCGCTGACAGCGGGGAGAGCTGTTGCTGCTGTCAAAGTGTGCGTCCAGGTAGCTCTTTCTCATGGCTGCAGGCGGTCAGGTAGGCAGGCAGCGCCAGTGGTGTGTTAAACACTCACGCAGTTGTCTCGAACCTGTCAGTCAGCCACCCTGCACCGCGTCAGACCACCGAGGTCTCATACATAATTTGGCATCAAATGAATATTTTCTCAGTGTCCTGGCAAAAGTATTTGATGAAATATTAATTCAGTGATTAATTTTTGCATCTGATCTTCTGTCAAGAGAGATAAAAAAGAATGGGGTTTTTCCTGTGAAGCCAGTTGTTGAAGGGCATCTCTCTCCAACTTTACTCATAAAACTTTCAGTGACTGCTACAACAGGCACACTGTTTTTCCAAAGTGAGATAAAAAGAAAACTTTCTCCAATTTGGAAGTGAAATTAAAAGACACTAAATAAGACAGACTAAAAGCACCAGCGTGGCATCTTAATCTTCAGAGCAGCTTGGTTGCACTTTGCAAAAGATGCCTGGGACTGTTAGAGTACAGCAGGCCTGATGGGCGACTAAGTGAATCTAAATCCACAGAGAAGGACTTGTAAAACATCTCAACAGCGCTGCATATGAACTGAACCTGAGACTAGACGAGAAGTTCAGCTGGTTCACCAACAAACATTCACACCGTGGCAAAAACTCAAAACTGGAGTTACTGAAAAGATTTATTTAGAAAATTTAGACAAAGGCAGAACTATGCCATGAAAACACAAGGCAGCACATTACACATGGAGACACATTTCAAACCAATGAAAATGCAACATGTTTCTACTTAAAAACAGAAGCAGAGTAGCTATTTTGCAGAGAGGTACTACGTTATTAAAGTAACAATATAAAAGTGCTATTTGCAGTATGAGGTGGCGGGCTGACTTTAGATTGCATTATCGATTGAGAGATTTTGTTTGATCTTATGCTTTTACACTCACTTACCTTAGAAAGAAAGTAGTCAACCTTAATGTCGTCCATCTACCGAGTGCAAAATTTAAAACAACCAAGCAAAAAGGTAGCAAGTAAAGAAATTGAAGATACTGCTAAAACAAAGTAGCCCAGGCTGGGATTATGCAACAGAAAATGCCACAATACAGCACTCATGACTGAATGAGAATTTCAGGTATAATCCACCCTGAAAACCAGAGCTCACAAAATCTTCTCTCTCTCAGTAACAGTAGCGAAAGACAATCTTACCTTGACAAGCTTCAGTAGCTCATACAGGTCCTCCACCTCGTCCCCTTGTGTCTGACTGTAGTTTCTGCTGGTGTCCAGGCTTGTGCCCTGGATGGTGCGTCTATACAGAGGAAGATCCATGGCTTCAGCATACAACTCTATGGCCTGGTGGCCAACTGTTTGGTACATGTAGCTGTCCAACTCATCTGTGACAGAGAGGAGAAGATGTTATTAAGCCACTGATTGTGTGGCTGATAAACAATAGAGCGGTGATTTAATAGTGGGATGCTGCCACGTTTTTAACAGTTCAGTTCCTAAAGCATTCCTGTTATGAATGGCATGAATGCAAAGTCATCTATAGTTCGATTGAGAGCCATGTTGCCATAAAAGAAAGAAATGAAAGTAATAGGATAAAAAAAAAATTTTAAAGTATAGAAATTCTCTGTCGCTCTATTCCAGACCTGGGCATTTTATGGATGTCCCTGCCCGGCCCTTTGTGAGGTCCGTCAAACAAATTATCAACATGCCATACAAGTGTCTTGCTTTTATTTTGAAAAACTAGCCATTGTTTTAGTTCCATTTAGACACACGTGCGTACATCCTACATCTGCATTCGTTAATAGAAACAAGTTTAAACATCTGCAAAATTTGCGTAGATGCCGCTTATTATAGAAGATTTTAGGCTTGTTTGTTTAAGTAGTTGCTCGTAAAACTCATGAGTCACGGGTGTGCTTTTTGAAGCTTGTTTTTAACTAGTAGTTGCTTATTTGGGCTTGCTTTTCTGTATGTGTGAAGTTGAAGTTATTGTTGGTTCGGCCCTCCAACACAATTCAGGTTTCTCATGTGGACCCATGTAAAAATTTATTGCCCACCCCTGCTCTATTCAAAAAGAAAAGTATAAATGAAAAAGTCATTCTTTTGAAAAAGTCAGGGTAAAATGAAAATGAGTGATAGGATAAAAATGAACCCACAGAAACATCTGTTATCACAAAATATTTCACATCTAGGCGCATATTTCCAACCATTTTCTAACTTATTTAGCTTTTCCTGATTTTAACAGTTCATAATAATCACTATTTCTGCACGTTTTTCTATTTATTCTCTTTAGGGCCATAATAAATGACAAAAATCACAACACATTTTGATGATGTAAACCTTCCTTCTTCTTTGATAGACATTTTATTTTTTCTTATTTGAATAGAAAAGAAAAGAATTCAACTTTATTGTCATTGCACATGTCTCAAGTACAGAGCACTGAAATGCAGTTTGTATCCATCCAGAAGTGTTTAGCAAGTATGAATATATTTACAAATGTACACGGTATGAAGGAGATGTATACATAAGTATATCACAGGTATATAAAATTGTTATGAATATACTATAACTATAAGTATGTACAGGCTATAGTAGTGTATGTACAGGCTATGAACAGATTTTACATACGGTTATTAATATGAGGCTATAAACAGACTATAAATATAAGTATATGACAGATAAATTATGCAGTAGTGTAATATTGGATGTATTTACAGTAGTGCAAATGAGGTTTGAAAGGTTTTAAGTTGGTTTACAGATATAAAGTGCAGGTAATTGTAGATAACTGTAAGTGGTGCTTCAGTGGTTGTGAGTGTGTGTCTGTGTATTCAGTCCATGAGTGTTAATTTGACTTGTCATAATCAAGCTCCATGTTTTTTAGAGCTGAATTAAAAGTGAATTATGAGGTTTAGAGTGAACTACTTCTCTTGGTTTTCTAATTTCCTTAATAAAATAGTAAGTTCTCTGTTCTCTGTAAGTCTTTGAATGTTTTGGAGTACTTTAATCTACACTTATTCATTTGTTTGTGTGCAGAAGTGCAGCTGGCTGGCCCATTTAGCCCAGCCAGCCCCTGTAGATCATACAAACCCCAGCAGGACATCTTCCTCACCTGTGTTAGCAGGGCGGAGGTTGGCGAGAGCTACAATCCGGTGCCCGGCATAAACACACTGCATCATGTTGTAGCAGCTGTCTTTGCCCCCACTGGAACACAGCATGAAAAATAGGCACAGAGACGAGTTAAAGCAGGGTTTGGATCATTTACACTAATGCGGACTAATATATTTATAAAGTATATATTTAGAGAGAAAGCAATGAGACGCAGCGGGATCGATGCTGAGGGATGCAGGACCCGTTCATGGCTGTTCTCCTGACCCTGAGGATGCTTTATTTACAACAGAAAGTTAGCCAGCTTACAGAGGTTTAGTTGCTTCCATGATCGCAAAATCATCAGATATAAAGCCCTGACACAGCTGAAGCGATTTGAAGCTTTTACCTTATCAACGCGACCACTTTCATCCTCTTATTTCCACAGTGGTGTCTACTGAATTCAACTTTATCGGCTACAATACCACACAGCGTGATAGCTGTGCTAAGCAACCGGTGAATGTACACAACAACACGTGAGAGCAAGACTTCCGGGTTTTCAAAGGACCCCCGCTCCACACAAAGTCGTCCTCCAATATGCCTGGTAAAAAGTCGGAGTCTGGCTTTTTGCTCTTTTCTCTCTCTAGGTTCTCTCTCTTTTCTCTCTACCCAGCTTCACATCCATCATGGGAACTAAAGAAAAAGAGAGTAACAGCAGTTTGATAACAGTTATCACAGTGAAGGAGATACTCTGCATACAAATCTGTACATCTAGTATGAGTGAAATGGCAGAAATATGCAGCTTGTGTCACTCATTCACAGTCTCAGATAAACTCTTGACAGTTAAGAAAAGGAAAAAATACCTTTTTGGATTTGTCTTAAGAAAAACATGCACCAAACAGGGCTTATGTCACACCAAAAGAAGACAAAATATTGCTTTATTGACCATTGAATTTGTGATTATCATGTCGTTATCGTGATATTTGTGTATCTCAAACTTTTAACTTAGACATTCCTTCTCTACTAGTTTTTTTTTTTAAACAAACAAGTCTTGCAGAAATAAAGATTTTTAAAAAGGATATTAAAAGTTAAAAACCACAAACATCATAACTCAGAGTTTTAATAAAGAAATGAATAAATGTGTTGACATGGCCTCAGACAAATAAAGTAGAAAACACAAACCAGTGCAGAAAAAAATATTAGAAAAAATCCAAACAGCAAAATAAGTAAATGAGTAGTGATGCAAGAGAAGTTGTTATGCATCCTAAAGAACTGAGGAATACATTTAAATGTAGTATAAATATATCAAAAGTATCAAATTTCCTCAATAATTAATAAACAAGCATTCAAAAACCATACAGACAGACGCAATGCAGTTCAAATGCCATATTTTTATTTGTTAAACTTGATTAAAATATATAAATTTATGAAAAATTGCATATAAAAACAAAAATATTCCATTGCAATGCTTGATTACATATATTTACACGTGATTAAATATATGTTTTATTTGTACATAACATTACTAGAAATGTAAGACAAATATTCATTTCACATGTAGTCTTTGAGTACTGATTAACTTACCATATTTAAACCAAACTGCCTCTTCTTTAATACTTCAGTGTAGTATTCACAGTGTACTTTAAGTGTAATCCAAGTGGATATGCACTCCAACTCTGGAACTCACCCCGACACACATCCTTTACATGCTGTGTCTCAGGAGAGGACCCAAAGTCCATGCACTGGTATTCACACACAGGTTGCACTTTTCCTCTGAGGGAGCCCTATTTTGCTCAGAGGAAAGCCTTTGATGCTCCTTTTGCTCTCTGTTGTTGTGCCAGAGCAGAATAATTGTGCTGCTTTTGTGCGCTTCCCTCACCTTCTACCCCTAAGCAGGCTAAAGGCAACTGATTTTGTTTGAGAGTACAAAATTGAGAAAGACGTCTCTTCATCCCATCCCTTTTAACTAGGTTCCCTTTTTTGTTTTCGTTTGGTATTTGTGTTATTCATCCAGAATGTATGGAAAAATCTACAACCTGCAGATGAGCAACATTTAACATTATAGACTAAGACATAGGAGCGACCTATATGCCCATGCTTTGCAGTATACTGTAATTTATCATGATCATTTTTCAGGCCACAGGATTAAAATAATCATTCAAAGATATTATTTTGGACAAATTTTTTCAGAATAGATTAAAAAAAGTATATTTTTGATTGAATTAATCCTCAGTAAAATAAACAGCAGGTACAAATGCCTACTATAATTCTTGGACATCTGATTTGGCAGGATTGGTAATATTCTTTACAAAATGTTTCTCTGACATGGTTGGCTTGAGAAACGGCCTGTCTTGGACAGAAGAGGACACATCGTCCTGAGTCAGATTGTCCTGCAGTTATTATAAAACTTAATATACCACCTGTGTTTTCCAATTCTGTGAGTTATGCTTTATTATACAGCTTTACTCCCCTCAGTAATTTCCATTAAGGCCGAGGCTCACAGGATATGACCGATGCAAATGTAGTCACTTATCAGTTTTAATTTATGTAGTTTATTACCCTGGCAAATAAAGAGGAGTGTTGTTCTGCTTTTATTTGTGGCAGCATTTTGCTGACGTAAAAGAGCGTTTTATGTCCGTATTGTTGGTGCACCAGGGGTAAAAAGTGTTGATGGATAGCCCAGCTGAGACACAGCCAATGGACGTGAATATGAGACGCATAAATATGAAAGCGAGGCAGCAGGCATCAAATGACACCCTTGGCCTTTTCTTAAAGGAGCATGTGCATATGACAGGTGATTTACACGGACACACAAACTAATTTTTGTCGCACAAGGACACAAAAACTTTGGCTGTAATGAGAAACTAAGGCCTCAAATCAAAAGACGATAAATTGGGTGTCAGAATGGGCCAGCCAAGGTTGCACGCTGAATGACCAGAATACAAACACACATACACACTATTTGTCCTGCAATAACATGACAATGCAAGTATGTACTGCACAGAACCAGAGTGGAACATGTAATTTTTTATTTTTATTTTTTCTGATATTGAGAGAGGGGGAGAATTCCCCTCTGGTTTAAAAAGATGTGACGCTAATAGATCTAACCAGTACCTATATTGCCAGCCATACGAAGCAAGCTGTAGAGGGTTTTATTAGGGTTTTATTACCACTTCTCTCTGAACAATATAAGTGTTTGTATATATATTTTCAGCGATTTTTGGTCTGTTTCTAAGTAAGGACAGTGATTATATGACAAAGATCTAACAGAAACCGCTTAAAGAAACTACAGTCGTTCTGTTGGTGATGCTGAATATTGATGAGAATGGCAGATTATGTGCCTGAAGCTCAGAAAAGGAAAGAAACACTGTATATTTGATTCAGTGAGGCTGTTTCTCTAAAACATAATGAAATGAGAGCAGCAAACTTGGTTATACTAATCCTCATTTCCTTCCATTATAGTAAACAGGAGTAACTGATGTCAAACAAAACGTTCTGCTTCAACTCAAGCCAATGTCCGATTCTTTTTCTAACTTTATGCAGAACTCAAATTGGATTTGAATTTTACTTAATTTGAATGTTTTAACTGAGCCACAAACATGAAACAGAGGATATAAAGGATGTGGTGCCAAATTAAACCTACAACATCTGGTAGCCCAATTCCTGAACTGGTTTTCCTGAAACTGAACCTCGTCGATTCAGATGTCAGAGTTTTATTTACAAAATGTTAAGGTCCCTTCACTTTAGTGTAGGGAATAAAACAGAACAACCATGCTTATTACAGATGAAGTCCAATGAAGGCTGATTACAGAAAAATGTTATCGTGAAATAGTGATAAATTTGCTCTCATTGAGCAAAAAGCAGCCCTGTGTGTTCTTAACTCTCCTCCACCATGGAGTTGCCTCCATCAGGGGCTCATTTTCCAAAGAACTATCAACATAATGATACCTCTTTAGGGCCTAACCACATCCAAATCAGTTAGTAAACAACCCAAACGGGGATCTGTACACATTTTTACAGACAATTAACCGTTATCACGAGGGGCCCAAATGGATTAGTAGGCTCATTAATGTCTGTGGCTAATCGCTCCTTGATTGGAAATGTGAGAGAATGTGAAATAAAGTCGTGGTTTGATCCAAATTGTGTTTGATCATGGCCCCGTCCTTAACAACAGCCCCAGTCTGCAAACAGTAATTGAGTTTTTTTTCTTCAAATTCCCCAATGAAAATCAGGCTTTTACCCTCCTTTCATTTGGTTTCTAAACTACACAAACCATTAAAATGGAAGAAAAATATTTTGCATCACAAGCTGCTGCTCCTCTGTTAAAGCCCGGAGATCATTTTGATAATAACTGTTATTTCGTCTCCAAAAATATAAATATATCTGATGAGTGAAGTGCCTCTCTGAGTCATTTCATGCTAATCAGTTATGTTTTTGTTTTTTTATCTCTCATTTTGATCCAACTTGAATGACTTCTGCTCAAATTTGATCATAAATTTTCAATATTTGTTGGCAATGAAAATTAGTTTTAAAAAGCATTGTGCATCAGAATTTTCTGCATTGGTAAGTGGAATAATTTCAAAGTGACAATTTAAGACTTTTACCATGCAATTCATTAATTTAAAAAGATGTGCTGGATTGTAAAATATTGATAAAAACAGAATTTGACATTCTTTTTTGGAAATCTTGGCTGTGGTGTCCTCTGCTTTATAAAGAGGGAAAGGACCACCCGGCTTGTTATTAGTGCACAGCTCAAAAGCCAACACTGGCGATGGTATGGGCATGCATGGTGCCCATTGCGTGGGTAGCTTAGACATCTGGGAAGGGTCCACTGTTGCTGAACAGTATATACAGTTTTTGGAGCAACATATGCTGCCATCCAGATGATGCCTTAGACCTTACGTATTTCAACAAGGCATGCAGAACCACATTCTGTACTTATTATAGCAGCATGCCTCCACTTTAAATGAGTAAAAACTGGCCTGACTTGTCATCCATTGAAAGCATGAGGTGCATCATCAAACAGCATCATTACAAAATAGATCCTGAACTTATCACTTTCAAAAAACTCCAGAAATGAGGTCCATTGTTCCCAAATATTAACAAAGTGTTAAAGATGTGAAGCAGCACAAAGGTAAATGTGTCCTTGTCCCAGTGTTTTTAAAATGCATAGCTGGCATCGAATTTGAAATGTGACTTTATATTTATCATATGTTTGAGAAGTGAATATTTCGAAAATTGCAAAAACATCCTACATTTGAAATAATCCAACTGGGACCAAAGTGGTGGAGCGAAAAACTGATCTACCATCAGACAAGTGAGTGCCTCATTCAGGACTCTCATCATGCTGGTAGCACATGTGGACAGATAAAATTATAAAGACCTATCAAAAACATTAGTGATCCTTGAAATCATTGCCTCTATATATTTCTGTAAGCTTTTTACGATGACCCCCTTCATCCTATTCAAACCAGCTCACCACCCCTTAAATACAAATGCCATTTCCTTCCTTGATTTGAAGTAGTT